ACTAAAGTGGACATGTGCAGGTGAACTCTGTTCAATTAGTATATGAAATGCCCCAAAATGTGAACTCCAGACAATAATAACCTGAGGGTAAATCCACGTGCGTCTGCCTTTCCCCTCGTTCACCTTCGAAATCCTTGATTATTATATCATGCCAGAGTTCTGAAATTCAGTGACAATGTTGCTGAACAGTAGAATCTGATGGACGTTTTGTGCAGAACCTGTTTGATACTATGGGTTCCAGGACCACTAACACTCTGAGCTGAAAAAGTTTGGTCCTAACCGCACCCAACATCTACAAGTTTGTAAGCTTGTAGACATCATTAAGAAGTAATTAACAGTCCCATGCTGAGACCTTTCTCAAAATTCAGACCGGTGGCAGGCTGCCAACAAAGAGAAGAAAATATCGCAACCCCGACACGAGTGTGCTCAGTCAAACAATGAACTTACGACCGGCAGAAAACAACTCCAGTTGAGTATGCCGATGCTGTATCTCAGCCGTGTTGGCCTGAAAATTTAAACATACTAATTAAATCCAAAATCGTATAATTATTATTAATAGAAACCATATCTTAATTTGTTCTAGCACTGCATCATATCGTGTATTTCATCTGTATATGTGTAATGTGTATATGTATCAATGACTACACTTATACCGCATATTCTGCAACAGACTATAATTAATCACCTTATTATTGTCTCTCCATTTACCATGGCTGACTGCACTAATACCCTTTTAACAGTGGACACCGATATCAGTATACATGTAGGCTTTTTGTTCAAAAAGGAATATGCAGGAAATTATATGTAACAATTAACTGTGTACTAATTACATGTTTGAATGTTATCAGTTTTACGTTCTGAGATACAGTGATGTAAGCATCTTCTAAAATCTTCTAAAAATATAATAAAATACAAAACTCTCTGCCGTAATTTTTTGTGGAAATCATTCGATCAAGTAAAAAATGACTGCGTGACAAGACGAATCAACTATTTATACCCGATAAAAGAAACTGCCGTATTTTAGGAACAGTGCTATAACAAGACATTTGAAATTTCTAACAAGAAGATACATTAGAGACAGTGACTAGACTACAGGTACGTAATCCGTATCAATCAAAGGTGTAAAAAAACTGAAAATCATATCTGTCGGAGACCTACCAAATTACCAAGTTTTATCATTACTATATTTATTACAATGCAAATACTTTAGTGATACATTTTTTAGAGGAGAGGGCATACACACAAGTATATTGCTTCCGTGTGTGAATGCAGGTTGTACTTGGTATCTCAGTTCTCAGTTTCATACCGGTTGTATAACTGAATATGTATATGGAACCATGCGTACAGCATGACAATTACTTGCTATTCGTCAGTTTACAACACACATAACACGGTCAAAAATTTTAGGCACCGCTTTTGCGAGTTATGTAGTACAGTAATGTTTTATTAAAATCTATTTCAATTTGTTTTCACCATTTTCCCTATTGACAGTCGTTGTTACGTGCGTCACTAGGTAATTAGTACTGATTGACCTTGTTTATTGTTTCTATACTTTGAGGATTTCTGTGACAACTGCCGGACGTAATTCAAACTCCTTCCGCACTGACACCGCATCAAATATATTTGTGTACCGATTACATAACTCTAATGGACAGGGTGGGGTGGTAGTTCACCGGACGACACTGTGTATATTGGGCGGCTCCTTTGATATCTCCTCCAAACATACGTTTATTGAATGACCCGATTAAACGATGATACACATCTCGATGAATATATCAAGGCACTAATTCATCTTTCATAAACATTTTTTTGTCTTTGTGCTTAATATATCCACATATCAACGAACATTTGTAAAACATGTATCCTAAAAAAAATAAACATTTTCAGGCTAGGTATTTGCCCACAGCAACACCTGCATAACTGTTTATTCACGCGTGGTGTGGTAGATCGTAATTGACAGAGAGCAGGTATTGTAGAATCACCTGTAAATAAGACCGACACTGTAATTAGATACAACGTACTAATGAGAATTATCATAAGAAGGCTGTTGTTTTTTCTGAACTATTACCATTTTCATACCAAAAGTGACAATGCAGTAAAAAGTTGCTTTAGTGTCACAATATTCACTCACGTTTTCCTCAATCGCATTGAAACATAATTCCCACTGGTCAGTTCGAAACCGAATGTAATTAAATAATTATTTCGAGATTTCGTTAGAATGTAAGATATTCAGCCAAACGTTATGCAATAAAAGACGAATAGTTTTTTTCATTAAAATACGCGCACGCGTACCTGTATATTGCATACCTGGTGTCACGTAATTGCCCAGTGTGATGTATCAATGGGACATTAAATGGGAAATGAAATAGAAACTAACTAAAATTTAATGTTGTGGAAAATAACTCCAATGAATTGGAGTACACGCACATGAATTCGTATGATAAACTGTCAAAACGTTTTGAGAGGTAAGGCCGGGTTCATTAAAGATCGCTACAATATGTAAAACAGGTGAAATTTGTAGAACTAAAGGAAACATCCAACCAAATGCCCTTTTTAAATAGTAATGTAATGATATAATATAAAGTATATTTCACATGATACAATATACTTTGCAAACAGTTAGTTGATTCTTGAAAGAGACTGACGAAAACATGGGCGAAATATTTTAATAACGCCGTAAAATAGTTAAATTAAGTAAAAATTAGTTAAATTTTGTGTCATGATACTTGAATAAATACATTTAATGTATTTACGAAAAAAAACCCATGAGTTTTGAGTAAAGGAACATATACTCGGCCATGGGCCAAACCTTTTTCTCGCCCATGGGCGAAATATTTCAATATCGCTATAAAATCGTTGAATTAAGTTAAAATGAGTTTAATCTTGTGTCATGATACTTCAATGAATACATTTAATGTATTTGCGAAACAAAATCATGAGTTTTAAGTAAAGGAACATATTCTCGCCCATGGGCCTGCCCATGGGCCAAACCTTTTTCTCGCCCATGGGCGAAATATTTCAATATCGCTATAAAATCGTTGAATTAAGTTAAAATGAGTTAAATTTTGTGTCATGATACTTGAATGAATACATTAAATGTATTTGCGAAACAAAATCATGAGTTTTAAGTAAAGGAACATATACTCGCCCATGGGCCAAACCTTTTTCTCGCCCATGGGCGAAATATTTCAATATCGCTATAAAATCGTTGAATTAAGTTAAAATGAGTTAAATTTTGTGTCATGATACTTGAATGAATACATTAAATGTATTTGCGAAACAAAAACATGAGTTTTAAGTAAAGGAACATATTCTCGCCCATGGGCCTGCCCATGGGCCTACCCATGGGCCTACCCATGGGCCAAACCTTTTTCTCGCCCATGGGCGAAATATTTCAATATCGCTATAAAATAGTTGAAATAAGTTAAAATGAGGTAAATTTTGTGTCATGATACTTCAATAAATACATTTAATGTATTTGCGAAACAAAAACATGAGTTTTAAGTAAAGGAACATATTCTCGCCCATGGGCCTGCCCATGGGCCTACCCATGGGCCTACCCATGGGCCAAACCTTTTTCTCGCCCATGGGCGAAATATTTCAATATCGCTATAAAATAGTTGAAATAAGTTAAAATGAGGTAAATTTTGTGTCATGATACTTCAATAAATACATTTAATGTATTTGCGAAACAAAATCATGAGTTTTAAGTAAAGGAACATATTCTCGCCCATGGGCCAAACCTTTTTCTCGCCCATGGGCGAAATATTTCAATATCGTTATAAAATCGTTGAATTAAGTTAAAATGAGTTAAATATTGTGTCATGATACTTGAATGAATACATTAAATGTATTTGCGAATCAAAAACATGAGTTTTAAGTAAAGGAACATATTCTCGCCCATGGGCCTGCCCATGGGCCTACCCATGGGCCACACTTCGCCCATGGGCAGGCCCATGGGCGACATAGTCTAAATATTGAGTTTTTAAACAATTTTTTTTTCATTTTTTCTTCCGTGGTATGTTCCCATGAAAACGGCATGTTTAATTTTGTAAATACCTTTAACCGAGACTGGGCAAAGAGCGTAGAGTTTCTGGACTTTTGGGTTTCCAGAATTAAAATGGGACGTGTTAAAGCATTCTGATGCAATTTCATTGCGGCGACATCTATAATGTAGATATCGCTTGATCGATACCTCCTGTGGCAGCCAGTTTTTGTGGCAGCCAGTTTTTCATGATATATATATATATATATATTCTTGGCCTTTGTCGGTATGGGGGCGGGAGTGTCATGGTGTTGGGCTGTATCATACATGAAAGGCCATCTGACTTAATTATTGTGAATGGACATTTCACTGGCCAGTGATATGTTGACGAAATCTTGCCTCTGTCGTAGTTTCATTCGCTAGAATTATGGGTAGAAATGTTGAACTTATAAGATGCCATTTTCTTAACACGTCCCGTGTAGAGCATCTGTGGGATGGCTTCGGGTGGCGAGTGTACGCCAGAGACTCAGCACCCGTCAACGTGGCCCACCTGGGGGGAGTGTTTCATGTGTCATGGCGTGCAATACCAAGCAACCATACGCCAAACATACTGGACTCGCCAGATATTAATCTAAACGCCCGACACTTATCGCCATTACACCTACACTATCAATTCATCAGTTCCCTTATTTTTTGTCTGTAGTATATATAGCAATTAGTATGGATAGTAAGTGTATCGTATCCGATTTTCTTTGAAAATTGTGATTAAGTTTTAAAGAAATGTCATCATAAACACTAAAAACACTGAAATCGGAATTGCCTAGCGAGCATTAACACAGCAGGCAAGCTCCCACTGGTGACTTGTGCTGCAGTTGGAGTGGTTCATCAATTCTTTGAGAGAAAGGAGCCAAACATTTTTAATTTACCCACACCACATACTTTTTCAAACGTCCAGGACAACCTCACCCACACTCCCCAACATCAAATTGTCTGTTAGTCTATTTTGTATATGTACCTGTAGATGTATCATCCTCTTTGTCGATGATCCCAACTCGACCTCGAGCTCCCTTTGGTTTCCAGAAGATGACATAGCCCATTAGGATAATTGTTGAAATTATACAGCCCAGGGCAATGAGGCCAACCACCGTCGGCATTACCACATCCCTTACTATGCGTTCATTGCTGAAAGAAAACAACCTTGTGTTATCCCTTGCATGTAATAATGTCAAAGTATATCCTTTAGGATGAACACAAAATATGTGTTCCTGAGGAAATATGTCTTCGGGATGGTGACAGTGTGCGAAATGCAAAGAGGGTAATATGTACAGCATGTTCAGTAAGAAGGTGCCTGAATGAGTTACTTTGTATTATGTTTTGGACATGACATAGAAGGAAACCATGCCTATACTAATTGCAGTTCAGAAAGATGCCACACTTGTCTGAGAAATAGCAACATAGTTCCGCCTCTTCTACAAGTTAACCGCAGTGATAATGCTGGATTATTGTTAAACTTGGTGTAAAACTCACTCACATATGTATGACAGATTGCAGACTATACCCATCGTTTCTACAACACGACTCTGCCTTGACATAACGGGTGACCTACTGACATTCCATTGAACACCATTTACAAATGGTTCCTGACTGAGATGAGTAAGCTGCTTGTACTCCATTGTCATACAACATGGGAATCCAAGAGGCCAGTTGAAAGACGCAAGTAAGTAGTGCTGTGTGTCGAGGGTATATGTACTGGCTGATCCGAGCTTTATTTCCCACATCGTGGATTCTACTGCAACGATCTTCAGTTTATGTATTGACTGTATTAAGATGGTTGGGTGTTGCGAATGTCAGTCACGATTATGACTGTGAGATATTTAAGCTTACACACTGTTTCGGCTATAGTCAGTTTCTATCTCAGCTATGTAGCTATGGTGACTTTATCTGACTACCGCAATAGGAAGTAAACACTTGATTTTGTTTTCTCATTCGGTAAACATGATATGATTTTGTTTATAACTGTCGTTGTTTCTGTAAAATACGGTTCTGTGAGGTTAATTATTTAGATTATAGGTATTTGTTCTCTTTGACAAAATCACATGTTATCTTACCACAGTTTAACTATTATGCATGAGAAGTTCAACCAGGAAGTACTACATTTACTTATCGCACCAGAGCTGCTATATATTCGAAAAACAATTCGATTTTCGTTTTCGTGCAATCAGCTTATCAAATGTTCATTACATATACAAATGCTCGTCACGAGTGAAGGTCAAGCAGCACAGACATTTCGGCCCAAAATAAATTCAGTGCATTTAGTTTATAGGGCACAGTTTATAGTAATGGTTTTTAGTTTTCAACGATTTGTCTACTTGACCTAATTGTAAGGCAGTGTTCGGTGGATAAGCTAGACTGGTTACTCGTATATAGCGATTTTTATGCATGTGTGTGTGCCTACTTGTACTTGTCCGGACTAAAGCCGATTTTAGTGCTAGCTCACTGAGGCAGTTATACATGAATACCCCACTCAGGCACAGTATACTGACTCCGAGCCGATAAGTCCTTTGTTTACCCTCAGTGCCAAGTGCAAGGCAGGGTAACAACAAGTACCATCTTTCAATGTATTTTCGCGTGACGCTCTAGATATACTTTGACCTAATGTTAGAGTAATGATTACAGACAAGTCAAACATGCATTTCCTTTTCATAATCCTTCACACTTTTTTAAAGTACACAATAGTATACTCCACCTTGTCGTAACAACAAGTTTTAATAGCTACTTTAAAATCACTGCATCTAAATCGAAAAAGAACTACTTTCAAGCAAGTGTCTGGGGATGTCAGAACATTCTCTACATTCAGTTTTATTTTATAGTGTTTATAACTGTAGCATTATACTGAATCATTTAAAGAGGACTTTCATGACTGTTGTAGGGTTTCAGACAATATCTGCTGAAACAGATAAATAAATATATTCTTCACATTACCAACTTCTTCACAGAACAACGCATAGCCAAATCCATACTGGGAAAGCATATTTACATTTTAGTTGCCCATGCTGTACACCAACTATCATTAAATGTTAGTACAATGTGACGTTGGCGTGGTAATCTGTTATCTGGAAGCTGAATAACTCTACATGCACACCAATATTTGATGTCATGTAAATGAGTTGCATTTGGAACCTCTCACATTCACCCAGGACCATGCCATTAATTACGATGTTGTCAATGGTGTTCTGCCAATTCTTAAGAAAGATTCACAAATGCTTTCCTGTACATATTCAATAAATTTACAATGAGGGGCTTCCATAGCAAAGAAATGGCGTTAGCAATGAATTAAATATGTTAAAGTAGGCAGATACACTGATTTTGCGTTGAAAACAATATGCGGACACAACTGCCGTTCTGGCTTGTGAAGTTAAACAAGTTTTAGCGCTGGTCCATACAAGTTTGGATATAAACACTAGTCTCAAGTAGAATGAGACAATTTAAATAGGTTCACCCTTAAAATAACATTTCTCTCCAACAGTACATATGTACAGTCGTCCACATTACTGAAGTCCGTGCCAGCTGAACAAGGCGTAGTTGAGGGACGTGATCTCACCTGCCACAGCAGTATTCATGGGAGGTGTCCCCGCTTTTGCTCCCGCAGCATATGGTGTCGTCAGGATAGGCGTCATCCTCAAAAGTGCAACTTATTCTTTTTTCACCGATCCCGATACAAACCTTCGCATCATGTGCTGCAAAAGAATAAACATCATTGACAGTTCATTTCTGGTAAACATCACCATGGTACAAAATACAGCTTTCCCTCAGTATACTATCGCGCTCCCTCGCAATACTACCGACGCTCCATGGGGATCAGACATGGGCACTTCTCAAAGTTTGAGGCCGTTGCTTGCAAGTCCGCGGCGGTATGGTGAGTTTTTATTTTGATATATAAAGATGCATTACGTCCTCAACTATTTTTCCAAAGTTTCGCCGCCATCTCGCGACGAGAAGAAAAGAACATGTTGTGGAGCCTTCGCAGGTGTCAGCCTCATGTGTAGTTTACAAAGATTCATGGCTTCAATATTGTTTGGGGCAGACATTTTAGCAGTTCGAGGAAATCGTGTGGTAGTATTGTAGAACATATCGATTGTCAGTGGATGTGTGATTACAACAGATTTTAATCTTGTGGCCGCTTCTTTATTATTGATTGACATCTGCAATTTGTTTTATGAATGTTCAAAGTATTATTAATATCAAATTGTGCTCTGTTGTGGTAATGTTGGTAATTCTTTTCTTTCTTATTAAGGATTGACTGTGTATTTTTTCGATTCGTTGAGGTATGAATCGAAATACCGATGTGCAAACTTTTGTAAGAATCCGAAACGCGGAATTAGTGAGTGAGTTGGGTTTAACGCCGCTTTTAACATTATTCCAGTTATATCACGGCGTGCCAGCTTAATGTGGGAGGGAAGCCCGAAGTGATGCAGGTGTCATACGTTTACCACTTCAGTGAAACCCACGAGCATGGGTATGGTACTGGCAAACCTAGAAACATAATCGGGGCGGGATTCGGGACTCGAACCCACAATCATAGGTTTCTGGCGTAACTCTGCACAGCCAATCGCGGCGCCTTAGACGACTGGAACACCCGTGCCCCCTACGCGGAATCAGACAAATATGACGAGATTGATAAATATTCCAGGCGTAGGAGAAGAAGAACTGCATCTATTACGAATCCGAACAAATACGTCAGGGAGAATTAAAGGAGGCTGTTTCAAATGAAATGGTCAGTAACCTCCAGATTCAAGCATTAGTTTCCTGAAAACTGGTAAACACAGTTTGAAAATTGCAAGTTAGAAATGAAATGCGAAGACATGACATTAATTTGTAGAACTGAGATTGTGCAATGCCGGTTAATGTTCGTGTGGTGTATTCAGCTTTTTCGAACACAGGGGTCACAATGAACACAACGAAAATTAAATTACTTAGATATGTTTCTGTACTTGGTGCAGGAAGAATCCTTCACGAAGCATTTGGCAAAGCGGCACCAAAGCTATAAGAAATAGCCGTCCATCAAATAATTCCTGGTGGCTTTCCACAGCATTTTGAATAAAAGGCAATAAACTGATACCAATGGCCTTTCAAATTTCAGTATGCATGTTCTGGTTGAAGCTTTGTCACTGAGCTACTGATGAAGCCCTCATAAAAGGCCCAAAACTATTGTTTCTAAAAAAATGATTAACTACGACCATATTACCACATTCATATATAATAAATTGTTGTTGCAACACATTTGACCCATTGTTTTGCCTTATATAGAAGACATTACTAGTCTCAGATGATATTTAAAAGTACATAATAAGTTTCGCGATAAAACACTTTATATCCCTCCGCCGTACGCATTATCTGCCTGTTTTCTGTTCCCGCAGTAACTATTTATAATACATGTTCCTAAAGGATTGTAATCAATCAATAACATAAATAGATACCAGTACCTGGCTGAATCGTTATAATATGTAGCTACGCGGAGTGACACAGTGTGTACACTGTATTTTAGGTTTATACCTGCAAAAACACAGAATCTTTGGAAGTTGATTCTTAATTAACAACTACAGCCCCTGTGTGTGTACACGAACTGAGTTCTGACAGTGACGAAAACACCACACAGAGGCTAGAATTTGTACTACGGTTGCGTCCATTTCATTTCTGATTCTCTTTGACATATGACACAAAAAATAGGTATATACTCACAAACAACGGCCAGTGCAAGAATAATCCACACAGTCGTTCGAGACAGCATCCTGCCGAACTCAGAGTATCAGAACTTAATGCAGGTGTACCTAGTGTACCTTCACCATGATATGTACATACAACGACCAAAACATGTATAGCTGACATTCAATGGCAATAATCCCACGCCATTCGCCATTATAGCGATCTTTTATGTTAATCTCTTAACGCCGCTCAGGGTGCAATGAACATTGAGTAGGACTACATGCATTCATGTATGTCTTTCAGTGTATAGATTATTTGTAACTCTTACAATACCGTGAAATACCTTTACTAGGCGACGATATATGTGCATGTATTCAGTGGTTAAGGCACACATACTCACATTCAAAGTGTGTGCCTTAGCTACCGTGAACATAAAATAGACTCGGAGTTGATAATGTCGTTCCAGCGTATTCGAGAGCGGTTAGTACCGGATGTACATTACGTTGAACGTACGAATGGATTCAATGAATGTTCTGACACTACTTTCCTCGATAACATAGGGGCAGAGGGGTAGCCTAGTGGTTATAGTGTCCGCTCGTCACCTCATGTACAATGTTTGAAGCCCATTTATGGTTACCCGCCTTGTTATTGCTGGACAAATTCTAAAAGCAGCGTGAGTGAGTGAGTGAGTGAGTGAGTGAGTGAGTGAGTATGGTTTTACGCCGCTTTGAGAAATATTCCAGCAATGTCACGGCGGGGGACACTAAAAATGGGCTTCACACATTGTACCCATGTCGGGAATCGAACCCGGGTCTTCGGCGTGACGAGCGAACGCTTTAACCACTAGGCTACCCGACCGCCTCAAAAGCGGCGTGAAGCCATATTACTCACTCATAAGTAGGATCGTTTGATTGTCTCAGGATACTACCTGCTTCCCACACCACACACTACGAAGACCGCACCAAGTCCCCAAGAGTTAACAGTAGAAAACAAGAGACAACACTCACTTAGAAAACCGTAGTTATTCGTTCAAAGTTGTCCAGTTAATGCAAGACTGTTGCAATGTGTATGTACCACATTATGAATGAAAGAAAGAATGCATTATGATCAAGATATGAAAATATTTGTAATTAAGTACATATACACTGAGGCAACTTTAAATGGGGTTGTTGGGTCGGGATTGGTATAGGAGCAAGTCTCCTGTCTTGTTTCATCTGAATTGTTGAGCCGCGCATTGTGGGTTTGGATGGACACTATATTATCGTCTCTATCTGGCCTGAAGCCCATAAATAATCCTTGACTTGACTTGACTTCCTATCATTAGCCAACCGTACACGTATATTGTGTACATCAGTTACACCTCATTGACTATTATATATCTTTAATCACTCGACCAAATTCAATTGTAGACGTGTCACATGGAAGTGAAGAAAAACTACTTTGGTCTATTTACATTGGATTGAATAAGAAGATCAAATGGTATCATGGCATCATCGACAGACATTTGACTGATGTTCCGGCAACAACCTTTATAAAATACCTTCATAAAATACTATATAAATTACGTGAATACATGGCCTTAACATGCATTTAAGTTTATGGGGACTGATTTTCATAAAGATAAGCTTGTTGACGTTCTTCAGCAGTTCTACATTTGGGGAATGTATGGTTACATGTTGCTGTGCATCAATGACAATTTAACAGAAGTAGCATGTACAAGAATGTTCTACGTTGCATTCGAACTAACGTTGTGACTCGAATTAAAGTCAAGTAGCTTAGCATTTAGTATTAACTGGGTTGAGCTCACGTTACCCAGACGTAAACAAGTAATACCATTTCCAATTCTACGTCCCTGTCTTCTTTTTTATTGTAAGGAAAAGTAGAAACGCAGGCATGTTCGATTTGGGTTGAAATAAACTTCTGTACATTGTGATCTGAAAATCTTTAGTAACACTTGCAGTCTTAACATGCAACCAACGTATACCGTACCGTATCTTAGCTACTGTATATTCCAGGAACATATGTGTTGTTTGTTTTGGTAAATGAACTTCCAAAGTTCATTAACATATACACGTATTCTCACAGTACCAATCACACAGTGCACATGTGATGGGCTCCACTGGTGGTGGGAAAGCTCTCACCTTATCGCGAACACCTGTATCAGTACAGTAGGATCCTAAACTCCGGCTTATTATGTGGTCGGAATCATGCAATAGACTCATTGTTTAGCAGACCTTTCGTATGGTAATGGAAAGGGTTTTCTGGTTATTATGATAAATACCTTACATTAAAAGAGTCTTAGATAAGGAACACGGACTCACTGTTACAGCAATACTCGTCGTAACTGCTCCCGCAACATTCGTAGTTTCATCCCTCTAGGACGCCCCCGATGTCAATATTTAAAATAGGCATTTTATAAGAACAAACATATTTGACAGCCTCTTCTCACATGTAATGTAATCACCATATTTGCCTATCAATACAGCCACATGAAACGATGGGCTGTTCTACTTTAAACTCATGTGCCATTGAAATGTATAAAATATATTCTTTATAATCACCGTGGAGCTTTCGCATGTACAAATCGGCTCATACCACACTGACCGCATGTCCTTTTTCGAGAGGGTAAACACCCCTCACTTTCCAACCCACACCCTACACCCCTCATCCCAGATACCACAACCACACACACACACACACACACACACACACACACACACACACACACACACACACACACACACACACACACACACACACACACACACACACACACACACACACACACACACACACACACACACACACACACACACACAAATAAACAAGCAAGCAAGCAAACAAACAAACACACACCATATACATATGCGATATATGTATCGCTCTACACACAACGCACACTCTACATCATACACATGCGTGGGGCGATCGATATGTTCTGAGCCTCACATTTAAAGACAAGACCTAAATGCCTTTTAATAATTTATTTTCCAATGTGATCCCAAATCGCATTGCTATACCTTTGGCAACTATGTTATGGGGATTTTATCCCAGTTGTGGAAATCCTCGTCTCGGCTGTCCAAAGCGTTCTCCACAGCTGCTATGGCGTCATCGAACAAGTCGAAATGGGTTCCATCTTGGGCGTCCTTCATGTTTGGGAACAGATGAAATAATGTTTGCCATTTTAGGTGTTTGGGATATCAAATGGTTCCATTTTTTCGCTTGTTGTCCTGATTCAGGATGGAAGTAGCGAACCCAGGTTTCATCCATGGTCACAAATCGTTGCAAGAAGATTTCTGGATCAGCTTCAAGCAGAACTAGATTATCACTCGAAATGTTGTGCCTGGTGTGTATTTTATCAGTCATCAGAAGATTTGGAACCCAACGAGCTGATACTTTCTTCACAGCAAAGGTTTCTGCGATCCATTAATTGCTTGTTGCGTTTTATCAAATCCCAACATAATCAGCAGATATGCAGTTGACACCCAAAGAATCAAGGATAAACAGGAAAAGAGAAGATCGATGTATTCAACTAATCATTGTAAATAAATCAAGAAAGTAAGAGAATTGAAAATCTGTCTGAAGCTTCAAAACGTCTTCCTGTACAATGAAAGACATTGCGGTTGGCACAATATAACTTTTTAACCTCTGTAACCATCATAAAACAAGCTGTAATTATTTTGGTAATCTTTTTTTAATATATCTATAAATTTTTAGATGTAGTCAGTGAGTGTAACATAAACTGCGGCCAATACAAGATGTATATATGACAGACATTGTTAGAGGGTCGAATACAGGATTTTCTTCATTTGATAAACCTGTAGGAAGGATTTTTCAAGGCAAATGGTCCACATAAATTTCAAGATGTAACATTTCGAGTTCTTGTGCTCAGCCTGTTGGATGGAGTTACTTTTTTTACCACTATAACTGAATAATGAATCCAAATTTGATAAAGAGACAGACAATACATTATAGTGTATTCCTCCCTGTACCCAATGTTGTCCTTTACATTCAACCTTGTGCATCCACAGGTCTTAGAGCAGACATAACCACCGCCAAATAGCTGGAATATTGCTGGGTGTGTCGTTAAACACAACAAATGAACAAAATTGAACAGACATAATCATTTTCCATGTGGGTATTTAACAAATCTTTATGAGACCTTCAATCATGACTGGGGTTACTGAGAAATGCAAGGCAAAATTTATGAATGTATTTCTCTGCCATCCATGATTTAACTTTAAAACGTTGCTCGTGTGCTCATGGCGCTTACATAGTACAAGGGTATTACTTGTCAAAGAGAAATGTTTGTAGTCTAGCCTTACCGACAGATAGGGTCTCTGCAGTTTTTAGTGTTTCTGGGAGTGTATACCACAGCATAGGTGCTTGACAGAAGAATGATCTGAAGCCATGTCCCTTTAATCTCCATCTTGGAACACTACACAAAGCTGGGTTGTGATCGCAGTGATCTGGTAGGCTGGTACACTTGAATGAGGTCACATAGGTATCTTGGTGCAGTGCCAGAGATACACTGGTAGGTAATGACAAGAACCTTAAACTCTGTCCCCACAGCATCCATCGCTGCGTAGGAATCTCCGCTGGTGCAATATGTATAACCATGTGCTTAAAAGATCAAACAGCCTCTTGGAACTTTTAACATAATGATCATAATTTTACAACAATACCGCCCTTTATATTCCCCGTGGCTTTCCATATCATGGATCATTTCATGATTTGGATTTGACGTGAAGATATTATTCTTAATCACGTGTAGTAGTATGGATATCTTTTTTAAAACAAAAGCAAAAATATTGATAAAGTTGTAATATATATTTGAAACAATAATTATGATTTCTTGATGACATAGTGATGCAATCGGGTAATCATTGACGATGCACTACACAGAAGCTAGGTTTGTTACATTATTTCCGCTTTTTTATAAATGGCACAAATGACATGTATATACTCACAAACAACAACCAGTGCAAGGATAATAGACACAGTCGTTACAGACATCATCCTTGTGAGGCTCAGAGTGTCAGAACGTTATACAGATGTACCTACTTCTTTATATGTATCTGTAACTAACGACATGTACTGTGTAACATTCAATGAAAAACATCCTTCGCCAAAGGCCAATAAAACTGTTTTAAATGTCTATTCCTTTACACTCGTTGTGCATTGAGTACAATCTCAAACGACGCCTTGGCTGTCATGATTGTGCATTTCTATATACATTGTTTGTAGCATTTCATTATGTATATAGAGTTCGCGCAACTCTTACAACATGCGTAAATATACATATACACATAGGCTGATAATGCACGTCTGTATAAAACGTTCAACTGACGATAAAGGACGAGGATAATGATAGTTTTCCCTATTTCAATACGAGAAAATCGTTTAATGGCAAACGTACACTGTACTAAAGGGCGACTTATATTGTAAACATTCTGACAACGCCAAGCAACACACAACACACCCAGCAACACACAACCCCACAGTATACATACTTCACTCCACACAAATCCTATACTCCACAGAATACATACATCACACTACACACACACCCCACATCCCACCCTCCACACAAACCACACACCACACAGACCCTATACTCCACAGAATACATACATCACCCACCCCACAAACACCACACACCATACAGGGCGATATTCCATAGTATACACACTTCACACTACACACACACCCACACACACACCACACAAACCCTATACCCTACAGTATACAAACATCACACTGAACACCCACGCCACATATACCACACACCACACAAACTCTATTCCTAAAGGTAATACATACACACTACACACCCACACACCGACACCCCATACACACCACACACACCCCATATCCCACAGTGTACGTACATCATACTAGTACACACCTACCCCCACACACCACTCTCTACACACGCAATACACCATATAGACCCTATAACCCACAGTATACATACATCACACTACACACACCCACACATACACCCCTCTACACACACAATACACCACACACACCCTATGCCTAAAAGTAATAAACATCACACTACACACCCACACACCACCACACCCCATACACCCCATACGGCCCACACACCGCACAAACGCTATACCCCACAGTGTACATGCATCACACAACACACACACCCCACACCCCACCCTCCACACACGCAACACACAAACCCTATAACCCACAGTATACATGCATCACACTATACACACATACCCCCACACACCACCCTCTACACACGCAATACACCACACAAACGCTATACCCCACAGTATACATACATCACTTAATACACCCACCCCACACACACCACAAAAAAAACAATACCTCACAGTATACAAACATCACTATACACACCCACACACAGGCCTCATCCTCCAAACACACCACACACCACACAAACCCTATACTCCACAATATATATATATATATATATATCACACGAAACATCCACCCACACCCCGGCCCCTATCGTCCACACATACCACACACGACACAAACCCTATACCCCACAGTATACATACATCACACAACACATCCACCCCACACCCCACACCCCACACCCCACACCCCACACCCCACTCCCCACACCCCACACCCTACCCTCCACACAGACAACACAGACGCTATACCCAACAGTAAACATACATCACACTACACATCCACCCCTCACACACACCACACACCACACAGACCCTACACCCCACAGTATGTAAACGTCACACTAGACAACCACCCCACACCCCACCCTCCACACAACACACAGACGCTATGCCCCACAGTACACATACATCACACTACACATCCACCCACACACACACCACACACACCCAATCGTCCACACACACTACTCACCACACAGACCCTATATCCCACAGTATGCATACATCACTCCACAAACACCACAGACCCTATACCCCACAGTAAAAATACATCACCATCACACTATACATCCACCCCTCACACCGGCACACACCACACACCACACAGACCCTACACCCCACAGTATGTATACGTCACACTACACAACCACCCCACACTCCACCATCCTCACACACCATGCAAACCCTTTACCCCACAGTATACATACATCACTTAATACACCCACCCCACACACACCACACAAACCCTATACCCCACAGTATACGTACATCAAACAACACAAACACCCCACACCCCACACCCCACACCCCACACCCCACACCCCACACACCACACACACCACACAGATAATTTATTGATGTGAACGTCTTTATAATGAGGAACACAACGTTTCGGAACATATGCCTATATAAGTCTATACTCCGAAAACTTGTGTTCCTCTTAATAAATAAGTTGACATCCATAATTTCTCTTCCTCGTTGTGTCATTGTTTTCGGATGTAACGTTTCATACGCTGTTCATATGCGTTTGTGTAGAAACAGTTGCAACATCAATGCCAATAAGCACTGTGAAAGATCCTTAGTATTTGTAATACCTCATATGCTGTTGGTTCTACCCATGTCACATAAGAATGAAGGACACATTCTCAGACCATTTTCTTCCTAAGAATTATGATTATAAAAGTGTTGTATAATGTCAATTTGAGCTTTACGCTAGCCTGTGGGAATATACATCCTTGTAGATTAATCTCAAGAATTGCTTCCCTTGTCATTTAAACTTTATCAGAGTAAAAAGTAATAATACAGAACAACCATGTACATAATACACTTTAAATTTTATTCAAACCGTAGATAAGAACACATATAATATATACACTAATGTGATGATTTACCATGGCTATATTATTATACGCGTGTCCTATTGAGTCAATGAGAGATAACAGACCACTATTACTCGTAGATTATGTCCAGCTGAAGATTCGAGACAGTGGCCATAATTTAGAATAAAATGGTTTGAAATAATGGTATGTGTTGTATCTTTAAATGTACACACACACTCCTTTAGTATGCAATTAAAATACATTCCGTAATAACTAAAAGTGCCAGCGAAAGAAATTAAGCTTTAATTTTATGTGTTCTTGACACAGGACAGTTCTTCGAGCCCATTTAATCTATGTAGATTGTGTGCGTAGTCAGCTCTAAGTATGTAATGAATAGTTTAGCACATTTATATTTGCGACATCATTAGTAATCCATTAGTGAGTGTATACTGTGTACATGTAGGTGCAACTGTTCCATCTACAAATAATTCTTAACAAATACATTTGTTGTCTATATTTAGTATTTTGGTACCGTTGCAATTTAGTTAAAAAGAAAAGATTTGTCGCCACGTGCACTTTTTTTCATAACTGGTGGGATGAGTGATTGTTTGAGTGTAATATTCATTAATAGGCTGAATTGTAGAATTAAAGGATCAGAGACTGGTGTGTTTGCAATTGCTTTTATTATACTAAAATCATAACTTTCCCCATAAAACCTCTCTCAAATGTGAGACAATAATGTTTGAGGAACATATACCATTTTAAGAATTATAATTCCACGAATTCTCGTGCACGTGCAATATGCATAGTACTGATTTCGTCATTGATATGAGAGTTACAGAGGCAATTTGGTATAAGGATTGTTCAAAATGCATTATATGGTTTTGAAGTTTGGTGTTATTATTATCGTATGTCCGCCCGTGTTGTGCCATGTTTCCTCAAACATCATTTTAAAAAAGATAACTTTTGGTTGCTGAAGTTGTGACATTCTGCGAAACGCTCTTATGAAATAATTAAGAAAATCTAAAAATATACATAAAATAACGTGTTGCCGGAAAGTCAGCTGTATTAGGTTAAATCCAATATGCAAGCGATAACATGTTTGCATAAATGTATGTATTATTATGAAAAACATAAACTCTAAAGAAAATTAGTGTGTGTATATTTTAGCATAAAATTCGTTAGCTACACTTAACAAATGTTTCTCGACTTCACTCTGCCCTAGGAGTAGATAAATGTGTTCGTTTATCTTTCCAGTATGAAGATAAATCTCACAGGAGTTCTTTTCTATTTATTTAACGTCAACACCAGAGAGTAATCTGTCTCGATTATCTGCCGAAACAGATTCAATTTTGCGTCAAAAGGAAAATAGTTGTGAACATTATATGAATGGATCACTGAAAATCAGTGAACCTTTCAACTATCCTCAGCCTCAGAATTTCAATGATACTGAGCATTTTACAAACTAAGATAATATTCACCATCGACGTGAGCATTGTCAGCGTTCACCACTTGTCACCACTTGTACCACAATAATGGCATGAGGCTTGTTGACGAGAGACCTTGTTTCCCGTATGACATTTGCACTATTCTGCGTATTATGTTTACCAATGTGGTTTTGGACCGAATAGTTCTCTACCACTGTAGGCTTGAATACACGTGCTTGTCAGTGTCGTTTGTTCTCATGGCTTTGGTATGTTCAGAATTGTCACCCATTGTAGGAGCAACAGATGTAGCCGGAGGGGCTGCTCTACTTGGTAGGGGATAGGCGGCTTGTCCTGCCATTGGTGGATTTGCTTGTCTCGCCATTGGTTGATTTCCTTGTCTTGCAATTGGTGGATTCGCGGCTTGCCCTGCCATTGGTGGATGGACGGCTTGCCCTGCCATTGGTGGATGGAAGGCTTGTCCTGCCATTAGTGGATGGACGGCTTGTCCTGCCATTGGTTGATGGACGGCTTGTCCTCCCATTGGAGAATGGGCTTGTACTGGCCCTGGTCCTATCTGAGGAGAGTAGGGTGGTGGAGGTTCCGCCATCCCAGTAGGTGGAGGGTGAGGTGTTCCAGGAGGAGGCTGAACCGTGTGGACATATCCTGCATTATATGCAGCAGTGGGTGGGTTCCCGCCTGGATAGAACAAGCATTATGTTCGTATAGTATAAAGATGGGGGTTCTGAGGATGATATTTAAGAGGACCAACGACTGTTTAGTTGTTTGTCATATATCTGACTTTAGGACTTTTCATATATAATGAGAACAAAATACAATGGACATTGATCTACAGTAATTACACTTTACAGAGTAAGTTGTCAAAGCACAAGTTTGAATCCCTTTATTTGTGTTTGTTGTTTAATGCTGCTCGCCGCAATATTCCAATTATATGAGTGTGTGTAGTACCTGCAGATATGACGGTAAGTTGTTGGCTGGTGGTCACTACCTGACCCCGGCGACCTCCGGATGACCTACAGCAGCAGACACAGCACACGACTATTCCTGCAATCACGGCGATCAAGACACCGACACCAACCACGACCCCGATTATCAGTCCCGTCGTTGAAGAACTCCCGCCGTTAGAGCTGTTATTGGGGTTAGAGAAAACACAATGTTATGTAAATAAGGGATCTGGTATACCTATATTCTGTCCGTAAATACTGATTTTACACATATTTACTTATGGCTAATTATCACACGTATCTTCGACAAAGGTCATTCCAATCTATTTTCTGTTAATTCAATTCATTACTGTCAATCGACGCCAACATACACCCAATTTACATTTCCAACAAAGCATCAAACTGTATTTTACATCACTAAGTGTGATAGAAATATATAAATTCTTCTCAATTTCTTCGGAAATTAACATTTATATTATGTAGAAAGATTTATATATAATGCACCTCTGTGGGGCCAAATGGAATTGTAATAATATAACGTTACGTAAAAGTTAAACTAATATTATTACTGCCCTCGAATTGTTTATATTATTGGCAATCAGCTTTATTATATTTCTCTCACTAGCAAATTTCAAACGCTAATTTAAGTGATAGTTGAATTATGCCATACGTTTGAAATTTGCTAAATTTTATATATATATATATATATATATATATATATATATATATATATATATATATATATATATATATAATATGAGAGTTATAAAATATTTATCAATATTATTAAAAATGCCAGAAAGAAGATTGACTAGAAAAAGTTATAACAGTATGGTGGACAAGTAGTGCTCAATAGCCACTTTTTTAATGTAGCTATGGATATGTTTGGAAAGATCACAGTCTAATGAATAATGATCACGATGTGTAAATATTGATAAGGCAGACTCTTACAGACGTGTATTTTTTTATACAATAATAAAAACATTATTGTATATTCCTCAAACAAATGTTATCGTAATTATAAACTATTTTACATCTCATACGTATACAGAATGTTATTTTCGAATGTTAATCAGAAGAAACGTACAATATATTTGGCACAGTTCAGATGTAACGATTGAAGCTGACAGACACATAAATACACCTAGACGTTTAAGATTATGTTCCCATTGTTCCTGAAGTGAGTGACGAGTGAGTATGGTTCTACCCCTCTTTTAGCAATATTCAAGCAATATCACAGGGCAGGACACCGGAAATGGGTTTCACAAATTGTTCCCATGTGGGGAATCGGCGTGACGAGCAAACGCTTTAACCACTAGGCTACCCCACCGCCCCCATTGTTCTTTGAACGAGGTTGAAGATGAATAACCATTTTGTTAGTATGTTGCAAATAAAATTAATTTAGAAAATATTATATTGAACGACAATATCATATACATCCAAATGGAAATAAACACAATTTATGTCATGTTCCTAAAGCAAGATAATTCGTACCCTTTGAATGTTTATAATATCATGCTGTGTCAGTTCGAAATCATCCCTGTAAACTCGACAAACGCTTCTGTATTCTTTAAATTATGCACCTGTGCGTCTACAGTATTACAGAAAAAACTTATATCTACCATGCGTTATGCTATCTTCATTTACATCTCTGAGGACAATCATCTTGGGTCAAAGACTTGCTAATGTTCAAATATGATAAAAAATGCTTCCAAAAATGAAAAATTTCATTCATTTGAAATATTTTATATTTTTCAAAACGAGTTCTACATTCTTTTCTTATTTCACAAATTATTAAGTCATACTACTAGCTGGTCGAAAATGACAAACTTATCAACCAAATATTCGAATGGTGCACCAGGTTTTTATAAATTAGTCTTTTTTTAAATGTGTAATGCCCAAAGTCATCTAGAAGCTGACTGTGATATTGTTATGATATTAAACAAACAAATGGTTGCATTTTGCTGTTCAGAAAATAAAAAAATTATTTCTTACTGTTTTCTCTTTTGAGGCTGTAACGATTGGTCGCAATACACACACCGCTCCCTGGATACTTGTGAAATCCTTATTAATATGATCAAGTCAGTAACTGTTGTTATTCTATTGGTCTTCTTGTAACAGTTGACTATATACAGTGAAAGCAAGCAAACAGAGTGATGCATATGTACATACTCACCAGCAATATCGGTTAGAGCTTGTCCCACAGCATGAGTAAGTACATGTTAATGCCTTGGTTTGAAAACTGCTATACTCGTAACATATTTCATAGCCAGACACTGGAAAAAAAACAGACCTAGGAAGTAGTTAGATAAACTGTAAAGATATGCATGTGTAAGGGTGAATATTATCCTGCCCTATTTGTTATCCCGGGGATGCAATTCTCTAGTGTCAGGATGATTCTCCCTAGTGAATATGAAGCCATACCAGTGTTTTTAATCCTATCAACATATATACTCTAGAGTAAATCTTCCCCCGGGATAATATTTAGGTAGGATATAATCCTTGCTTACACATACACACATTTTTGTCCATTGTGGTGAATGAATCAGTGTATGTATTATTTCAATACTGAACGCCTCATGCAAATACAGTAAACTACGGTTATAACGAACTCAAAGGGACTACTAAAGTTAGTTCGTTATAACCGTAGTTCGTTATAAGCACATTTACAGCATATATACAGCAAATGGAGGGACCAATAAACAGTTCGTTATATCCGTCTGTTCGTTATAAGCGTGTTCGTTGTAAACGTAGTTTACTGTAGTACAAAATATTGTTTGTAGAAATAGATATGGAGACGACCTAAATAATATTCTATGGTATTTACAAATGTAGTATATGCATGAGGATTTTCGGGGTGTGGCATTCGTGTTAAAATAACATTCATGATCACTCACTCATGGTTTAATTGTACATAAATACTGTACTTGAAAACATTATAAATTGTAAGGAAGTAGAACAGACATGTAAATATTTATAGTTTCGTGGTATATTGAACAGCTATCATCGTGGTTTGTGACGCTGGTTCAATTATGAAAAAGCAGAACAGAAATTGACGCAGAAAACACCTTGTTGTAGGCACTCGAGCATGTCAAGTTAAATCTCATAGAAAATACCGATTCCCCTTACACACTATGATTATAACTTTGCATCATCACCTATAGTGGAGTTAGTTTACCTTGTTGAAATGCGCGTTCGGAATATGAATTCCTAGGTCAGAATCAACTGCAACAATAGCGTGACGTCACCATACGTGTTTAATGAGGATAAGCACATTATTAATGGTTAAGCACCCCGTGTCAAAATCCAGTACGCTCTTTGACAATGATACTTTTATGCGGTTAATACGACCAGGAGCCCGTTCCTTACAGCTATCTTCGTGATATGACTATCGCTAACCTATGTTAAAGTATCGGCGTTACGAACACTAAGATCGGGGCCCTGAACGCCATAACGTCGCTATATAAGTGCAATAATCTTGGACGCGACGTTAAACCCAATTTCACCACACCTCACCTGAACGCCATACGTATGATTTGAACTAAATGATTGCTAAATATGCTTATCAGTGTCAGTAAATCCTTTATAATTATAAACGTTTTTGAAACATCCCTCTTTGTGTACACGAACAATAATACATAACAATGCAAACATCTTTTACTTTATTTCGCATATGCCTTTTAAACTTCTGCGTAATTACGCGGCATTCCGCAGACTTTTTTAAACAGATCTGCGTAGCTACGCAGACACTCTGCGGAGCTACGCGGATATTTGCGAAATTAATTTTCCCTTGACAAAGTAGACACAATTAATGGCTAACAACTTCTTTATTTACTGTATATGCGATGTTTCGTTACTGATTCTTATGCCGTTGTCAAGCAAGGCTGAATAATGAACATGGTACAGATTATATATACATGTAGAAGATGGAGGATTAACAGTAACAACATAAGAGATTAACATGAGTAGGTTAAGTAATGACAACGGAAGGATAATACTGTACCAACAGGATGGACAGAGAACATATGATGGGGAAGCCAACAAGACAGGAAGCTAATTCAACAGGATTTAGTGTACATAGGTGGGGTAATTATTGCTTAATAAGTTAATAGTAAACGGATGGGATGAAATAGCCTTGATATATGTAGATTGATGGCTTGCGGGGGCGAATGTGGACTGCTTCTGTCAGCTTGCTTTCAGTGAAGTCCTGGGGGTTGTTGGGGGTTGGGGGTCTCATGGGGGTTGTTGGAGATGATGTGGACGTTTTCCCAGTTGATGTTGTGATTGGGGGAGTTATCTGTCAATAATCAACTCTGGACCAGACAATCCAGTGATTGACATCATGAGCATCGATCTACACAATTGGATACGATGACATGCATCAACCAAGTCAGCGAGCCTGACCACACGTTCCCGTTAGTCGCCTCTTACGACAAGCATAGTCGCCTTTTATGGCAAGCATGGGCTGCTGGAGACCTGGTCTGAATAGGATCTTCACAGGTACATCACGTTTGATTATATTTTCAATTGAAGAGTTAGCGATATTATATCCAAATACCAAAGTGTACCAGCGCTAAGTCAGCACTCGAAGACTACTTTTCATGCTTATATTTTTTAAACTTTAATTTGATTTAAAACCTTTATTTAAAAAGTGTCTGAGTATTTGAACGCACATCACGATACCGTACATGGCAAGGTGAAGCAAGGCATAGTTTATGTCACCACGTGACCCTGGTACCATGATGACAAACACAGTTTACTTTTTCCTGTTTGAATCTGGAATCGAATTCTTTAAGACTACGTTATACCCTGTCCAGAATTGTGCATATAGAAACATTTATGTGAGTCATTTGAACGCACATCACGATAAGATAACACATCATGATACAGGTAGCTAAGTCATCAGTTATGAAATTGTGTGTCGGCACAGGTGACCAAACTTACGGAAAAAAGGGTTTGCCAAGGTGTAGGAAACTACTTCCACTGACGACAGTTGATGTACATAACACATTAGTTACAAACCATTACAAAATATGGTGCTGTCTTATTGGCCGTCTGTCTGATAGTAATGTTCTGTATAGTAAGTGTAAAGCGTGTTATAGCAAAATGACACTTGGGGGTGAGTGAGTGAGTGAGTATGGTTTTACGCCGCTTTTAGCAATATTCAAGCAATATCACGGCGGGGACACCAGAAATGGGCTTCACACATTGTACCCATGTCGGGAATCAAACCCGGGTCTTCGGCGTGACGAGCGAACGCTTTAACCACTAGGCTACCCGACCGCCCCTAATGACACTTGGAATATTTTGCACGCAGACGGAACCATATCTAGTAATTGGTTTTAATTTAAATGGAATACAAATTGAACTATATACGTCTAATGCCAATGCTTATATAATCATCAAATTTGTGGGAGTAATGCACTTCTGTCATTATAATGGCAGGGATATTTCGCAAAATGGTGTTTATTTATCAAACATTACCTGCATTCCATTCACAATGTGGCATCACATATAGAGAGTATCAAATATAGAGAAGACAAATCTGTACTTCTTTGTAGGACATTGAATAAATGGAAATTAAGTGTGGTGTAATGGTTAACGTCATCTGAAATGTTCAAAAGATTTTGTGTTCAGTTGGTTTAAAGATCAATTAGTCGGTGTGGAATAAGTGAGGTTATACCTAACTCCTTATTCCTTAAAGCTTCATATGCATGTAACATACTTTTAATATACCAGGTTATTTTGAATAAGTTGTTTCAATGGCTCGAACGTAGTTCTCTCTTTGAGTTCCTCTCACGGGTCTGCTTCCCATGTCTGTTCACACATTCTGAACGCGGTAAATGGGGCATATGACAGTGTCCCCATTTCGTTAAACAGTACATTGTGCATTTCTGTTTAAATCGAATCCCTGTACCTGTACCTGTACCTGTACCTGTACACACACACACACGCACGCACGCACGCACGCACGCACGCACGCACGCACGCACGCACGCACGCACACACACACACATAAGCGTGGCTATGTTAGTGCAATAATCTAACCCGTGACTGGGAATACATACTTAACTCCATACTGCCGCTTATTTCATGTATCTGAACTGGTCGTTAACATAACCCACTCTCATACCAAGAGTTCCTTGCGGCCAGCATAGTACCACTGCAACAGGGCGGCGACATGTGACGATTCGTCAAATCTTACTCAGTCCATTCAAGATGGTGCACATGTTTTTCATCTGTTTCATTTTTGACGGGTCTACATATTTACATAAAAGTATGTCATAGAATGGATGACTTTCATTGAGAAAACTTCCTAAAACGTGAAAAAACTAATCCATTTGCGTGTTTATCTTTTTGCGCTGTCATCGAAGCCCTACGACGAGCTAGCGATACGGCCACTGTAAGGATTCATCCACGTCCTGCTACACACGTCACTGCCGTAGTTGTAGCAGCGTATCCATATAATAATGCAAAGGAATGTGAAGCGCGCCGAAAGGATGCACTGATCCCCTTTTTTCCGATTTCAGAATAAGCGCGTAAGCTTACAAACAAGAAAAAAGTCCGGTCACGTGATATGTAAATTAGCCTTTGGCAGTGGTGTTAATGCCAAGTCATTGCTGCCCCGGTTGTGTAACATTACTATTTCAAAGGCTGATACACTTCGCATGTTCAAATTGCCAGGCGACTTGGGCGTGACGACGTGTATTGTACACCCTGTCTCACCTCGCCGACTCATACGCCATGAATACTGTACATTCCTGATAACATCTGACTGAACGCGTCGAGCCATAACTCCGACACAGAGAGATATGCGATGAGTGAGTGAGTGAGTTTGGATTAACGCCGCTTTGGACAGTATTGCAGTTATTTTACAGCATGTCAACTTAACGTGGAGAAAGATGCTGAGTGATGTAGGGTTAATAGGTCTTGTGAAAGCACAAATATGATACTGTTAAACCATTTCTGGGTTCTGGGATTCGAACAATGGCATGACAAAGGGACGACTCTGACATCCGTGTCACCAGGTGAAGGAAGTGTCTCAACTCGAAGTCAATATTCATCTTTAATCAATGTCAAACACATTTATGGACTAGATAAAGTGAAACGTTAGAAGCCGTGGGGAACATGTAATATATTTCCACGTTAACGACGTTTACCGTGTATCATATTAAGCTAATTTTCGGTGTATCTTCTGAGATCGAGCAGGCTGAAGTTATGAACCTGTGACGAGCTAAGATTCTTTATCGGGTCATTTGCGGGTGACTAAATCTGACATAGATATTTGATGTTGATTCAGGTTTTTTGTCACCGTTCCCAAACTGACCATGAGGACGCTATAACACGGAGCTGTTTAGATCATGTACGTTCACTGATAGTATCTAGGTCAGAGGTGATCTGTACTAACGACACAGTGTCATGTCACTCTGTGTAGATGTAGACGTTACACTTATAATGACCAGTTGTCTACAAATGATGTGAATACTTACCAATAGAAGCTACACAGAGAAGAGTCCACCCAGTTTTCAGAGAAATCATCTTGCTACAACACGACACTCCCTACACGCAGCAGTGCCTCTGACTTGAGAGATGATGTTACTGTTTTGTGTGGAAGCAGTGAAGCACATCTTACATCTCCATTCTAAATATACCACACTGAACATACAGTCACAAACAAAGTAATTAAGCTGTTACATATTCTCGTTCCTCAGCTAACACGTTCAATGTTTAGCTCTGGGTCCGAATCACAACAATTACAGGCTGGTTGTCAGTTTTCTTCTTATATTACATGGTTCGATGTACATCGTGATCATCGCGATCTGACAGTCTAGTAAGGAACTGGGATGCACCGGGGGCTCTGATTTTAAAGACGCCGCAATTTGATGCGCAGTTGCCTTCCTTGGGTTTGCCGGAAACCTACCATCATGGTTTCGAATCCCTGGTTAACCTGATTTTGTTTCTAGGTTTTTCTCCTACTTCAAGCTGACACGTCATGATGAAATACCGTGAAATGCAGCGTGACAATCACTCACACACTCACTCACTCACTGACTCACTCACTCACCAAGACACTAACCTTCTCACAAACCAACCTAATCACTCACACAACCACTCACTCGATCACTCACCCACCCACCAAAACACTCACCTTCCCACACAAAAACCTACTCACTCACACAACCACCAACTCATGCAATCACTCACTCACCAAAACACTCACCTTCCCACCCTCCAACCTAATCACTCACACAACCACTCACTCACTCACCCACCCACCCACCAAAACACTCACCTTCCCACACACCAAACTAATCACTCACACAACCACTCACTCACTCACTCACCAACCCACCAAAACACTCACCTTCCCCAAAAACAAACCTACTCACTCAAACAACCAGTCATTCATGCACTCACTCACCCACCCAAACTTACTAAGTTTGGAAGTTAGCGTGAAACTCTAACCCGGGGGTGCTACTGACCCATGCTTGTCATTTCCATGACCGTATAGATCCTACCCGGAGACCATGAATGTCATTACGTTGTGTTTACAGAAGTTCAAATGGAAGATATGTAAAGTGAAACCCGTTAATCAGGGCGGTAGCGGTCCCGTTGAAATCTTTCAATTTTACAAATGTCCAGACAAAGGAATCATAATTACGGGGTAATGTCACCCCAAAAGCCCCAACGTCAGTCAGTCACCCAGCCCTACACACTGTACTCTCCCTTCACCGATGCTCAAGAAGCCCCATCACTGTCAGTCACCCGGCCCTACACACTGTACTCTCCCTTCACCGATGCTAAAGAAGCCCCTTCACTGTCAGTCACCCAGCCATACACACTGTACTCTCCCTTCACTGATGCTCAAGAAGCCCCTTCACTGTCAGTCACCCAGCCATACACACTGTACTCTCCCTTCACCGATGCTCAATGAACCCCTTCACTGTCAGTCACCCAGCCATACACACTGTACTCTCCCTTCACCGATGCTCAAGAAGCCCCTTCACTGTCAGTCACCCAGACATACACACTGTACTCTCCCTTCACCGATGCTCAAGAAGCCCCTTCACTGTCAGTCACCCAGCCATACACACTGTACTCTCCCTTCACCGATGCTCAATGAACCCCTTCACTGTCAGTCACCCAGCCATACACACTGTACTCTCCCTTCACCGATGCTCAAGAAGCCCCTTCACTGTCAGTCACCCAGACATACACACTGTACTCTCCCTTCACCGATGCTCAATGAACCCCTTCACTGTCAGTCACCCAGCCATACACACTGTACTCTCCCTTCACCGATGCTCAAGAAGCCCCTTCACTGTCAGTCACCCAGCCATACACACTGTACTCTCCCTTCACCGATGCTCAAGAAGCCCCTTCACTGTCAGTCACCAAGCCAAACACACTGTACTCTCCCTTCACCGATGCTCAATAAGCCCCTTCACTGTCAGTCACCCAGCCATACACACTGTACTCTCCCTTCACCGATGCTCAATAAGCCCCTTCACTGTCAGTCACCCAGACATACACACTGTACTCTCCCTTCACCGATGCTCAATAAGCCCCTTCACTGTCAGTCACCAAGCCAAAACACACTGTACTCTCCCTTCACCGAAGCTCAAGAAGCCCCTTCACTGTCAGTCACCCAGCCATACACACTGTTCTCTCCCTTCACTGATGCTCAAGAAGCCCCTTCACTGTCAGTCACCCAGCCCTACACACTGTACTCTCCCTTCACCGATGCTCAATAAGCCCCTTCACTGTCAGTCACCAAGCCAAAACACACTGTACTCTCCCTTCACCGAAGCTCAAGAAGCCCCTTCACTGTCAGTCACCCAGCCATACACACTGTTCTCTCCCTTCACTGATGCTCAAGAAGCCCCTTCACTGTCAGTCACCAAGCCAAAACACACTGTACTCTCCCTTCACCGAAGCTCAAGAAGCCCCTTCACTGTCAGTCACCAAGCCAAAACACACTGTTCTCTCCCTTCACTGATGCTCAATAAGCCCCTTCACTGTCAGTCACCAAGCCATACACACTGTACTCTCCCTTCACTGATGCTCAAGAAGCCCCTTCACTGTCAGTCACCCAGCCATACACACTGTTCTCTCCCTTCACTGATGCTCAATAAGCCCCTTCACTGTCAGTCACCCAGCCATACACTGTACTCTCCCTTCACCGATGCTCAATAAGCCCCTTCACTGTCAGTCACCAAGCCAAAACACACTGTACTCTCCCTTCACCGAAGCTCAAGAAGCCCCTTCACTGTCAGTCACCCAGCCATACACACTGTTCTCTCCCTTCACTGATGCTCAAGAAGCCCCTTCACTGTCAGTCACCCAGTCATACACACTGTACTCTCCCTTCACCGATGCTCAATAAGCCCCTTCACTGTCAGTCACCCGGCCCTACACACTGTACTCTCCCTTCACCGATGCTCAATAAGCCCCTTCACTGTCAGTCACCCAGCCATACACACTGTACTCTCCCTTCACCGATGCTCAAGAAGCCCCTTCACTGTCAGTCACCCGGCCATACACACTGTTCTCTCCCTTCACTGATGCTCAATAGGCCCCTTCACTGTCAGTCACCCAGCCCGACACCCTGAACTCTCCCTTGATTCAAAAATCCCGCTGAATGAGTCATTCATCCGGTAGTGTATATATACATTTCCGTCTGTTCCACGGACAATGTAGAGCTGACATGAAATGGGTCACCGATCTTAATGATTTATGATTGTCGACAACTTTTCTCTCACGTTATATTTATCAGCACGTAACCACGTGTTTATGATACGTATCATTACAACATGGGTCCGGCATAATGCATCAGCTCGGCACACAAATAGCGTGTGTTTTCTATTTATGAGTACCCGCAAAATGATAACAAACAATTCGTCAATACAAAAATATATTTTTTATCTCCCGGAATGTTATCAACAAGCAAATTTATGAACACTGAACATTCCCCTTTGAACTTATATACATGTCGATTTTATGCAAAGCCTGTGAAATAGGAGAACTAATGGTTATTTCGTCAATGCATCTGTCAGTGATTACCTGATAGCATCTCAGTTTTTGATGGTGTAACATACTTACATGCTGATGATATAGTCGGAGACGTACAATCGACTCTGCTTTAAGCACAGATTTGTTATAAATGTGGAAACGGTTTTGCGCTTTTATTTAGGTAATTCCAGAAGAGATTGTATTCTTTGCACTTCTTTGAATATTTAAACAGAGTTTCTTCAGCGCTCTAAAGCTGTATACATGTGCTCCTCGTCGGTGTGTTTTGGAGATGTTGCTGCGTTGGGTGGAGTCATGGCTGCTGCTGCTGCTGCTGGCGGATATCCCTGAGGGGGGACATACGCTGGTGCTGTGGCTGCAGCAGCTGGTGTGTAGGCTGGAGGAGGGCCTGCCATCCCCGGTTGAGGGGGGTAGAATACTCCAGCAGGAGGTTGAGCTGGGTAACCGTAGTTTGGCGCGAAGGCAGCATTGGTAGTGTTAGCTGGAGATGGTCAGAATATTTACATTTGACAAACATCTTGCATCTTTGCAACCTCCTTAATTTACACATGTCTTATTGTGTAATGAAAATAGGTTGGTCTACAGTGTAACTAAACTTATTCAGGTCACAGTACACTCTCATCATATGTGGAGAGAAAACGCCATTTTGTACACACATCTTTGGCAATATAAAAATGTATACTTAAAAATACATCGATATTGTTATTCATTAATTATAGTAACATTATTGCAACTTTAAACTTTAAACTCCATTTTATAACGAAAGATCATAAAATATGTCAATATTAGCATATACCTGACATTGTATGTATAAATGATGTGATTGTTTACACCAATAGTATGAGTCGTTATTTACTACAATCTACTGATTTAATGTTTGAGTATTCAACATGAATTACAAAACTGAGAAATTGGGTTTTAAAAGTAAAGACAATAGTTTCAAGAATTTGACATTTCCCTGTTCAATTAGTGAGGAATATCTGAGCATAATGCATGACAGGACATGGGGCGAACCAAGGCAGTTGTATGAGAAAGTAATATGTTGGCATTCACGGGATGTCTAGGGTTAAGTAGCTCAATGTTTAAGAAAGCAGACTACCAATAAATGTGCGCAATTGTGAAATAGGAAATCATTCTGAAATAGGTAGCTTTGGAAACCCTGTTTGAGAGTATTTTCTTCAGAAAAAGTAATACAACATGCTATGTATTCTGCCCTGATATAATTTAAATATAGATTTGCAGAAATACCTGTAGTTATGACAGCAAGTTGGTTGGTGGTCACTACCTGACCCCGACGACCTTGAGATGACCTACAGCAGCAGACACAGCACAAGACGATTCCAACAATCAGGGCGATCAAGGACCCGACACCACACACGATCCCGATAATCAGACCTGTTGCCGACCCGGAACTGTAAGATAAACTTAATATATAGAAGGGGGTCCGTTTTAAGGTAACTTTTCGATTCAACATATATTGCTAATTATTTGAATTTAATATTTATTGACGTGTAGATCCATTAAAGCAGGTAGAAGACTCGTCCATAAGCTGATAAATAACCCATTTTAATAAAAACTATTATTCCGTTCTGCCAAAATAGGTCAACTGATTCATAAACACATGTTTATGGTATAGTCAGAATCGTACAATCGACTCGGCTTTATGCAGAGATTTCTATTGGATATGGAAAGTGTTTTGTCGCTTTATTTTCACAAAAGTTATTAATGGTAATTTGTACATCGTCAAGAAAATCTCTTTGATTAAAGCTGACATCTACCTTTAGACATCAACTGAACCAATCCCTAACATCTTCAGGACCTGACCAAAAGTTAGGTCGTACATCTACTTACCTTCCATATGAACTGCCACAGCAATATCTGTACAAGCTATTGCCACAGCAGCTTATGGAACAGTACTTGGCCCTGTACGATCCAAAGGACGTTTTCTCATAGCACACTTGGTAAGCAGATGCTAAAGGAACAGATATTCCAGTATAAAGCATAAATATATCTTTGGCTAGTACTAATTTTGATAATAATGTGTCATACATTAACATGTAATCATTGTAATAAAATTGAACACAAAATGAATTCAACAAATATTTATTTTAGGGATTACAATTAGGGATCGATCGCATGAGGTGATGCGAGGTGAGATGGGGGTTTATTGTCGTGTTCAAGTTTATTTCACTTGCATGTGTGCGTGTGTGTGGCTGCTTGTACTAGTACGGACACTGCTATTCCACTGAGATATCAGGACGCAGTTTAACATGAATACCCCACTCAGTTTACTGACTCCGGGATGTTGTTTTAGCCCCTAAATCCCGGGTGCAAGACAGGGTAGTAACGTATCTTTGGGAATTTTTCCATAACAATATTTAATGTTTGCTTTCTGGACAACCGTTTATAATTGGCTGAATGAATAGAATCAATGAGGCCTGTGGCCTTCTTTTTATATCAGGTTGTTAGTATCTACCAGCTTGCATTAAATCATTAAAGTCTTGAGTAACAGTTGTCTCATATCTTCTCTCCATGTTCTCCTTTAGAACAAACTTTCCTTGAATCCCTTCACTCCAACCCCCTTCTACGCTAACTTCTCTCCCTACTCCATCCAATTCTCTCCCCACTCCGATCACACACCCTCCCCCTTCAACTGCCTGTGGGAATGATAGTTTAACCTATCTAGCAACGCATTACTATCGCCTTGTTTATGTGTGTATCAATTTAAAAATCCCCGAACACACACAATGAATTAACATTGATCGGTCGAGAGCGGGCTAAATACATAATGTCTGTTACTAAAGCAGGATGTTCCCTATCTCAAAGTTAAATGAAATGAAATCTATCGTTAAAAGTATTCTCATCTCAGACAGAGCCCAACCACTGCAAGTTTTCACAGAATGTACACAATAATATAGTACGTCACAGAGTCAGTAACTGATCAGTCGAAAAGTAACAACATATTTTACTCAAACTTGCTTCCAACACTGAGAATCTATCTATAATCCCAGCAATTTACGCAAATCCCCGTTGATAAATTCTGACATGATCGCCGTCAGACCAGGATGGCGCCATGTTTGTTTGTAAACATAGACATTAGTACCAAACGGACCTTTTGTAATATTATATTGATTCCTTAATTGACCCAAACGGATACGCTTAAATCAGTTAGCTTTATATTGCCGAGAAACCAACCCATGAAATAAGAAAAAGAAGTTTCCCGGAGGGGTACTATGTTACGTCGAGATCTAGGTCACCCATCTATGCAATAGATGTTTACCTATACTTATCACGATATATCCATCACAATCACCATACGATATTCGAGTGTTATTGATCTACTGATCTAGATAGTACTATATACTCACAGATAGCGAGTAAAGGCAGAATAATCAACACAATCTTCAGGGAAGTCATAGCGCTGAAGAAGTAGGTCGTCAGCTACTCACACCCGACTCTAGCTGTCACAGCTGCATGGGGATAGCTTCCTGCATAGCGGGTATTTGTAAAGACAGGTTAGAGGTCATGTTTATAGCGACAACTATTCGCTGCTGTCGTGTTGGGTGTGAACGCCTTCTCTTGTGGATTTCAATGACGCATGTATTCGACTGAATACATGCTATAAATAGTGACTAGGCGGGAAATCCTGCTTCGTGATGTAGATGTAGCAGGGGGCGTGGAGTCATCCCACAGATGACATCATTACCTTGTCAGCTTGCTGACGGGGTTAACCTCTTTGGTCATGTGGACAAGGCGTCCGACCTCGGATCAGAAGGTCCGTGGTTCGAATCCCATCACGGGACTCGGGAAATGTTATGGCCGCTACATTGGCGCCCAACGCGGGGCTGAGCACGTTCATATTAGATTTGAGCAAAATAAGCCTCAGTACCCTACTATGCGGCCCGGGACGTGCCTTCTGTTGACGGGGGAGTATGTAGCAGGGCGTGGAGTCATCCCACAGATGACATCCTTACCTTGTCAGCTTGCTGACGGGGTTAACCTCTTTGGTCATGTGGACAAGGCGTCCGACCTCGGATCAGTAGGTCCGTGGTTCGAATCCCATCACGGGACTCGGAAATGTTATGGCCGCTACAATAACAAGCAACCTACGGAGGTCGAGGCGACCAAATGGATCGGGTGGTCATGCTCGGTGCAGACTGGTCATCCTACCCCGACGACGTATTTCGTTGTTCACTGGATTGTCTGGTCCAGATTCGATTATTTACATGCTGCCTTCATGCAGTTAGAATATTGCTGATTGCGGCGTTTTCATTCTTAGATCTATGCGTGAAGATTCAGAGTGACAAAACACTCTCCACAAGACTGTATGACAAGAGGGATGACTTCAACTTTCCAATTGTCAACTTTCCCTTCGTGTCGAGCAATATTCCAGCAGCTCCAGCCTTTGGTGTTTACATTTCGCAATTTTTGAGATACAATCGAGCATGCTCTTTCTACCAAGATTTCTAAGAGCGTCATTCAACTCTTGCTCAGAAGTTTTTGATCAAAAGTTTTATGGTAGACATGTCGAGGACATTTCCAAATTTGACGCATCAGTGACAAACAATATGACCGATGCAATTCCCTATTGTGACTTGTACCATATGTACCTATGTTTTTTCAGGTGAACAATTGACTTGCCTTTGCATGTGTTTTTGACGGGTGCCACCGGTGGGACAGGATACGCTCACCTTTTCGCGAACACCTGGTATCATTACTTTTTGAAAGAGAATTATTAACACATGCTCATGTTATAGTCGGAATTGTACAATCGACTCTGCTTTATGCAAAGATTACTATTGGATGTGGAAAGGGTTTTGTCGCTTTAATAAATCAGCTTTACTATGAAATTGGAAATTGCTCGATTCTGATTGGTTAATCAGAGGTTATCAAATCACAGTAAACCCTCTCTGATTGAAAGTTTACGGTCACATCACCGTTCCAACTAATATTTGTATAATACTAGTTCTTTTAGCGATGAGATAGCATAACAGTGACGTGCGGTGAAGAACGAAACCCTGCAAGACTTGCTTATTTTTCTTTATGGCTGCCCACTTCATGTCAGCTTACGACATGGCTGGGCTACATGCTTTCAGTGTTCGCCAGATGTTCGCGTGATGTATCACGGTGTAACAAAAAACTGCTTGAAGATGCTGCGCTCTATTTTGTTCACAACACTGGACTGAACCATGCTGCTTCACTCAAGTAATGTTTTATTTAGTCATGGTTGAATAGAAGTAAACATACTGCGTCATCAATGTAGGACGAGGTTATCTGTAAATTCAACCGCGATACATTTGACATTTGTAAAACTCACGCTGTGCTTTCCAAATGCAAATTTAAGGCAGTTTTAAATTTAGCTCTGCATTGAAAACACGTTTTTCCTTCTAAACAATGAATGTAGAAAATAGTCGTTAGTTAACTGGTTTTGTTAAAACCAACAACGAGTTCTTAATAAGTTATATTTTGACTACCAGTACTTGCTGTACAAACCAATATATTAGCCAGAACAAATATCCTGAAGGACTTAATGTCTTATCTGGCAGACAATGGCAGGAGTGTCTTTCCATAAGCAGCTCGCGGCTATCTACGTTTACCCGCTGGCAATATCATTCAGCTCACTGGTATCTGATCTGTATCTTCCCGCCGCAATATATCCCGTATTCCACTCGCGGGTATTGTATCTACGTCTTCCCGCTGGCAATATATCCCGTATTCCGCTCGCGGGTATCTTATCTACGTCTTCCCGCTGGAAATATCATTCAGCTCGCGGGTATCTTATCTACGTCTTCCCGCTGGCAATATATCCCGTATTCCGCTCGCGGGTATCTTATCTACGTCTTCCCGCTGGAAATATCATTCAGCTCGCGGGTATCTTATCTACGTCTTCCCGCTGGCAATATATCCCGTATTCCGCTCGCGGGTATCTTATCTGCATCTTCCCGCTTGCAATGTATCCCGTTTTAAGCTCACTGGTATCTTATCTCCGTCTTCCCGCTGGCAAGATATCCCGTATTCCGCTAGCGGGTATCTTATCTACATCTTCCCGCTTGCAATGTATCCCGTTTTCAGCTCGCGGGTATCTTATCTCCGTCTTCCCGCTGGCAATATATCCCGTGTTCAGCTCGCGGGTATCCTATCTACGTCTTCCCGCTGGCAATATATCCCGTGTTCAGCTCGCGGGTATCCTATCCGAGATTATTTTGTTTAATGCTATGAACATTATTAACATTATGGAAGGACATTTTCATTGTATGTGTTTTATTTTTAGATGTCTTTTATGTATTTTGTTTACTTTTTAACATTATTGACATATAAATGACACTGTAAATTGTATATTATAGTATTTAAGTGTAAAGCTAATTGTATGGTATAGTTGTTCAGTGTGTCACTTATGAAAATATGAGACGGCCCCATGTCTGCTATTGTCCGCATCATCCTGCATGGCTGGGGGCATGGGTGATCCAGTCGTCTTAGGCGCCGCGATTCGCTGTGCTTGATTGTGGGTTCGAATCCCGATTACGTTTCTAGGTTTGTCAGCACCATACCCATGCTCGTGGGTTTCACCGAAGTCGTAAAACGTCTGAGACCTACATTATTTCGTGCTTTCCTCCCACATCAAGCTGACACGCCGCGATATAACTGTAATACTGTTAAAAGCGGCGTTAAACCCAACTCACTCACTCACTCACTCAATCATGCATGATTGATTCGCCTGTTATAAACAACAGGTGGTGGCAAAATGAGGAGACACCTTTATAACACACACCGTATCACTAAACGGCAACTTGTTGTGATATAACTACTCTCACCATGCACAACGTGTTCTATATTTGCGCCACCTCCACACATGCGACATTGTTTACAAGGATACAACTCTTTTTCAAACTGAGTGAAACCTTCATAAAATGGCGAGGGATGTGGTGGTCTGTGGTTATGCGCTCTCGACATTTAGTAAATTAGAGTGACCTCCCGTGGTGGTATTTCGATGAACGACACACTATATCATTCGAGAAGTTCCGTGAGGTTACAGTTTCTGGAAGGCTGGCTGTACCTGTATAAGAGCAGGATGGATGCGATTCGAGGCCTTGGAAGACCTGAGTTCACGTTTTCTCTCCTTGCCTGGTACGGACGGGATACCTGTCTGAAAATACCAACTTCATGCCAGCTTTCAACTATGTGTCCGGGATTCATTTGCAAATTAAGCACGTGCTACATTCAAGAAATTCCACTGTGACAAATTCTGGACATTCGTGTGTGCAGTGACACATATATGGTCTATAATATTGCACTGCCAATGTGTCCCTTTGTATTGCCTCGTGTGATTGTATACCTAATCCTGTGGCTTTCAATATAATTTGTTGGGGCACGGGTGGCCCAGTCGTCTAAGGCGCCGCGATTCACTATGTAGAGTTGTGGGCACGCCAGAAACCTATGATTGTGGGTTCGAATCCCGGTTCGCCCCGATTATGTTTCTAGGTTTGTCAGCACCATACCCGTGCTCGTGGGTTTCACCCAAGTGGTAAACGTCCGAGACCTGCATCACTTCGGGCTTTCCTCCCACATTAAGCTGACACGCCGCGATATAACTGGAATACTGTTAAAAGCGGCGTTAAACCCAACTCACTCACACTCACAATATAATTTGTTAATTATTCTTTTATATTGTGTGGTTATCTACTGATTTAACAAATTAGTTCTGTATTGCCCGATTAATACGTTAACCTTCGTGTATGAACTTGAGAATAACCGCGTAACACTGTATCCTGTTTCTCACGGATTGTCGATATCTTTGACTAAAGTACTGGGTGTCGATTGGGGTGTTGTCTTTCCACTTTAAAGTAGATACATCAGTGGATACTGCATGGTGAGTGAGTAAGTGAGTTGGGTTTAACGCCGCTTTAACAGTATTCCAGTTATATGTCAGCTTAATGCGGGAGGAAAGCCCGAAGTGATGCAGGTCTCAGACGTTTACCACTTCGGTGAAACCCACGAGCACGGGTATTGTGCTGACAAACATAGAAACATAATCGGGGCGAACCGGGATTCGATCCCACAATCATAGGTTTCTGGCGTGTCCAAGGGACGCAACTGTGCACAGCGAATCGCGGCGCCTTAGACGACTGGGCCACCCGTGCCCCCGGATACTGCATGGAGATAGTATTCGTAACCAGAGCGCCACATCATGTCAACTGTTTTGAAAGAATAACATCTGGCTGACGGTGCGTTATGGACATGCTTACCTGTTTTGTGTGACTGGATTTCTGATCCAGCATGTGATTGACCCTTTCCTTTACATGACGCCTTCGCATGACAGGACTACTGCTGTGCTTTTTCAGACAATAAACACACATTGTTTATGTAAATTGTGTGAGTGGCGTACGCTACTGGTACGGGGGGATATGCTTACCCTTTTCTCGAACTTCTGGTGTCATCACTGCTATTTTGCCTTTTACACCAAATGGAATCTGGTGTTGGCGTTTTATATGGACTAGATATTTCTCCTTACTGATCTTTTACTCGACATACGACATTACTAGATACTTTTCAAACTGACATCAACAATTGTTGTCGATATGATGATAAGGAGTGGTATGTTATATCCAGCTATCAGAATTCCCCCTATTAACTACGTATGTCAGTCGTATTTCAATATAACATACACATTTCCGCTTACACGTGTGTACGTTCTGACAGTGGCTGATGTCAATTATGTAAATCAACACCAACAAACAAAAAACAAATACTAACATTTCGTTCTGGTGTTTGTACATCTATAGAGTTGTTATGATATATAAAACTCAAACTATATGAAACAATCAAAGTTTCTTAAAATCAAATCCTGAAAATGTCTCTTTCACATACAGGCAAATATAGAACGCCAATGTCAAGAGAAAAAACAGTTGAGATTATCCAGCTTTGTCATATATCTGACAACAGTTGTTGGTGTGGTTACACATTCCAAAACAACTGACTAATTATTTCATTTAACCTTAGAAATTTAGATAATTAGAAATTGACATCTGAGCAAATAGTCCATGTCTGTGTTCAAGTTGTGTTTGGTCTGACAATCATGGTCTGGAATAAGTTGTATTGTTAATATATTGAATAAGGCGATGGTATGACAATTTATTATACATGTATATACCGATAACTTAACATCAATAATCAAACATCGAAAATATGCTTGTTTCTAAGTATCTGATTCTGTGACACGTCAAAGCTTCTATAATCGTCTCAAGCGCCACTATTCTCTCGGTGTAGTTGCGTCCTTTAGGTACGACAGAAACTTTACACTAGGTTTGGAATTCGAAAACGCATTTGATAATTTTAACTTACTAAATCTCCGTTGCCTATGCATCAGACTGAAATGTGAAACTGGACCACCAAGTGTGATTTTGGAACTGTGGTCAGTTATCAAGACCAATCCCATGTACAGTAGAATACATTTCTGCCATGAAAATTGAATAAACGAACAACATGGATTTGGATAGATATTTTACTTTGAAACATTTTATACACTCGCAACTGTTGCCTGCAATTTGCTGCGTGAAAAGTATCAATAATATGAAACACATCATCAATAATAACAATGTCATATAACATATTTCATATGTTGTTGCAAATAAAAATGGACAAATATACAGTAACGGAACAATCATTCATAATGTGTCAATTATCATTACGGGGTCTTGTAATAGAATACCATATATCATTGCAAGCTAAGATCGAAGCACATTCAGAGGATTATGGTCACAGCGGCACCATGGAAAACGACAGTGCTTATTTGATGTTAAGTTCAGGATTGTTCAGAGGCCACCCAGAATGTTTTCAACTGTAGCATTTGTTAGCATTATGCTACAAATGAAGAATGGTGTCTATGTTGAACAATATCATATGGTTTGAATGTTGTTAACATTATGTTATATTCAGAGTGAGTGAGTGAGTGAGTGAGTTTGGTTTTACGCCGCTTTTAGCAATATTCCAGCAATATCACGGCGGGGTACACCAGAAATGGGCTTCACACATTGTACCCATGTCGGGAATCGAACCCGGGTCTTCGGCGTGAATTGGATTGAATGTTGTCAGACTGCCAAATAATGTTTATGATAAATAGATGTATGATGCATGGTAAAAAGTGGATGCGTTCCCTATATATGCCGAATAATATATGGTCACGTTTTCGCCAACAATACCTCGAGCCGTTTAACCAATTTGATGCCGTTGACAATGGTGGTGTATTTTCACGCATAGCCGTTTTTGCCTATCCCATTTAGGGGGTAAAAAGAACTGTCACAACGCTATTCTTAAAGTTTGTCATTCGTACATTGACAACATCCTTTAGAAGGTATGACTACATCAATGTATGAACCAAACGCAGGACGTAACAAACAAAATGGTAAGTCGTAACAAATTCATAGACTACGTAATTAGACGGATATGTTTAAATATTTTGTTCATTAAATGAATATACCTCGGTACAAAACTACATATGTGATATCTCACGTCTAATCTACTTTAAGTTGCATCGTCATCATTATAGCTTGTAACGATGGTAGATAGTCTAGTGGAAATTGTGTAATATTTACTAATTTTGTATTTTATGAAAATGCAAAAGATGCAGTACATAGATGAAAATGATGTATAACATGGATGATAACAAACAATGGATAGTCTAGTGTTCATGTGCATGTACCTCCTTCGGAGATATCTGGAGATCATTGGATTTTACTTACGAAATAATGATGTAATTGTATAAAATTATACATTCAGACGAACAATATGAAGCTTGTCAAACATTTCTACAAGAACTATCTATGGATTCATGTGATTCCTGCACATATGCCTTTGTTATTGATTTTGTTGAAAACTAACATATTTGGTTTTTACTTTTTTTATAAATAAATGATATTATCCTACATGAAAACACAATGCCATTTATCGTGTGCTGGCGATTATGTGCCTCACTCTTGCAGTGTGGGTTCGAATCTCGGATGGGACTCAACCTAAAAAGGTACTCGAATCTGTACTTGACTAAGATAGTGTTATCCCAAATATAACATTTGTTACTATCATACATGATTTACAAGTCTGTTTGTTCTACTTTACATCATGTTACTGCATTTTACATATCCCGCGAAAACATGTTTTGTTAAAAACTTGATATACTTACTTGCATCATATATCTACTTGCTAACGGTTGTTATGTTCCAACACACTTTAATAAGAAAATACTTATACCTGCTCTACATGCAAAGCATGTACTGAGAGTGTTAACGTTTTGTGTCATATCGACCATTTATCCGTCACGAAAAGCTAAAGTCTGTACATCGCCCATGCACACATGTATATAGTATAAGTTATTGACAATCACTTGTTTGGTGACACATATATATAACAACCAAACAAAGTTTATCATATATCCGTAACTGTGGCAGATGCTGTTGTTGCAGTAGGCGAGGAAGGGACTGAATGTGTAGATGAACGAGACTGGCGAGGAAGAGAAGGAAGACGTTTCATCTCTACGGGTGGGAGGTAATACGGATCGGGTGGCGGCTCAGCTGGGTAGTCTTTGTCAGGATAGGGTGCATCGGCTGAAACTGAAGAGTGAGTGAGTGAGTGAGTTAAGTTTTAAGTCACATGGGCAATATTTCAGCCATAACGTGACTATGAAACTGAAGATATGTCAGTAGTTATTATATGTTTTCAAATGTAAATAATGTCCTAATAATTATTTATAATGCCACAGCCAAGATAAAAAATATTGATATGAATTTCGCTGGAATCTTGGTTGGTTTGATGAAGGAACTAGGAGTCAAAGGGCGCTTTTGCAGCTGTTAATGATTCATTAAATATTAACACTAAAATAAGAGTCCTAATCTATGTCAATAAAGACAATGTGAAAGAAACACGGTTTCTACAGCTACTGGTATATGGTGTTTGATTTATTGTACAGAAAATGGTACTTTTGAGATAAATACCTAAATCGTAGTCCATCCAAACAAATAATGTGAGGGAGGTGGGTTTTAAAGACGCTTTTTTTAATAGTATTCCAGTTATATCACGGCGTGTCAGCTTAATGTCGGAGGAAAGCCCGAAGTGATGCAGGTCTCAGACGTTTACCACTTCGGTGAAACCCACGAGCACGGGTATGGTGCTGACAAACCTAGAAACATAATCGGGTCGAACCGGGATTCGAACCCACAATCATAGGTGTCGGGCCAAACAAATAAAGCTCGAGTTTGTTTTAAACATATTATATTGACATTAAAAGGGCAAATGGTTGCCCAACATACAACACCATTTCTATAAACACATTTACAGGTAGCGGACAATAATGTAAATATTAAGCATATAGATAAAGTGCATTCATCATCCAAAACTGGCTCCCACAGGTGAGATCAAGCGATATCTACATTGAAGATACCGCTGCAATGAAATTGCATCACAATGCTTTGCAGACCATTGTGACGTCACTGGTTACCATGACGTCACAATCAAATGACACCATTAATGGCTACTGCTACTGAAGCTGTTAGCAGTACTTTTTACACTTAAGACACTGCTTATTACTGTCTACAAACTGAAAAAGTTGGAAGAATGATGTAGGTTGAAAAATTTATTCCTCACCCTCTTGTCTTTTGATATCAAAAGACACTCGGGTGTGATTCTCTAAATAAATGCGATACTTCCATGGAAACAATCACATTAATAATATATAAAATCACATATTCTATTGCTGTGGTGAAGGCACCGTGTACTCCACTATGACGTAATGTATATAAAGGTACATTTGCAAATTTTATCGAATACTTTACTTATGTCTCAAAAAACATATCTTTTGTCTTATCTTTGAAATTATATAATTTGGCCACTTGACACGCAGTGAGATCACCAGCTTCAAATCCTTATTGCAAAGATGTAAGAAAAAACTGACACATTCTTTAACACACATTTCTCATACACTTTCGACAAACTGGTATGAGGGACAGCTCTATAATTAGAACTATCATAATTTTATACTTATGTACTCGAACCACGGAGGAACATGTCCATATATCAGGAAAATGTGAAGTTAATAATGAGGAATTTAAGAAATTACATAAAGGACAAAAAAATAGTTCTGCTAAATACTTGAGGACACGATTACTAATAGTATCAGTCCACGATGTTGCTTTGGATAATAAAATGTCTCTAACTTCAGATTTTTTAGACTTATACTCAAATCAAACATTGACATGTTTGACATAATGTATTAATGTTTGCACACGATTTTAAATATCAAGACGGCATGTGTTAATTAGCAAGACATATCGCCAAAAGGAATTGTATTGAAAAATGACCTCCAACGGATAAAATATTGATTCATTATGAAGTTCTTATGGCATTATAATTGGGACATTCGAGCAAAAAAGTGATAGACGTTTTCACATAAATTTCCACACAGGCATATCAGGTTTTCTGACAAATTGACTTTAAATAAATCTGCATTATGGGAACTAAAGGCATGTAACATTCGGGTATGAATGATATTTGCTACCCTGTCCCCAGATAAGAAGTGAGTATGGTTTTACGCCGCTTTTAGCAATATTCAAGCAATATCACGGCGGGGGACACCACAAATGGGCTTCACAAATTGTACCCATGTCGGGAATCGAACCCGGGTCTTCGGCGTGACGAGCGAACGCTTTAACCACTAGGCCCCGTCTAGTGGTCCTCTGACCATGATGAGAGTTTGTCATTATAGTGTATACTAGTAAGCTACTACGCCAATCCCTATCAAAAGCTTCAGAGACATCACAGAATATCATACAATTCCTGCTTGTTAACAGATAAATCAATGTTAGTATTAATTCCAAGTATACGTGTAATAGTAGAGTGTCCTGGAACAAATCCGGATTGGATTGAATTGCAACAGCTGATTTCTATAAAATGGTTGTGAAAATGTTTCAAAACAAGTCTGTCCAATAACTTCCCTGGCATAAGCTTATTAGTCTATAATTCAAGAAAGGAATTTGTGTTCTTATTCAATGTCATAACGTGAGGTTATTTGCTCTCAAATAAAAAATGTGTGATGATTTATTGAAGATGATGCAAAATGGTATTTCAACTGTATCTGCTTATGGCTCTAACATGTTTAAAGTTATCCAGACCCCTGGATTTATTACAAGATACAGACTTGACAAGGTCACGACTTTCTAGCTCTTGTATGGTGATATCAGCGAGGAAGCATGAACAAGGTTGTTAACAGGGAGGTATAGGGTGAGTATTAGCTTCAACAGTACCAGGAGACTCACAATAACCATAGAGAACTTCAGTATTGTCAGTATCTTAAACACTGAAGGTTTATCTGAGCTAGCTTTAGTAAAACGCGTGGGGATACATGTCGTTCTTCAATCTTTCATAATGTATCTAACAGTCTCAAATAAGTAGTAGTATTTTGTTACTTGCGTATCTAGGAATCTCTTTATGTTTGAATTAAACTTTCTTTGGCAACCTTTTTCATATTATTTAACTTATTTCTTTTATAATTCGACGTTGACGTTGGCGGTTTATGTGGTATGTGGTCGAGTAAGAAGACCCGTCAAATACCACTAATAAACAATGAGTGATTTGTTTTAATTACTGTAACAAAGTTTTAATTAGTGCTGTCATAATGCCTGTAGTTTTGGATAAATACCTTCCCCATTGGTGATTCCGGGTCAGAATAGGTACAAAGTGTACCACGCTTGTCGAAAGAGTCGACAAAGGCCATCGGCTGGTCAGTCTCGTCGACTTTGTTAACTGACGTGTCACCATAAGATGGATGTCTGGTCAAAACTCCATTATGTAAAGGCCGCTGACATGTAGGTAGAATAGTGCAGCTAGGGGCTTTGAAAACGAACCTCGCTAAATATAATATATACCTGTTGAGTTAACATCTTCTTGGCTGTTTGTGGATACTGGTTGACCCTGTCTTCGTGATTTACGACGACGGTAGAGGCAATATAATATGACACCCACGACCACAGCAATCAGAACTAAAATCCCCACCACGAGTCCAACAATAAGTCCAGTATTTGCTGTGCTGAAATGTAAACCAAGACGTTGTCAATGACATGTGGGCAGCTATTATGTCACAGGTACACGTCATTGTACTTCCTATTCCGTTTCAATGTCAGTCTTTAAGCTCCAACATATGAATTGTTATATAATTACCAGATAATTTCTGAAAGGATGCTCGAGTTATGATGTACTGTCATCAAGGATACAAGGTTCGATGGGGTAAACAATCCAGTGAGTGAGTGAGTATGGTTTTACGGCGCTTACCAGGAATGGGTTTTCCCGCCTACCCACTAGCTGGAGACCAGAGTTCGATTCCTATCTTGGATACAATATGTGAAGCAGTTGCTTGTGTCATCCCGCCGTAATATGGATGAACTATTGTAAAAGGCGGTGTAACCTCTACTGCCAAACACACTCATCAAGATGTTTCACATTTCGAGACTTCGAGACTTACATATTTACTTGTGGTTGACTTCATAAACACACAATGTCTCAACCACATTTAACTGTTATTTGTGATATCTTGATTTATCTATTTCTGTCACAGAGTCCAATATTATCCATTGTACTGAATCTCCAATTTGTTATGATAAATACTAGTACCATGTACACATTTGCTACCATAGCCTCGATATAAGCCCATTTCGAGTGTGACGACTCTAAAACAAAGCGTCCAGTTAAATCACTCGCACGAGCGAGGGGGATTCTGTGCTACTAATGAGATAGGAGAGATTGAGGTGGTCACGTCACTTCCGAAACATACTTATGGCGATAAATTTATCATAATAAAATGTCATAATAAAATGGAGATATAACAGAAACATAGGTCTCTGACTTTCTGGTATGAGTATACCTGTAAGCGTTGTCAGTGACGGTCTGTGTATTACGATGACGATACGGTGAGAATTTCATAATGATGTTTAATTATTGCAATATGGATGTGTAACTCCGCACTCAAAGAAATGTCTTTCTGACACACTCCTCAATAACGAATGTCCGATCCATTTGTCTTTTGGCAGTAGCCTACGTGTACATGTATAATATCCTACACAGTGTGATCAAACATAACAGGTCCTGTGACATAATGATATGACATGACATAATGAATGAGTAGTATTATGCCGCTTTGAGTGGTATTTCCGTGGTATCACGGCGCGCCAGCTTGATGTTAATGGAAGGTCCTAACGATTGCCATTTCGGTGAATCCCATGAGCATAAGTATGGTGCCGATAATCCAGTATGGGTCATAACTAGGCGAGCCTTATTCAAACCAACGAACATGAACCACATGATCATGACACGTCTAAGGGACGCAACTCTGCACAGACTAGGTCACCGGTTAGCGTCGCCTGACACACCGAGCTTCGCATGGTATGCATAATAACGGCGCTTCACCAGTAAAATACCACAAAAACACAAATGTGTACCCACCCTGGCTCGCTGCAGCAGTATGTAGATGACAAACCACAACAGTTGAATTCACAGTATTTCTTTCTGTAAGTCCCATCAGAATTTTTCACGTAACACACTTCTTGCGCGTTGGCTTTGGAGGAAACGAATCTGATGATTAATAGCATGCTTTAATTTTTAATATTGAAGAATCAACAGAAAATGTGACAGAGAACAGTAGCATACCCTCACTGCTTTTGGTGTGGTTAAGTAAATGATTAAAATAAAGTACATTGTAATATAGACTTACTATTTCAAGCAGCGAAAACAGGCTGCACAATCACTCCCGTAAACACCCCCGTAAGCAATGAACGTTTACGCATGAATGATTCGTGTTATCAAGATCAAAATCAACATTCGCGTCCTGATCTGACACATTAACATGAACATATAGATGTACTCACAGATAGCGAATATAGGTACAATAATACATCCACCCTTCAAGGAAGTCATTGCGACACCATACAACATGGCCGTGAGTGACCTAGTTGTGAGTCGCTTGCGTGTTGATCTTCCAGGGCACCCGGCTTGCCAGTGTACTGTATGGAAAGCGCCAGACCATGACGCCCTATTTGAGGCGTCTACACATGTAACGCAGGCCGCCTGCGGGCGACCAGTGTGTGGGGAGGGGGGGTGGGGTATTAACGGTGACTCTGCATATTGTACATTCAACAAGGTGCGAAGCGCACGGTGTGTGTAAGCAAAGGAAACATGAGTTGTCGTTTTAAGCCTTTTAAAAATTACTTGTATATGTCAGTCAAAGTCATCCGAGAGCCTCCATGGAGTCCGACGGTCAAGATATGACCGGACATCAGGCCCTGACAGTCGAATCCTTGGCTATGTCAAAGGTTGACTGCAGTCAAATTGTTTACTTTCTGCTTTGTAAAGTGTGTGAAATTTGGGCTTTGTCCCCGGCGATTAGGGTACTTGGTTTTGGTTGTATGTTTGTTGTTTAACGCAATTTTCCAGCTATATGACGGCGGTCTGTAAATAATCGAGTCTGGACCAGACAATCCAGTGATTGACATCATGAGTATCGATCCAGGCAATTGGGATACGATGACATGCATCAACCAAGACAGTCGCCCCTTACGACAAGCATAGTCGTTTTTTATGGCAAGCATACGGTTGCTGAACCCGGATATTCACGGGTCTCAGGGTACTTGTTACTGATCAAGTTTATAAAGTAGACAGACAAAGATGTGTTTGACTGACTTCAGTCCAATTTGCTAGTCCAGCCAAATTGCCGAGTATAGTCCTTTGAGCGGATTGTAGACTATCAGTTAGTCTCTGAAACGAACATACTTCACCGTTGTGTATATTATCAGGATAAGATATAATAAAACGGAGCCCAGAGTCTATGTTCGTGTTCGGAAACTGTAAGAACCTAGACTTGCCAATTATTATATATTTTCATGGGCTGTATTGGAAACAGTGTGTTGTTTGAGGGTCTGAATGACAGACCAAGCGTATTGCAAAAGATGACGATTAAGAAGATCAGCAATTAAGCTAACGAAAATGTGAACGCTTAATTTGAGTAATTACAAATCCTACCAAACTATACACACATGTACACTGATATGCTGACAGGTCGATCAGCATGATCGTTAAAAAACATCTACTCGTTTCATATGACAAGCATGGTATTCTAATAATGCAGCGCCTGGAGCATACACAGCGCATGGATGGAGTCATGTGCTTCACGAGAGGACAATATAACAGTATCTGCTCTTTCCTGAAATTACATGGGACCTAAACGTGCAAAATAGACTGAGAGAAAGCACTGTCCAGGTGACTTTGTTAACAAATAATAATGTTACACACATGTGTAGGTTTGTGGATACCACATGTATATAGAAATATTCCGTAGACATACCACACGCAGTGTTGATAAGGATTCATGATGCAGCGAGGTCTATGGATCATCAGTATGTATCAGGATTGAGACACAATCACCTGCATATGACTTTGAAAGCAAACACGAGAAACTATTTTATGTGTGTTATCTGTTTATTCATATCTAATTAGTCCCCTATGCATAGGACAAATATATAACGTTTAAATAGCGTAGATCACATTTAGATGTGTGAGTGAGGTGAGGTGAGGTGAGGTGAGGTGAGGTGAGGTGAGTGAGTGAGTGAGTGAGTGAGTGAGGTGAGGTGAGGTGAGGTGAGGTGAGTGAGGTGAGTGAGGTGAGGTGAGTGTGTGAGTGAGTGAGTGAGTGAGTGAGTGAGTGAGTGAGTGAGTGAGCGAGGTGAGTTGAGTTGAGTTGAGTTGAGTTGAGTTGAGTTGAGTTGAGGTGAGGTGAGGTGAGGTAAGTGAGTGAGTGAGTGAGTGAGTGAGTGAGTGAGTGAGTGAGTGGAGTTGGATTAACACTGCTTTGATTAGTATTTCAACTGAGTCGAGCTGGGCTGGGAGGAAAGCCCTAAGTGACACAGGTCGTTGGTGTATATCTGGGATATACAGTGATGATAAAGACAAAGACCATCACTAGGGTGAACCTGGAATTCGAACCTACGATCAGCGGCACCTGACCATAAACCGCTGGACCACCCGAGCCCCTACAATGATGTAACTATGATTGATTTTAGATCTTCCTTGTGACATGACATGTCATGGTATGACAATAATACAGTGTTTTGGATCAGGTAAGTATTTTCGTTTTGAACAAGACATCGTGTAAGATACTGTCAACGTTTGGGTGTTCTCAAGGCCTGGCATCAGGAAGAAGGCACGGGAGAGAGAGACGCTGTCTGTGCAGGGGGTGGACCTGGCGCTGGTTGAGGGGATGACTCCGTCGTCGGGAGGTAGGCTGTTTCAACCATCACTGCAGCGTATGATGGGGGAGGCTGTGATATACCTGCCGTCGGGAGGTAGGCTGTTTCAACCATCACTGCAGCGTATGATGGGGGAGGCTGTGATATACCTGCCGTCGGGGGTAGGCTGTTTCAGCCATCACTGCAGCGTATGATGGGGGAGGCTGTGGCATACCTGTCGTCGGGGGTAGGCTGTTTCAGCCATCACTACAGCGTATGATGGGGAAGGCTGTGCCATACCTGTCGTCGGGGGGTAGTAAGCAGGGGGTGGGGCAGGGTAGGCGTGGCTTCTGTTGAGTGCAGGTGTAGTTGGTATCGTGCCTAGGTGAAGACAATACAGAAGAAGGAATTTCCTGGCAGCCATTACTTCTGTTCGTTGTTTTATACTGAACTAAGCAATATTCCAGCTATGGGGTATGTAAATATTCAAGTCTTGACTGAACGGTCTGGTGATTTACATCATAAGAAACAATCCACGCAGTCGGGATACATGACACACAATCACGCATTCACCGAACCAGATTACTCAAACCTTGTCGCCTCTTATGACCAGCATTGGCTCGTGGGTATCAATTCATACCAGGGCCCACTTGCACAAAGCGATATTAGCGCTAAGATTATCTTAACTCCCATACTTTAACATAGGCTTACGATAGTCTTAGCGCTAAGATCGTTTCGTGCAAGTGGGCCCTGGACTTCCAGCGGGACAAACATTTCACGAACCCGACTAAATCGTTACCGTACACATACGAAACTTTGCTCTAATTACAGCATGTCATACACGGCCGTCAGAGTTGGCGACAATGATGTGTTCACTCGTGGCTGCTGAAACTATCAACTTTAAAGAAACATATGCTATATGTTATCTCTAAAATGGGGTGTTACCTGTGGATATGACAGCAAGTCCGTTGCACGCGGCGTTATCGTTGTTACGTTGTTGCTTTGGTCTCGCCGACAGCAGCAGAAGAAGATTAGTACCACCAGGACGATCAGCCAAACAGTATCACTCCCGCGTCCAGTAAACAGCTGTGTCGACGTGCTGCTGTTGCCACTGTGATAGTCGACAGTCGAGTGAGTGAATTGTGCATCTTACATACGATATGGTACAGGATCATACTTAAGCTATGTATGTATGTATGTATGTATGTATGTATGTATGTATGTGCGTAAGTGCGTGCGTGCGTGCGTGCGTGCGAGCGTGCGTGCGTGGGTGGGTGGTTGGGTGGGTGCGTGCGTGCGTGCGGGTGGGTAGGTGGGTGTGGGTGTGTGTGTGTGGTGTGGGTGTGGGTGTGGGTGTGGATGGGTGGATGGGTGGATGGATGTAAAATGTGCTGCAGTATATGGACACATGTCATTTACGACACGGTGCAGTATATGGAAACCTGTCATGGACAACATGGTGCAGTATATGGACACCGGCCATGTACAACATGGTGCAGTGTATGGACACCTGTCTTGTACACCATGGCGCAGTATATGGACACCTGTCATGTACAACATGGTGCAGTATATGGACACCTGTCGTGGACAACATGGTGCAGTATATGGACACCTGTCGTGTACAACATGGTGCAGTATATGGACACCGGCCATGTACAACATGGTGCAGTATATGGACACCGGCCATGTACAACACGGTGCAGTATATGGACACCTGTCGTGTACAACATGGCGCAGTATATGGACACCTGTCTTGTACAACATGGTGCAGTATAAGGACACCTGTCGTGTACAATATGGTGCAGTATATGGACACCTGCCATGGACAACATGGTGCAGTATATGGACACCTGTCTTGTACAACATGGTGCAGTATATGGACACCTGTCATTTACATCATGGTGCAGTATATGGACACCTGCCATGTACAACATGGTGCAGTATATGGACACCTGCCATGTACAACATGGTGCAGTATATGGACACCGGTCATGTACAACATGGCGCAGTATATGGACACCTGTCATGTACAACATGGTGCAGTATATGGACACCTGTCATGTACAACATGGTGCAGTATATGGACACCTGTCGTGTACAACATGGTGCAGTATATGGATACCTGTCATGTACAACATGGTGCAGTATATGGACACCGGCCATGTACAACATGGTGCAGTATATGGACACCTGTCGTGTATAAATTTGTCGCTTATAATTATTTTAAATTTGTGCCATACAACAACTTCTTGAACACGGCAACACTTGTTTATTGTAAGGCGTACAACCCGTTACAGAAGTATGTAGAAAGAACTGCAAAGTCATTGAGAACATAGGCACGAAGACCTACCTTCCGCTTCCACAGCAGTATCTGGTGTTGGTTCTTCCACAGCATCTGTCGGGAACAGTACGCTGTCCTGTAGCCCCAATAATAACACAATCGGGAAGCAAACGCTACACAAAAAGAGACACCGTTAATTGTTCGTGGGGTGCTTTACCTAACACAATTTTGGTTTGAGGATGTCTGCTGGTATGTATTTGTGTTCACTGAGTAAATCGAACTATCGTTTATCGAGTCCTTTAGGAACACATTTCAAGTCAATCTGTCGCCAATATGAACGGTTGCAGGCAAGGATCGTAGACTCAACGTGAAGTCGTGTATGGCTTAAAACATCTTCTGCACAATGTGTGAAAAACCAGAAACGTATAATTAGGGCATAAATATCTTCCTTAAAACCTTGGCTTGCCATCCACTTGGTCGATCAAGCATCTGACGTTAAGGCAAAGTTAACCTCACACGAACAGTCCTTTCCTAAAAAACATCCCCACAGCTGATGGTCGAATATTCAGTAAAATATAGTTTTTAATAGCGTTAGAAATATACGCGTTTCTCACACATGCTCATACGGATCGTTTCAGAACAGTCTAATCAATATAAAACCACAACGTCTTAATGAAATGTTTAATGTCTACATGCATGACATGTGATGGTAATGAGAGGTATTTTATTTTGTTCTCAAGACTGGATGCGCTCACCATTGGGGTTGAAAGGAAGTCACAGTTCACAAAGCGAACATTAAACAATCGTTGGCAATGAAATACCCTCTAAATGTTAAATGTTGCACTTTTCAGGAATATCAGTTATGATTGGGGTTTCACATGCTTATTTAAACACCCTCATGGAAAAGAATGTCTGTTCTAAAACCTTCAGGTGCACATGGACAAAATCGGATCCATTAGAAATGCAGCATTTTGGGAATGCTCTTTTTCAAAGTTTCGATTCAGTAACTAACAGATACGGGGTAAAAGAAAACAGACGTAAACTGAAGTTAGGTTTGATCAGGTTTAACTCCAGCCCAGACAGGTTGGACACAGGATCAAGACTTATTACACATTGAAACTGTTGCGAACCTGTTGCCTTTGGTAATTATCCTTGACATGACCTTACAGAAGTATCAAATGAAACATACACTGTACATATATAAGACGAACACTAAACCAATGAAAACATTTCTGTAAAATAATTATAATTGTTTTTCTTCGAAAGAACCTTTCATCTTCCGTTGTTTTCATGTGGAATAAAACAAACTTGTCTTGGTTAGTTAAAGATTTGCCTCGGCTTTTAGTAGAAAACACATACCTAAAAATATAAATAATTTTATTCCACAATCATGGCGCAGGACAATACATATATGTACTTCCTATGTAGAATGCGGCATTTAGCGATGGGTGTGTCATACTTAATGTCCTTGCCTACATGTATGTAGTTGACAATGCATGGAATGTTCTGTTTGTTTCGTATATTTGTTTATTTTTGTTTTAATGCCATTGGAATGCAATCGAGTTCTTATTACTTCGCACAGATTTCTCTTACATTTAGCTGGCCCTTATGACCACTTTGATACGCATTATCTCACTGTCGTGACTTAGACACAATCAAGATAAATCGACCTCATCTGTTGGTTGTCAGTGGAATATAAGTCCATATACACTATACACCAGATTAACCAAAATGTTCTTTTGTAATGTTACCAACCGTTCAGACGTATGCTAAAGAAAAAACACATACTAACTCTGCCTCGGTGACCTCAGAATTCCAGACCATGTAGATGTCAACTGCTCACTTGTCGTTTTTACGATGACACAAAATCACCCATTTATTCTTGATACCTGAGATTAACACAATGTTCCCGTCACTGACCAATACGACATCGTTTTGTTAACACCCAGCCAGGTTGTTACCATTACAGCTGCTACTGCTGCTTCAAGACAGGGCCGTTCTCATCTATATATGACCGCGACATATCCAATGTGACTTTTACTAATCAATCACTTCTGAAAACACCATATTTTCACTCCAAAAAACAGCTTCTGTTTCCTCCTTGTTATAAGCTTGTTCGTGAGTCCAGTGGTTAAAGAGTCGGCTCGCCACGCGAAATATTCGAGTTCTATCCCCGCATGGGTTCAATTTGTGAATCTTATTCTCCGGCTGTTATATGGCTGTTATATTACTTTTACTCCTAATGCCATTGAGTCACTTGGTTACATTTATGTTTTCCATATTTGTTTTCCATATTTCATATTTGTCTTTATGTCTTCCCTTATTGTAAAGAGAATTTCAGTTACAAAACATGTACAGTCCTCCGTCGATTTCAGTAACCAATGGCAATTTTGGCCACAATATGTTGATTATTATTTATTAATAAATATATGTTTTAAAGTTTTGTTCTTGGCATTTGTGTACATGAACTGTCGACGGGTGTAATTGCATGCATGCATGTTTGACAGGAGTCCATGGTGGATTTCATCAAGTAAAGAAGGCAACACATGAAGCGTGTTTTATTGTCTGTGGGTCCTGGTGATGTGAGGCGGGCAGTGATTAAAATGTAATAATTAATTCATTATGGTTATTAATTGAGACTGGAGGCATTATATAGTTAATAAATATATGTTTTAAAGTGTTGTTCTAGGCATTTGTGTACATTAACTGTCGACGGGTGTAAATGCATGCATGCATGTTTGACAGGAGTGCATGGTGGATTTCATCAAGTAAAGAAGGCAACACATGAAGCGTATTCTATTGGCTGTAGGTACTGGGTGACAACAATATCTAATCATTACTTCATTAGGGGTATACGCGCGACCGACTATATGATCCATGTGAAGCTGGAAGAGCTATCAGCCTTACGCTGAAGAATGTCCTGACACTTGTACTTGTAACATATTTATGTTGTCCGGAAGAAATGACTTCGTATATTTACCATTGATGCACAATGCACACCGGAAGGCAGACAATTTATACTCATGATTCAAGTCGCCATTTCCCATAAATATCCGACTACATCCCCCTGGACATCCGTTCGCTATTACATTTTATTTGTTACAGCTAGTTCATGGTGACAAGGATGTATAAAGACTGTTAATCACACACTTGGTCTCTGGACATCTGGGACAAGAAGTCATATCGCTCACATAGTTAGTTAGTAATTCACATACTGAGTAACCAGCAGAGTTAATATACAGTGTTATTGAACGTACAGAACACGTAGATACCAACGAGGACTTCGTCCAGCCAGGAATCGTTTGGCTACAAGGAATAAAGGTTGACGTCACTGTCTGTTTGGTGAAGTGTAGTGAGGTGTGTGTTCACGATGTACTTTCTGAAACGTGGATGGATACTTCTCACTCTGACTGCTGTTTGTGAGTATATACATGCTCTATGAGTTTTTGGCCTTCGGGGAGAACTTACTGCGCTGGAAAACCACTAATATCACTATCACCAGCCAACCACCCCACCATCCCGATTGCATGGATCGATGCTCATGATATCAATCACTGGACTGTCTGGTCCAGACTCGATTATTTACAGACCGCCGTCATATAGCTGCGGCGTTAAACAACAAACCAACCAACCAACCAACCACCCCACCACCTCAAAACCGAACCACACCACACATGCCCTATATATTGATGCATTTTGAAATACATTACTGAAACATTAAATGTTGAAACAACGTGTCCTGGGATTTTTTCGGGTAATATTGTAGTTTTACAAGCTTTATGGTTGTAGTATGTGCACGTGTACCCCAAACGCGGCTCTTACACGATAAGGTAGTGTGAGTGATCAGTTGGGTTTAACGCCGCTTGTAACGTTGTTCCGGTTATAGCACGACGTTTCAGCGTGATGTGGGAGGAACGCCCGAAGTGATGCGGGTTTTAGACGTTTAACAATTAGGTAAAACCCACGAATACGACTATGTTGCGAACAAACCTGGAAACATGATTGGGAATTCGAACTCACAATCTGTGTTTCCCCGAACACCTAAGGGACACAACTCTGCACAGTTAATTCCGGCGCCATATGCGACTGGGTCACCCGTGCCCCCATTTAGAGTCTCGTTGTGTGTTTATGAGCGTAATGACACCGATGGTCTTGTTTTAAAGCTGTTTTAGTGTCACGATTAATTATATTTCAAGCGATGATGGAAATCCTTGGTTAATGTACACTACATGACATCTGCACATAGGGCATTTAGACACTGTTAAGTATGTCTGCTGGCATGTATTTGCGTTCACTGCGCAACTCGAATGTCGTGTGTTAGGCTATCGACAAAATTACGTCGCAGGGGAGAATAATGGAATAAAAGTCAAATCGTCAAACAAATAAATTGAACTGATTTACTTACGACAGGTCACGTATTCTGAACGGCAAACGTGAATGGGAGTAGCGCCGCTACGTGCTTACACTATGACGTCACTGCGACATATATAAATCTCGTTTCGTAACGTCATGGCACTGTATGACATCATCAATGCAACGTCGCTGCACGTTAGAAATTGTAGGAAATACGTAACTGAGCACGTTTGTATCCACTTGCTACAAAATGAGCACACTAACATAAAGAAACATGTTTTTTATAGCTGAACATTTTATCCCTAACATATTTGATTTTTAAAATTTTTTTTAAATAATGAAGTTTTTTTAAACACATGCTATTAATTATACGTTAATGTTAAACTGAAAACCCGGTGAATGGTTTCCTTACGAGGTGAGGTGAGGTGAAATGGGGTTTAACGTCGCGTCCAAGATTATTGCACTTATATAGCGACGTGCATGCACGTGTGTGTGTGTGTGTGTGTGTGTGTGTGTGTGTGTGTGTGTGTGTGTGTGTGTGTGTGTGTGTGTGTGTGTGTGTGTGTGCGGCTGCTTGTACTAATCCGGACTGATGCCGATTTATAGTGCTAGCTCACTGAGATACCATGCAGTTTAACATGAATACCCCACTCAGACACAGTATACCGACTCCGAGCCGACCAGTCCTTGTTTTAGCCTCTTAAAGCCGAGCGCCAGACAGGTTAAACAACAAGTACCATCTTTTAACGTCTTTTGGTATGACGCGGCCAGGGATCGAACCCTGGACCTTCCGCTATCCGTGCGGACGCTCTACCACTAGACCACGGAGGTGGTCCGGTTTCCCTACGAGTCTCTATAGGAAAGTGTGAGTGTGGCAGCAGTACTTACACTTTGCACCGAGCACAACAAATGCAGAGTCGCCTTCATATTTCAATTGGATTTGAAAACGTCCTCCTCTCAGAAACAGTTAAACACTCTGAATTCAGACAAGCGGACATCCGTAATAATGATGACGTGAACCCATAACAGGAACATATTCACACATGCACGGATTATTTCGAAATAATTGTCATTTAAATTGAGATTTAAATTTAGTCACATTCCCTGACGTGGGATGTACACACGGAGATGAATTGCGCAATTGACTTTCGCTCACTTTAACAGCGGAAACTCCGATATGAAACGTCAATGAAATATCAAAATTCAAATTTAAACGAGTGCATTGTACATGTATTGTGAACATTATTTATGGTACCAAATATAAGCGTTTGCTTTAACCGGATGCTGTTATAGCTTATGATCCAACGTATGACAACAGCATACTCTGTCAATGACCTGTGTCACTTGGGGCTATAATAATATATACCCTGATATAATTGAAATACTGTTTGAAGCGGCATGACACTATATAGAGTGTCTACCCTGTTTAACTAACACTCTTCAACATTCGACCACCTCCTTGCCCTAGAGCATAGAGTTGTCTACCCGGTGAGCGGAAGGTCGGAGGTTCGATCCCCGGCCGCGTCATACCCAAAGACGTTAAAAGATGGTTCTTGTTGTTACCCTTCCTGGCGCTCTGCATAAACAGACTAAAACATGAACTGATTGGCTTGGAGTCAGTATACTGTGTCCGGGCGGTGTATTCGTGTTAAACTGTGGCATGGTATCTCAGTGAGCTAGCACTATGAAATCGGCATTAGTCCGGACTAGTACATGTAGCCACACACACACATACACTTGCTTGCACGTCGCTTATATACGTGCAATAATCTTGAAAGCGACGTTAAACCTCATGTCACCTCATCTGTTCAAGGGGGCACGGGTGGCCCAGTCGTCTAAGGCGCCGCGATTCGCTGTGCAGAGTTGCGTCCCTTGGGCACGCCAGAAACCTATGATTGTGGGTTCGAATCCCGGTTCGCCCCGATTATGTTTCTAGGTTTGTCAGCACTATACCCGTGCTCGTGGGTTTCACCGAAGTGGTAAACGTCTGCGACCTGCATCACTTCGGGCTTTCCTCCCACATTAAGCTGACACGCCGCGATACTGTTAAAAGCGGCGTTAAACCCAACTCACTCACTCACTCACTCATCTGTTCTACATTGCTTTAACAAAATGTGCGAAGTTTCTTAATTCAGAAAGATTATCAGTACTTGATCATTTATCAAGTTCGATTACTTTTGATTTGGCTTTATAAAGTATTTTGATGTACATTATGTCTACGAAGATTATCAAAATATGGACACGGTAATATAAAAACGGTATTTATCGGTAACGGTAAATCATTCTTATTAAAATGATTACAAGTTCTGTCTTCGGGTCAATTTTTTCCCATCACCCCTTCTCTATTGCTTTTGTGTGGTTAGTAGGGTTTCTCAATGATACGAATACTAAGAGATGGCAAATAACATTTTAATTTTCTTTTATGTCAAATAATCTATCAAATAAAAACCTGTCGAAAAGTATGTACTGAACTTGTCCATCTGACATACGTCGACAGAATATAAATTTTAACATTCAATTTTTCAGCCTATGCCTTTGACGTGTGTACCGAGGTTGGGGATTTTCATACCAGGACACTGACGTGTGACGATTTATGTTGTGGGTCACTTTCTTCCAGATATTGTTGGTAAGTATGATTGTAAAGATGCATCACTTGTGACGTTAAAGATCATAACAAGCAGACGAAGTCATGATCATTCCTTTCCCAATTTACTCGCATTATTTTATCCGTAGATGTGAAAATACACTCACATACCAAATCAGATGTATGTAGCCTTGATTTAAACATACAGTTCCAAGCACGTGGTCCTATGTACAGCATGTAGGTCACACATGAGGCAAAAGCATTGTTGGTTGCGGAGAGTCACGGGATGGGTGACCGCGTACGGCAGCTTCATTCTTGGGATTCGGCCCTGCCCAACACCGAAGCAGCAAGTGACTGTTCGAAATGTGCCTCTGTTCACCCTGCAGTGAATGGGTACCCGGTAGGATGAGATGTTATGTGACTCTTAACCTTCCAGCCCCTCCCAGGCGGATAGGATTGTATTCTCCCAAGGGAGTTGAGAAAGAAAACCGCTTGCACACTGATCCCTTGATCGGTGTAATAATGGTGAAAGGCTTTGACAAAGTCCGTGTGTGGGGAGGCAATATATCGCAATATAAATAGCTATCATTAAAGTTCCTTGGTTACCAGCGTGATATATATATCAAAATGTACCACAATGTACGAAACGTTGATACATCAGATACATTTGAGATACATCAGATACATTTTGAATCCTGACTAGCGTAAAATGGTTGCCAATATTTTCACAATATCAGAGTGATAACATATTATTGCATTTATCCCTCATGGGGTTCTCCACACATTTCTGCTTTCATAAAAGGCGACATAATTGGATCGGATGGTCGGACTCAGTGATAATCATGACTCTGATAATCGAGACTGAATATCCTCTGGCGTTATGTTCATCATACTATCAATCACTGGTTTGTCTCGCCCAGCTTCGGTATAGCTGTACTAATTCGTGTTTCTTCTAGCTCAAAGAGACGTCTGTCAGCAAAGAGTATTGGGGTCGTCGTGACTTGTGTTGTGTTCGGGATCGCCTTAATTATCGGAGCACTCTACTGCTGTTGGTTATATCAAGGCCCCCGGGGTCGCGCCGTGACCACCAACCAACAACTAGCCGTCGTACAGACAGGTACTACACATACTCCATCAATATGTATAATCCATCAATATGTCGTACATGTGTTGATGAAATGACACATAACAGCTACAGTCGTTATTTTTATTTGACGAAACAAATGGGTACTTCCTACCTGGTTTCATGCCTGATTTCCAGTGGTCCATTCATATACTATTCACAGCTATTTGGCCCTTTACGCCAAATGGAACTTGTTTCGGCTGATAATCAAGACTGGTTATTCCCTTACTTTGACAATGTATATTTCTATGGTGTGAATGTGTTGATTCACAACGTATGTTGTGCTTTGATAACATTTTTGCATTTTTCGTTGTGGTTTTCTTTCTGAAAGGCTCTGAGGATGTCAACGTCTTCACATGTAATTTTGTTTTGTTTTCGTTATTTGGGGAAAGTAGTTCTCAGACTTTAAGGAATTAAATTTTTAATCATTATTAGGTACCAAATGCAGGTATGTCATATCAAAAAGACGCAATCATTAATCGTATTATTCAGTTGTTTTTCTCAATAGAACGTTTCTCCATAAACAGTAAATTGAAGTGGAAGTGTGTGCTTCAATCTCATTGGTTCAAACTCTTCTGTCAGTGCGTATGAATCCATTTCTTGCAAAGTATAATGTCCCAAATCTGAAATCCATCCTTGAGTCTGGAGACATAAATTGATATGCACTACTTTGGAGTTGCAGTTGAATATACAATGTAGGCATATTCCCTTTTATATATATCATCTCTGGAAATGAAAGTAACAGTGACACTATACACTGTGACCAGTGACCACACATTTGAGGAAGATGGTTCAGAAAAGATCAACAATAGTAGTTGTAGCTATCTACAGATATCTGGAAAATATTTTCATACTACTGGGTCGTAAAACTGAACTCACTCACCCTCTCATATGAACGTTGTGGTTTCATATAACTTTCATGATATAATAATAGTTTTGACATGCACGAATATCTGGACTCTGTTTTTTTTTTATTTAATGCTTATATACCTGAAGAAATCACTTTCCAGAAGATGCCAATTTCGTCATCATTTTAATCAAAACTTGTATGACAATGTAACTACTTTACTGCTCGATAGTACTTGAAAGAAAATATATATCTTAATGTTGCTATGTGGTGCTATGCTTGCTTTTAATATTCCCATATATACGAACAAGCAGGCTTGTACTTGTACAGGGGGTATTATTAAAATATGACATGCTTCTTATCATTACGAATTTGACTGCTCTGTTGTTTTACTATATGCCTATAAGGCTGATGCAGAATAACTGATTGCCGTTGACAATGTGAAGTAATACCCTTACTAGCCTCGCTATAAGTAGACTCAAATGTATCCTTGATCCTTTATCCAGGTACAAACCCCACCGGTGCTGCATATAATGCAGGATACATCTACCCATCTCAGCTTGCTCCAGGTACGTACTGCCCCCAACCTGCAGGGACGGAACAACCCCCACCACTCTACTTCCACAGACCAGGGCCAGTCTATGATCCAACAACAGGAGAAGCATTTTCTCCGTTTACACTCTCTGAAAACAACTCTGACACCAAAGCCTTGACAACCAGTGGGCAGGTTTAAGACAGCCTGCGGTGGTAGAGAATCGCGTAGCTGATAGACAATAGAGTTTACTACAATATCTGTTGCATGAATAGGGGTAAGGAAGCCCGGAGGGCAATCTTCTATGCATGATCTACTTATAAGCAGCAGAATCCCTGCACCTGTTCACAGAAGATTAAAACCAAAATTTACATACCTTTTTCAGTTTCAACAAATTCAGTAAATGCGATATCGTGTGACTTGATTTCTGGTCTTTCGCTTGATTGTCATCTTCTGAGTTAATTGTGTATGTTACATAGGACCAGTCGTTGTATCATACCTACGAATGATTCACACCACGTTTTACGTGATGCGTCAAAACAACCGCACGTAAACATAACGTACGTGTGTGCGTGCGTGCGTGCGTGTGTGAGAGAGAGATAAGTACTTTCGTCGTGCGTCACTTCTTATTGTAACGCAGTTGTGTATCATTATTTCTTTTGTATAAGTATTTGATGTTTTAAGATCATGTTTTTGCATTTGTTTCGGTCTGTTTTGTCGGCTTTAACCACTAGGCTACCCCGCCGCCCTCAAACACAAAAGTAATATGGGCAAGAGGACGATTTTCTTTAACTTCGAGAGAAATTCTAAGTGTGAGCAAGTTCGTGACGCAAGAGTCACAATCGGGAAGCATACGCTACACAAAAAGGGACACCGTTAATTGTTCGTGGCGTGCGTTTACCTTCCATCTCACAATGAACACAGTGTTAGTTGAGGATGTCTGCTGGTATGTATTTGTGTTCACTGAGTAAGTAAATCGAACTATCGTTTATCGAGTCCTTTAGGAACACATTTCAAGTCAGTCTGTCGCCAATATGAACGGTTGCAGGCAAGGATCGTAGACTCAAAGTGAAGTCGTGTATTGCTTAAAGCTGCCCACATAACGCACTTGGAACCATACGCTACACAAAGAAACACAGTTGGTACGATCAGTCAAGCTCATCTCTGACGACGATGTCAATAATTGTCCTCTGTACGTAAGGTCTGTAAGCCCTAATTCCTAGAGCCCTAAGTCGCCCAGCCACTATATGTCGAATAACAATATGCCCAAGGACATTCGTGACGTCACTGTCGAGAATCGATCAGGGAGATGCAAAGTACCGGCCCCTTTGGGCGTAGTTACCCTGGGTCTGCCTGTTCTTGGCCTGATGTCTGCCCGGTGTGTCTGTAACGTTGCATCAGGTTACTTACAGCAACACGGGAGCAACCAAGAGGTCTAGCAATGTGGGCACGGGTGGCTCCCACCTGTATCATACATACCCAGGGTCAGCTCGCGTTGTTCGGGGGTCAGACGTAGCATTCTGTGGGGGTTATTTATCAGTGTCATCGTCTGATATGCAGTCCGTATCATTTATATACCCTCAGAGGTTAAAGCGTTCGCTCGCCACACCTAAGACCCGGGTTCGATTCCCCACATGGGTACAATGTGTGAAGCCCATTTGTGGTGTCCCCCAACCGTGATATTGCTGGAATATTGCTAAAAGCGGCCTAAAACCTCACTCACTCACTCACTCACTCACTCACTCACTCACTCACTCACTCACTACAATTGGAACGTTAGATTATATTATCTGGTTTTAAAACTTTAAATCTCAGAAAAAAATAAATACTCTGAATAGAGATCAACGGACATCCCCAAGAAGGTTTTCCAAGACAACATGCATTTAGGATAGCAGGTACTGATGTTGCTTCAAGGAATGAGGATGTGGTCCATTCGTCTAAGGCGCCGCGATTCGCTGTGCAGAGTTGCGTCCCTTGGGCACGCCAGAAATATATGATTGTGGGTTCGAATCCCGGTTCGCCCAAATTATGTTTCTAGTTTGTCAGCACCATACCCGTGTTTGTGGTGAACGTCGACGACCTGCATCCCTTCGTCCTTCCTTCCACATGTACATTAAGCTAACACGCCCTGATATAATTGTAATAATCATAAAAGCGGCGTTAAACCCACTCACTGTTTTGTGGGAGCAGCTCTGTGTGTGCTGTGCTCACTGAAGAGCAGGAGAGCGTGACGACAATGTACACCAACCACTTCCTGGTCTATGTTATAAGGGCATGTTATTCAAGTTCTATTTTAGTCTGAATACAAATCATGAAAGAAATCCTTGTCGAATTGTGGCCATGCATACATGCCCTCGATATGATGGCATTACGAAATAGTGTAAGCTAGAAACATCTACAAGCATTTTTTTCTGCAGATATATCAAATGATGGGATTTCGTGATCGGTGCACATAACGCTCCCGAATATAGCCCCGGCTGTACAAACACAGCATACACATATATACCGCGATAAAGGTATCAGGTCCCCAGCTATGTCACATCGTCATGGAAACAATCGAGTCTGGGTCAGACAAACCGGTGACTGAAAGCATCAGCAGCCATTCCTTTCAGCGGAGCACAGATGCAGACTATCAGTCCAGTCGCACATTGAGAATATCAGGTCAGGTGAGGTGAAATGGGGTTTACCGTCGCGTCCAAGATAATTGCACTTACATAGCGACGTGCATGTGCGTGTGTGTTTGTGTGGCTGCTTGTACTAGTCCGGACTGATGCGGATTTATAGTTCTAGCTCACTGAGATACCATGCCGCAGTTTAACATGAATACCCCACTCAGACACAGTATACTGACTCCGAGCCGACCAGTCCTTGTTTTAGCCCCTTAATGACGAGCGCCGGACACGGTAACAACAAGTACCATCTTTTAACGTCTTTTAGTATGACGCGGCCGGGGATCGAACCCCGGACCTTCCGCTCTCCGGGCGGACGCTCTACCACTAGACCACGGAGGCGGTCTTCAGAATATCATCTACCAGCGCATACGATGTAAATCTGCGTCCTTATATTGCAATGATATACTGCTCTACTGTATGGTGTGCGGAGTTGTGTCCTTAAGTTGTAGTGTGGTACCTTTATTAATGAACGGAGTTCTCTCACTCAGTGTCAAACACAAAGAGGACCTGAACCCGTCGTTCTGAACCCATATGAACCATGTTCGACGCTACGACTAACTTCTTCCTCAGTATGTCGCTAAGGCGCCATAATCCGTCTTGCATAGTTGCGCCCTTGGCCGATTCAGGATCTGCTGATCGCGGGTTCGAATCCACGAGTCGAGTAGAATATGACCATCGCTTTGCTTCAGCCATGCATGGCTCGTTGGTGTTACCAAATTGGTAAGCTTCATGACCTGCACCATTTCAGCTGACTGGCCGTGAAATTACAAATATATACTGTTCAAAGCCGTATTTGACCCATCTGAATCCCACCCAATATCACGATAAAACACACATTCAACTTACGAATACTTTTTTATTGTACAAATAGCCTGGGAGGATTGTATCAAATTTAAACTCACAGACAGATGTGAATCTTATACATGTATTGATAACCTTAACTTTAATTATTGTGATGATGATATGGACAATATGGCTTAAAAATAAGACGAATCGTATAATTGTGTAATCAAAAGGCCATTTGTTTACCCGGCCCATTTTGTGTGTATCGGGGCAAAAAGGTCAGATGCATCTACACCTTTCTTTCCTTTTCAAACTGCTGCACAATACCATGTATAACAAAATAGAATCTCACCACAACTGTTGTAAAGAAAATAAATTAAAGGCAGAATAACAATTTGTTAAAATTACATTTCATTAAAAAATATATATCTTAAGAGAGCATATTCCTACATCTGCCAAAATATAACAGAGTACATGTTAGCTTTAATGACAATGAGAGGAGATTTAAGTTAAAGAAACTATCACGATATTGTAAATTAAAACATCACAGATGGACATACTATTTATTATAATGTACATCCTATTCTCACATGCACCTCATGTGGTTGTCATCTTCATGAACATAGAAAGTATGGATATAAACAATATACATATTTACAAATATGAATGATATGTTCAATTGATACTGAATTACTAGCATTGTTTCCGCAGGGCATACATCCGCGAATCTCCAGACATGCTACACTATTCTTGTATGTTTCTCACATTACACGTTATCATTTAACATACCATTGCATAAACACGTGTAAATAACAGGCCAGTGTCACTAGGTCAAACGAACTGAATGTTTAATGAAAAGCGATATAATTACTTCAACATAGGAGATTCGGGTTCTTAGGACAGTGTTCATCAATGGTCAGTCACAAGGTAAAACCTCATGCAAATTTGATCAAGTTTAATTAAGGTCAGGGTGTGTTAAACGTAAACATAGAACTTTCAATCTAAGTGTTGCTTATCCCACCGTTGGGGTTATATTATGGTTATCGTGTTTACCGTCACTGTTTTGTTCTAAAAATGGCTGGTAGTCATAACGCATTGATTTGTATCGTGCACAGAAAGGGAGTTTCCAATTCAGTACTTAATTCACATATGGTCCTCCAGTCTCTGGGTATCGCTCGATGCCTACCTTTACGAAGAAAATATGGGAACTACGAATGTGACATAAGGTATTCAACGATGGCAAAATGACCTGGGTAGCATTTACATGAAATACCAATTCATAATGCAACTAATTTAGGTGATATATTCATTTTAACTATTTATATAAACTAAGTAAATGTAAAATATCTTAAATGTGTTCATTGAAATTCCGGTAAATAGAGGTTCATTAACGTCTTTAATTGCTTCTGACAATCTTCCATGCCGCCTTAAACATTGCATCTTCAAGCCTCTTGTTTCAATATGGCATCACCTCCTACTAACAGACCATGTTTCAGACGCTCTAGAGATGGTGAAAATGACACGGTTCACACAGTTGGCTCGGGTGTACCTTAGTTGTTTGCGTAGTGAGGTCTGGTCTTTGATTGGGATTATCAGAGAGAACAAGTGATCTGGATGGGGATTTCATATCAGGACTAGCACCATTTATAAACCTCTCCTTGCGGAGACTACGTGTCTGTTGTGATCAAATACCATACATACTGTGTGCAACATGTCGTTCCCTAATTTGTTTTGGAACTTTGTCATTTGAACCACGAGTGTCCACATACATGAAGAATTAAAAAAAAAAAACGCCAGAGGGTTATCAATCTCGACAATATGCCGAAACATATTGCATGGCGCGTTAAAGGCAACATGGTAATGAATTTAATTTAACTGATCACTGAAGATCCGTGATGACACAAGGTGTTCGCGAAAAGGGTAAGCATTTCCTGCTCTACCGGAAGTAGACTAATCATTCTTCTTTTCTTGTCGATTATACGATATTATGTGTTTGAATACATGGATGTGCAAGAACTGAATATGTCTGTTTGAATTCCTTATGTGGAAATATTGTGCTTCCAGGTTATATGTTAAATATGTCATTCCGATTAAACACCAGTATTCGAGAACCACAAATTCATGTCCGTAAATATGGACAAGTATATGTACATATAAAATGTTGAAATACTAATCGCAATAGTTGACAACAAATGCAATATTTATTAATTTCTTTAAAAAAACGTCAAAACATGTAACTTTCCAACAGGAAATTAAAACTAGTATTTGATCAATGCACATAGCCGGTGTGAAATACTATAAATGATCAAATTGGTCAGATCTTACTTAATAAATCTCTCAATATTCCTTGCTGTTGATCACCCAGCCAACGAATATAAAATGAGACATCTGGAATGATTCTCAGTAGTCATGCATATTGTCTCCTGAGCATAAAGCTAAAACTGCAGATTTAATACGTATACGTAATTAATACATATATCAAACTGTAAGAGAGTATACGTACCATGGCTCATAGTACTCACTTCATTTAGTTTTAAATCATTATTATCTTCGTTTCCACACCCCGAATTATGCTAAAGGTGTGTATGCGTGCTCGTCTGGAGGGGGAGCCGAAGATTTGGAATCAGGTGGTCCATTTTGTAAGGGAGCGGCCGTTGCTGCCGTTGGGGAATATGGTGGCAGAGGCATCGGTGGATATTGTGGCCCCGCCATCGGGGAACTGGGTTGTCCCGCCATGACGGTGGAATACGATGGGGGTGGCTGTGCCATTGCTGTTGGTTGGGGGTAGTAGATTGGGGGTTGAGCTGGATAGTTGTAGCCTTGGTTGACGGTTGTTGTGTTTACTGTGCCTGAGTGGGAGAAACATTGTGTAAATAGAAGCAGCAGAACCATTTCCATATTCATAAAACATCTCTGCCCTAGCCAGTGTCGATTATAAGCAAACATCTCCAAGACCCACTTGCACAAAGCGATCTTAGCGCTAAAATGATCGTAACTCCCATACATGAACATAGGCTTACGATAGTCTTAGCGCTAAGATCGCTTTGTGCAAGTGGGCCCTGATCTTAAATCAGACAGTTGCAGAGATTATCATACAGATCCATGTACGATGTTTCTCTCATGAGGATATGGTGACAAACATGTGTTCTAGATTATGAGTGAGCGAATTTGATTTTACCCCGCTTTTAGCAATATTCCAGCAATATCACGGCGGGGGACACCAGAAATGTGCTTCACACATTGTACCCATGTCGGGAATCGAACCCGGGTCTTCGGCGTGACGAGCGTCTAGATTATGAAGACCTGTGGTATGGACATGTACATTCTGGGGCGGTCGGGTAGCCTAGTGGTTAAAGCGTTCGTTCGTCACGCCAAAGACCCGGGTTCGATTCCCGACATGGGTACAATGTGAGAAGCCCGATTTTGGTGTCCCCCGTCGTGATATTACTTGGATATTGCTAAAAGCGGCGTAAAACCATATTCACTCACTCACTCATATGTACATTCTGACCCATGAACATCCGGGTATTCAGCAACCCATGCTTGCCGTATTATGCTTGTCGTAAGAGGTGACTAACGGGATCGGGTGGTCAGGCTCGCTGACTTGTTTGATGCATGTCATTGTATCCAAGTTGCGTCAATCGGTACTCACTGGATCGTCTGGTCCAGAATCGAATATTTACAGACCGCCGTCATATAGCTGGAATATTGCTGGGTACATTCTATGTAGCGGGACATACTTAGGTCAGATGCCACACGTGTAACGGGACATTCTTAGGTCAGATGCCACAAGTGTAACGGGACATTCTTACGTCAGGTGCCACACGTGTAACGGGACATTCTCAGGTCAGGTGCCACACGTGTAACGAGACATTCTTACGTCAGATGCCACACGTGTAACGGGACATTCTTACGTCAGGTGCCACACATGTAAAGGGACATTCTTACGTCAGGTGCCACACGTGTAACGGGACATTCTTACGTCAGGTGCCACACGTGTAACGGAACATTCTTACGTCAGGTGCCACAAGTGTAACGGGACATTCTTACGTCAGGTGCCACACGTGTAGCGGGACATTCTTACGTCAGGTGCCACACGTGTAACGGGACATTCTTACGTCAGATGCCACATGTGTAACGGGACATGTCTATAAATAAGCAGTCTCACCTGTTGATATGACAGCAAGTTGGTTGGTGGTCATCAAGCGACCCTGTGTCCGTGATCGCCTACAGCAGCAGATACATGTTACAATCACGGCGATGAGAGCCAGGCTCCCAAACCCGCTCCCCGTGTATACACCTGTACTCGAGTAGCTGCAACGGTGATTGAACTTTGTTTGTTATATTTCACGAGTATATAGTAATAATAATATACACACGCGCTAAAAATCAACCAGATACACACAACACAGACAAACAGAGAGAGACACACACATGCACAACTCAAACACGAACACACATCAACACACACACTGACACACACACACAGATACACACACTGACACACACACATTTTCACATTCACAAACACACGCAAAATCACACACATCACAGACACACTTACACATACAACTACACATTCACAAATACACACACATCCACAAACAGAATCAGAATCAGTTTATTCTCAAAAACCACAAAAGGTGGTACAGAGTATATTACAATAAATAATTATGTATATGTACAAAAAGCAGACAGGATGGCAGTAAATAACAACATACACACACGGCGCACACGTACGCACTCACACACATACACACACGCACACGTACGCACTCACTTACACACACACACACACACACTCACACGCACTCACACACACACACACACATACACACACACTCACCATACATATATACATACACACACTCACACGTACGCACTCACTTACACACACACACACTCACCATACATACATACACACACACACTCACCATACATACACACACACTCACACACATACACACACACTCACCATACATACATACATACATACATACATACATACATACATACATACATACATACATACATACATACATACATACATACATACATACATACACACTCACAAGCACTCACACACACACAAACACATACACACACTCACCATACATACATACATACACACACACTCACCATACATACATACATACATACATACATACATACATACACACACACTCACACGCACTCACACACCATACATACATACATACATACATACATACATACATACATACATACATACATACATACATACACACACACACACACTCACCATACATACACACACACACACTCACCATACATACACACACACTCACACACACACATACACACACACTCACCATACATACATATATACATACACACACACTCACCATACATACACACGCACTCTCTCACATACACACACACTACACACACACACACACACACACACACACACACACACACACACACACACACACACACACACGCACACACGCACGCACACACACACACACAAGGGCTACCCACCTTGTACAGCAGTATCTGTTGTAGGTTGATCCACAACACGAATCTGAGCAGTAGATGCTCTTTATGCTCGAACTGTAGCTACTCCTCTCATAACACACTTCGAAAGCATACGCTGAAGGAAGAAACAATGGGTTGTTAATAATGGACTGATTTTCGAGTGATGCCCTTCAATAACAGGAATTATAGCATGTCTCAGAAGAGGCACGTGTCACAATATAAACACAAGCTATGTAAATGCTGCAACCCATGTTTGATATGTATACATAAGTCCGTTTTTAATTTCAGTATTTTATAATGGTATGAATTAATGTTTATCATTTATTTAAATTATTCGTTTATGTATATGTGCACTAAAGTAAATAACATTGATAAGTGTCAGGCATTAGAAGCTCCATACACTACGACACAAAAGGGTTTTGTTCTGGAAACTGTTTTACACATAACAATATGACTGTAGTCTTTGTAACAGTGGTCCTGTTTCTATATTATTTGTATCGTTTTCTGGACCTTTAAGTTTTCATGTCAACACCAATGGTATTATGAAACAGGAAGCGATATTTACATCAGCCAGTTGGGCCTATTTACCAATCCCTTTCAAGTTGAATGAAATATGTTAACACTCAGTGTCGGGCCTTGTGTGGATCAGCCTTTGTTTCTCCACGCTTCATCAACGCCATGGCCAAGACAGAGAACACTGCTCTCCACTCCTGGCTGGTGATTACGCGTTGTTATGGTGTACACGGTTAACTGAACAACCCAGCTGATGTGTATACGGTGACGCGGGTATCCTAGATCTGCGTGTGACTGGTGAATATACGACGATAACACTGACGATAACACTGATCTCTGCTTAAACAGTCCTCTGCTCTGCTTATACAGTCCTTCCAACCTTTCCCTCACAAATATGACTAATGATAATTTATGGCTACGATAGAAAACATAGTCATGATTTGTCACAGTCAGTATTACTAATAAAAGAGGTTGAACAAATTTTATTCCACTCTACTTAAAAGGGATTCGTAAATATGCTTTACGGTATATAAATACCGCTCCCTGTTAATTCCAGTGTTGACATCAAAACTTTAAGGCCAAGAAACAATACAAATTATATAGTATTATGACCACTCCTCTTGTCAAAAATACGGACTGTGATATATTTAGACTCATTGTACAAGCCTACCACTATTTTCTATAAAAAAACACATGGACAGACATAAGTATGTGGTGGCTGACAACTATAGTTAAATTCCCCTGACCATACTGTTTTCAGATCAAAATTGTGCAGCAGTACATATAGCTTCTTTTGTTAGGATAAGGAGGACAAGTAGTGATGTGAAGTGGAGACTCTAAAGAAAAAACGCACTGTCATGCTGTAATATTTGAAATATGTCATATGTTTTACAACGCTTTTTCTTTATATCTATATTCATATTTCCACGTCCTCAGTAACAACACATTGTTGATTCTTAATATTGATAATTTATAAATAATTATTTTTGCCACATTAATAACATCATCTACGGTCCTACAAATACTATACCACTCCCCCGCCATCCACACAGAAACACCCACCCACTCCATCCCACCCCATTGTGGTCTTGTGGATAGAGCGTGAATGGCAGGTAGTTCGATCCCCAAGTCGCGTCATACTACAAAACGTTGAAAGATGGTACTTGTCACATAGATGATAGGGGAATCTCAGTGTGATAGCATTATAAAACCGGCATATGAATAGACAAGCAAAAGCACACGCACGCACACACACACACACACACACACACACACACAAGCGCACACGCACACGCATACACACACGTCGCTATATGAATGGCATGAGCTTGAACTCGCAATTTAAGACACTACACCATTCCCCCTGCCAAGTATTTCGTGATAATTTGATGCAACTTGGTCTATTGTGTTACATTTCAGAAGTGATGTAGCTGATCGGATGGCCTCTGTGTCATCGTAATCCAAGTGGAAGTTGCTCATAACATTAATCACTGGGTTGTCTGCCCCAGATTCGCTTATTTACAGACCACCGTTATATAGATAGTATATTGCTGAATGCGGCGTTAAACAACAAACAAATCGGGGGGGGGGGGGGGGGGGGGGGTAATGTAAGTGCGAACTCTTGAACTTGGTAATGGTTCAGAACTCATTTGTAGTGACAATGGTATTATTTGAGTGCGGTGTTACTTACAGTATTATTTAGACATGTAGGTGTCTGCTTTGCTTTTTTTAAAACAGCGCCTGGCCAGAAGTATAAAAACTTATAATTATATATATTATAAATTATATAATACTTATATATGACGCGGAACAAGCAAAAGTTACAAATATTTAAAGGTTAGGGGTAAATAAAACTCGTAGCTGGAAAATGGGTTACAGGCGGAAATATTTCCCACATAGATACAAGACCTATGAATTGGTGTCAGCTAAGGGTTAGTTTTGTTAAGCTGATTTCATACAGTGAGTGGCTGCTTGTCGTGGATGTGTTATACAACATTTTCCATAAATGTATATGTGCAGTGACTCAAGAGACCACGACGTGATTCCTTGTATCTAGATTGCCTACATGATTCTAGTTATGATGACTATATACACTGAATACTCACAGGCGGTGATAAAAGGTAGAATAATCCACAAAAACTTCAGGGAAATCATGGTTATCAGCGTCTAGATATCCGACATTCACCCACTTGGGTTGCCTAGATCCCGGATGTAGAGGTACAACCGACCTTCCCGCCTGTGACCTGTGACCCGTGAGGACACAGTGGAGCATAACGCAGCACAATACCTACACCAGGCTTTCAATACACAACCCGGTTCGTCACTGCTTATTTCGAAATCCCTTCTATCCTCAACGCATGACAGGATCTAAGTAACCAGCAGGCCTCGTGTGCGTCACACCTACACTTACATGACATTGCACAATATATGACAGAAGGAATAATGCCTGAGGAGGATTCTTTAAGAAAGACATCCACACCGTCTATGCGATCATATATCATGGCTGTGTAAATACATGTGCCAGGCTGGCATCTACCCAGGTTATATCCGCTCCGTGTTGTAAACACATGACTGGTCCCATTAAACCTGTGTGTCTCGCATACCGCCTGTATGGGGTTCGGGAGAAGTGAAGTGGACATTCAGAGTGCGGTTAGTGAAGTAGTGCGTCGCGTCTTGCAGTATTGCACCAATACTGCCGGAAGGACAAGCATCTCATCCGTGATGAGGAAGTTGATTCATTACTGCGATTGATGAATCATAAACCTGTTGCTGATACGTATAAAGAGGAAATAATTTGACGTGTATTTCTCATTTACTTTGTTTCATTTTTGTTGCCGTGTTGTAAATGCGCTATCGTGTCACTGGATTTACTGGTCTTACAATCACTTGATTGTCTGGTTTGTTTACAAGCCGTCGTCGCATGGTAGCAGTACTTCTTTTCGGCATCGGGCACAATTGTTTCCAGTTGTTGTTGCTATCGGTAGAACAGGACATATGCTTACTCTTTTCGCGAACACCTTGTGTCATCAATGATCTAGCCATATTATTTTACACACACACACACACACACACACACACACACACACACACACACACACACACACACACCACACACACACACACACACCACACACACACACACCACACACACACACACACACACACACTCCAACCCACTCCCACCCCCACACCTTCACACACCCAATATGCCCGTTGCCTGTCAATACAGTAACAGGCCTATTCTACCCCGGAATGCTCACGGGGCTATTTCAAATCTTGATTCAGCAACCTTTTCTTGGATTATTTCGTCATGATATCTACACACTCCATTTTTTCTGATCATGTATGATGTTATAAAGTAGTTTATAATCGTGTTATCGGAAAAGTGAGGTGCATACTATATAAACCGCACAGTGTCACACTATGGCAAACAATGCATCACGGATGTGATACAAACTATGACCCGTACAACTTCCTACATAAACACCAAGTGTTCCTCATAATATCCTGTATAGTTTGGTTGCAACCTATAGGCTTGAATAATACAGTCATATGGGGATGCTTTTGGTCATGATTTTCAAGAAACTTCTTGACGCCTGTATCAAATGGGAGGTTTGCATTTATTTCTGAATTGAGGAAACAATGAGTTAATCCAGAAATCTGTACGAAAAAGAATTCAGAATGAAACCAACAAACAACAAATGGTATACAATTAACAGTTGTAATATCAAATGTACTAGGTTTACAAATGAATACAAAAAATACTGCAAAGTAAGTACAATGACAGTACACAAGAGAGTGTCAGTACCAAAGTCAATGGCAGTACTATTAAAATGGCAGTATCAAATATGAAAATAGAGGAAATAGCAAAACGTCAGTGATAATAATATTCACCTAGCAGCAACAGTGGTCAAGCTTCCAAAATAGGCCTAGGTTGGATATCCAGGGTGAAAAGTGATCTTCACTCAAAAGCTGGTCTTGGTGTAATGTGGGACGAAATGTGAGATGATATAGTGAGTGAGTATGGGTTAACGCCGCTTTTAGCAATATTCCAGCGATATCACGGCGGGGGACACCTAAAATGGGCTTCACACATTGTACCCATGTCGGGAATCGAACCTGGGTCCCCGGCGTGACGAGCGAACGCTTTAACCACTAGGCTACCCGACCGCCCCGAGATGATATAGCCACGCGTTGGCCCCCTTATTTAGTCTCACCAGCTTGCAGAACTTTCCATAACGGACTGGATTGGTCTATGCTGTTGTGCAACTTTCCAGACAACATCACCTTATAAATATAGTAACCTCTACGCCACAGCTTATATCAAACAAATACATTCTTGATAAATAATTATTTTTAAAACACTGAATCTACGCAAAAACAATCTAACACAATTCCAACATTGTTTTACAATACACAACCATAAAACATTATGAAGGAGTATGATTGTAGGACTTACACTAGAAAATCGCATTAATGTTTGATTGACCTCCAGAATTCATTTCATATCTGACTTCTTGCAGCATTTTCATATACTACCCAATTTCAGTTTATAACTCGTATATTATCATTTTTTATTCGCATTTAGCTGGTAGGTACTGTTTGCAATAGGTCGGATCGTTCGTTGTTCTGAATCTGTGAATCTGTGAATCTTTTGACAGTTATGTGGTGCATGAGGACATCCTTGATGGTCCAGCCAAGAAGTCCATGACGATCCTCCCTGTGTGCGGCCTAGCATTGTCGTGCTGTAAGAGTATTCCCTGTTACTGTTGGTGAAGGGTATATCAGTGTGTTGGCTTTTTACGCCGCGTGTAACAGTATTCCGGTTATATCAGGGCGTGTGGTATAGACGTTTACCACTTTAGTAAAACCCACGAGCATGAGTAAATGTATAGTGCTGACAAACCTAGAAACATCTCGGGGCGAACCGGAATTCGAACCCACAATCATAGGTTTCCGGCGTGCCCAAGGGACGCAACTCTGCATATCGATTAGACGACTTGGCCACCCGTGTCCCTGGCCGTTGAGGTTGCCACGGATAAAAAGTCCCGTCCGTCAGTTGCCACAAATTCCTCCCCAAACCATCACCCATGGGTAATACTACTAAACACAATATTTGAAGTTGCAAGTTCGATTCAGGTCACTGGAAGGGGACACAGGTGGCCTAGTCGTCTAAGGCGCCGCGATTCGCTGTGCAGAGTTGCGTCCCTTGGGCACGCCAGAAAAATATGATTGTGGGTTCGAATAATAATCGACCCGATTATGTTTCTAGGTTTGTCAGCACCATTTCCGTGCTCGTGGGTTTCACCGAAGTGGTAAAACGTCTGAGACCTGCATCACTTCGGGCTTTTCACCCACATTAAGCTGACACGTTGTGGTATAACTAGAATACTGTTAAAAGCGGCGTTAAACCAAACTCACTCACTCACATACAATTCAAATGAAAAAAACAACAACCAGGCGTTACAGTTCAAATGTAAAACCTCTCCGCGGGTCTCAATTGAAAGTAATACCTCTCACAAGGATACTGTGTGACAGCAAGATACCTACAATACTAAGGCAAAACTAGCAGTAGGTTTATAAGTAAAGGAGATACCACTCCTTAGGATTACTTGAGATTGTAAACCCTGATAGGAGGGGTGTTCCCGTATGTCAGGGTTTACAATCTCAAGCAATCCCGAGGAGAAGTGTTTTGTCCTACTTACAAAGCGACTCATCACATAGATAATTTTTTATGTGGTTTTACAATTTCAACCAAAACCGATGAGTCGTGTTTTATCCAAACTATGCAACTCTAAATGCAAGAACTACCAGAAAAAAATAAGAAAGTAACGAGATAGCGATAGGAATTCGACCAAAGCGTGCGAGAGAAAAAAACACCTTCAGCATGGACCAACTGGAGTCACGACAAGTAAAATTGAGCATCACCTACCGGCTCAGTGGGAACACGGCGGGTTACACAACTAAACACGATGTGTGCATGAAATGCTTATGTTGTCAAAAGTAATTCAGGGATTTCTCTGGTAAATATATCCAGCGATTTCGTGTAATCCCTGAATATTTTAGGGATTACATGGAAGCCTTGACCAAAACAGAGTTAGCATCAGGTTGCTGAAAGGTTGAGGGATTTCACGAAGTCCCTAGTTCCACAATCTTTCTACAACATATACACATTCTTGTTCTTCATGTCATGTCAAAGGCATTTAACATGTTTTGAATCTTAAATCTCATTGTTAATATCCTCACTGGAACCGTATACATGTATGTGGCAGTCATGTCACAATTAGTGTACTTCCATACGTGTAAAGTAATGTAGGGTGGTAAGGAAACTCACCGAATGTCTTCCGAGAAGAAGTATACTAAGACGAGTTGATAAGTTACAACTATCAGAGGCTTGGGGAATTTGTCAACGAGCCATGATATATTTGAACTTAGAAGGCACAAGGGTGAGATTCTATTTTATCATCTTCCAACGTTTTGTGTTTGTAAACAGTAATATCCAGTGTCTTGACTGTACATGCGTGGCCGGGATTAATGACCTCATATGATTGTGACGTAATGGGGACGCCAAAATGGTCTGCAAAGGGTTGTGCACTCTCCTACCAAGAGTTCCATGGGACCAGCATACACAGTCCATTCAAGATATTCTATATGTTTTTGATCTGTTTCATTTTTGACAAGTCTACATATCATATGTTATAGAATGTTATAGAATGTTTAACTTTCATTGAGAAATATCCAAAATCATGAAAAACTATTTCCATTTGCGTAGTTATCCTATGTTTACATTGGTTGTACGGCTCCACGTGCTGTCATCGAAGCATTACGAAGAGCTAGCGATACGGTCAGTTTGATGTGTAAATATGTATCGTGATGTCGCAGCCACTGTGATGTCACTGTCGCAGTTTTAGTAGCATAGTTTTATAATTATGCAAAACAACATTTAAAGAGCCCCAAAGTACTTGCATTAGTCCGTTCTATTCTGATTTCTGAAAAAGCGCGTTTGTTTACCAACAAGAGAAAAGTCCGGTCACGTGATATGCAAATGAGCGTTTGGCAGTGGTGTTATGCCGGAGTGTGAGGGTTGGGATGCAATGTCGTTGTAGCAATATCTCCTAGGAGATATTGGTTGATCTCACCCAAGCGATATATCCCGTTTAAGCCGGTATTGGATGATAAATCATGTTTACTTCGATTGTGGAGTAGGTTGGTAGCTTTGCAGATTCGCGTCGTAGCTTCGTGCCGGATTCACTCGCGGTTGCCCGATTAGTAATTCTGCTCTGTCAACACCATCCATTGGTCGTCCAGCCGCAATTCTCTGTGAAGGGTTGCGTCCCTTAGACGTATCAGATAATTCAATACCAATTCAAAGCGAAATCCAAACCATTTATTCACAATTCTATTTCTAGACTCTCATCGACTGCCCAGCCAAGAATGAAAAAAATGTGTCAAAGACTTAAACTACATAGCGTAATTTATGACATATATAACTGCACACCGTGCAGCATAATGTTTGTTAACCATGGGCCTACCTTCAACAATACTGATAAGATTTTATCTGAATTTCAGCGACATCTTTCTATTATGACAAAACAATGACTTTGCACCCAATTTTGAGCCATATTGAGAGTTGGATACATTCATTTCTCGAACACCCAGTGTCATCGTCTTTACAATACATAGCATTTTTATTGTATGAATATGCATTGCGTTTATTTTTCAGCATTGGCAGGATTTACCAGCAGCCGTATGAAATTATGAGCGGTGGAGGCGTGATTGAGTGAGTTAGTGAGTTTGGTTTAACGCCGCTTTTAACAATATTCAAGTTATATCGCGACGTGTCAGCTTAATGTGGGAGGAAAGCCCGAAGTGATGCAGGTCACAGACGTTTACCACTTCGGTGAAACCCACGAGCACGAGTATGGTGCTGACAAACCTAGAAATATAATCGGGACGAACCGGGACTCGAACCCACAATCATAGGTTTCTGTGCTCAAGGGACGCAACTCTGTACAGCGAATTGCGGCGCCTTAGACGACTGGGCCACCGTGCCCCCTGAGCGGTGGAGGAACGCAGTGTACATAAACCCGGAAGTTTTCACGATGGTTTTCCTGCTGAACGTCAATAATCGGCTCCAAGAAATGTTAAACATTACAAGAAATACTAACTCAACGGAAGGTTTGCTCTCGAGACTTTAATCAAACAGACAATATAATGAATCCATTATTCTGATTTTAAAATTTCCACTGAACCACAGTTTTAGAGGGATCAGATACATATTTGTTTTTCCGTATGTAAATATATGGATAATCATGTTTAGAAATATATCCCCCCTATAGCACTTCCTTGATACACCTTATCTGCTACTGTGATAAATTAATGTATAAGTTGATCTTAATCAAGCGTGTATGGTCTAAAATACCCATGAGACCTCGTGCGAATAATATACAATACAAAACTCCAAATGTCACGGAGAAACAAGGAACAAATGTCCAGGTGAGGTGGGATGAAATGGCGTTTAACGTCACGTTAAAATTTATTGTACTTTAAAGCGACGTCAATATGTTTAATAGTGATAACGCACTGAGATACATGTTCCATGCCTCAGTTTGACATAAATTTATGTACCTCTCTCCGATATCCGCTTAATGCCAAACAAGGTGACAACAAGCACCACCCTTTAACGACGTGGTATGATGCGGCCGGGGATCGAACCACAGACCTCCCGCTCTACGGCCGGCGTTCTATCCACTAGACCAAGGAGGCCCATACGTCTAACAACGACCAAATGTGCTAACCCAACTGTGTTGCAAAAGGAACGTATTTCTTAAACATATTTTTTATTAATTGTAAGCAGCTGAATCTCTATACTTTTACACAGCAGTAATTCAAAATTTACGTATCCTTTATATTTTTTTAACAAAATTAGTACATGCGTATTCGTGTGACTGGATTTCGGGTCCTTCATTTTATTGTCTAGTTTGTTTACATGCCGCCGTCGCATGGCAGGAGTACTGCTGGGCAGTGTGTGGCAACATTCCCATGCAGTTTTACAGTAAAGTACGGTTATAACGAACTCAAAGGGACTACTAATTTTAGTTCGTTATAACCGAAGTTCGTTATAAGCATATATACAGCATAACTACAGCAAATAGTCGGGACCAAAAAAGTAGGTTCGTTATATCCGTCAGTTCGTTATAAGCGTGTTCGTTATAACCGTAGTTTACTGTATATAAGTTGTGTGAGTGGCGGATGCTACCGGAAGGGAAGGACATGCTCACCCTTTTCGCGAACACCCGGTGTGATTTTCGGTGACCCATCAATATAATTTCCACCGCTATTTTGCTCTTTACTTTCAATGGAATCTGTTTTTGCGGATAATCGAGACTGGTTGTTCTCTGGTGTTGACATTTTATATTGATATCACAACAAATTGCCATGAAACATCTGTTTCCTTTTAAATGGGAACTTGTTCTGACACGATTGATTCAGGCTATTTAAAACCCTCTTTGTTTATCGACAAATTCTTAGTTCACATCAAATATAACGTTAAAAGATGGTACTTGTTGTTAACCTCCCTGGCGCTCGGCATTAAGGAGTTAAAACTAGGACTGGTCGGATCGGAGACTGAGTGGGGTATTCATGTTAAACTGCGGCATGGTATCTCAGCGCGCTAGCACTATTAACCGACATCAGTCCGGACTAGTAAAAGCAGTCACACACACACACACACGCACGCACGCACGCACGCACGCACGCACGCACGCACGCACGCACGCACACGCGCACACACACGTGCACGTTGCTTTATGAGTGCAATAATCTTGGACGCGACGTTAAATCCAATTTCACCTCACCACACGGTAAATATAACTAAAAAACGCAAATATAATATTAAACGGTAACTCTAATTACACAGAGAATATGACACATTTTGACACATGTCCAATAATACAACGCAAAAAGTTTGGATGGAAATATTTTCAGTTCCGATGCGCATCATTCCTGTTTAAGGAATGGTTTCGTAGACATGGCTGTCACTGACGGATGCTGGGTACTCTGATGCAGGGTGACGGGTCTCCTTCACCGACTGCGGGTCGACGTGAGCAGGTGAGGCTCTTCTGGATTTAGGGACATAAGCTGGCCCTGTGGGTGAGGTGGAGACCATTTGTGATGGTGGCGTGTACGGTGGCGCAGTCGGTGAAGATGATACAACTTTTGTTGGCGGCGAGTAGGGTGGGGGAGGATAAGCTGTTCCTGCTGGTTGGGGGACTCGTGGGTGCGGCTGAGATGCGAGATCGTAGCCTGGATTAAAGGCACGGTTTGCTGTACCTGGATCAAAAGGAATATATGTGTAGATCAAAACAGCGTCTATGTTAGCATATATTAGTATCTCTATACTGTGAAGCAGAATTCAGATAGAAATAAAATTCAGTTATGATTATAGTAATTGTACAAAAACACACACACACACACACATACACAATACACACACACACACAATACACACACACACAATACACACACACACACACACACAATACACACACACACACACAAAAAATGTAGTCAATAGATTACATCAGAGCATTTAATCAGGCACGTTTTGCACGTGCATTGGTTCTGTAATACCCTCAGGCGTGCCTTGACGCAGTCCAGTTCTGTTCAGGAACACTCTTACAGTGGAAAGAGTATAATATTACCCTGGGTCAAGTTCCAAACAACAAAAACTAATCGCCATGATCTTAGTTTAATATGGACTTCCAACAGTCGTAGCTCTTTGGTAAAAATGTAAACACACACAAGACGTATTTACATCTAACCATGGTTAGGAATGTGTTTAAATCCTAGACGAAATAACCATTTGGTGTGTTCTGTCTTAACACGTTTAGGGTCTAAACACATGAAAAGAACTATCGTTATAGCAGCCTAAACACCACCTAATCACAACATCCCCATAATCTAAACACGTTATAAATTACCTACGATGAATTTCAAGGGGGGTCTTCTAGTCTTTCCAATAATTACACACTAAACACGTTTAGCTGTTTAACACAGCCCTTATCATGTTTAGGATCTAAACACTTTGTTTAAGTGTATAGATCGCCATGGCTCCAGGGCCTCGTTCCACAAAGCGATCTCAGCGCAACGACGATGGTTAGCCAATGTTAAAGTATGCGATCACCTTAGCGCTGAGACCCCTCTAAATACCAGTTACAAAGCGTAGGTGTACGATATAATTTGTGAAAAGACCGTGCAGTCTAGACAGGAAAAGTTGTGTCAGGTTTCCATTCATATACGGATCCATATTACTCACTAATCAAGTTAAGTCTTTCAGAGCAATATTCGTCGGGTACAGAAACACTGGACAAGAACACCTTAATGGGAGACATCACCGAAATCAATGTTGTATGTATGTTGCAAAACGATCTTTCTGTTACAAATGAAAAAGAAATGGTTTTGAAAATGACGAAGGGAGAACTATTGTGATCGAGTGTTGCGTCACATGACTACGGCAGCAGGGTACGCCAAGGCTGCTGCTGGTCTAAGAGTCAAATGAAGCCATACGAAATGTCTCCCTCTCATTGTTGTACCGAAAGACCTAATATACATGCAGGAATTAAAGGCGTCTTAAATTACACATGATGCTTTCTAAGAAATAACCTCATGTGAACAACACGTTTCACGGTAAACCAAAGGATAAAGCGCACTTTGAATGCATGGACAATACTTGTATTTCACATTTACCTACCCAAAAGCCTACATGAATTTTCACGAAGTCACAAATAGACACATTTGTGCGGACACTTGATGTCGTCGCCTGACGTCAAGTGCGGTAGTTTCATTTATTCAAACGCCCATCCACAGTGCTCCCGATATGTCATGACTAGTTCCCAAGAACTAAGCCATCATTAAGTACAGTGTTTACCTGCAGGTTTGATGTGCCGTTGGTGTTCTTGTCCCGCTTGACCTGGTTCTCTTCTAGAAGACTTCCCGCAGCACCCGCAGCACAGAGCGATGCCGACAATGATGGAGATGAAGGCGACAGCCCCTACTGCGATCCCTGCAACCGCGCCCGTGGACAAACCAGAGCTACACGTACAGGAAACAAGCTCTTGTCAGACACAGTGACGAGATGTACTCTGTAGGTAACGTTTAAGGACTTGACATACAATGTCTAGCCTTAAACATCACCTTCATGTAACGAAATATTCAAACAAGAATGCAAAGGGGAGTATTATACTTCTTAAATACATTGGTACACTGTTTAAAGACCTGTTGCTGCAAGGGGCGCAATATCCTACTCTTCACCCAGACGCTCTCTCGTGGAGAGTTTTGGAACAGCTGAGTGAGTGAGTTTGTTTTACGCCGCTTTTAGCAATGGTCTAGCAATATCACGGCACCAGAAATGGGTTTCACACATTGTACCCATGTCAGGTATCGAACCCGGGTCCTCGGCGTGAAGCGCGAACGCTTTAACAACTGTGCTATCCGACCGCCCTTGGATAAGCTGTGCAACGTATTCAATGTGCCCTTTATCTTCAAATCCCTCCGATTCGGATAGTCTATCAGTTATATATCATCCCTTCACCTCAGCCTGACATGCCAATTGGCTCAATTACTCATAATACCCTCATATCATTTATGTCCACCTTGGGACACTGGTAAAACCCCAGTTGTCTAAGGCACCGCAAGTCGTGTCCAGACTTGCGTCACCATAAGCGTGTCAGAATCCTATGGTCGTGGGTTCCATTCCATCATTTCCTTGGACATAAGTATTGCTTTTTCAGTAGTGTGGGTTTCAGCAAGGAGGTTGCAGCAATCACAAGGAGGTTTTTCCCGCATTGACACAGTGAATACTGTTCAAAGTGGCGTTAGACCACTCACTCTCTGTTGGAAAAAGATAGTGACCTCATCCTGTCCTTTCTTACATTATTATAAAAATAATTGGCTAATGCCTTCATGATACGCCAGTCCCAAAGTAGAATATCATGGTCAATGCTTCTCTGAGGCACTGACACCACAGTGAAAACAGGTTCGTTGCTTTAATTCTAGGTCTTCTTATCCACCTGGAAACTGGATAATTGTTCATGCGTCATGGTCGGCTATGACATTAACCCCGTAGACGTCAGCCAGTGCAGTCACGATTTATAGTTGCCTAATATTGTCATGTTTCTCAGTCAACACCCTCCCAAACATCAATGTGTCAAGTCATCTCATAATGACGTGTTTTAATACCAGTCATGTTTGTAATTGTCAGTTAGTTTCTACGGTGATTCTCGACCGAGAGAGTCAGGGAAAGAGTGAATGTTGTTTTACGCCGATGTCGCATTACAATTATTTCATGGCAGATGTTAATGCAATGTCGCCCAGACAAACGTCCGTTGATAAGGACCGTTGTATGAACTGCTTTTTCAAGGGTGTGATGACACACCGCCATCTTTGGAACCATCTGATTCGACAAGCATGGAGTTCTTGAGAATTTTTTGTTTGTTGTTTAACTCACCTCGTGGGGCAACAATGCTTCGAGTCTGGGCTTCCACAGCAACGGTCAGGACATGTCAGTTTCTTCTCTGACCCATAATTGTCTCTCCTCCCAGGGACAACATCAGTCGTTTTCTCGCGCTTGTAGCATTCTTCATACCCATATACTGAATAACATAAACCGCACATGTACTCAATGATATAAATCATACATCTTGATACACAGCACATGTACTCAATGATATCAATCACACGTCTTGATACATATCACATGTACTCAATGATATCAATCACACGTCTTGATACATAGCACATGTACTCAATGATATCAATCACACGTCTTGATACACAGCACATGTACTCAATGATATCAATCACACGTCTTGATACATAGCACATGTACTCAATGATATCAATCACACGTCTTGATACACAGCACATGTACTCAATGATATCAATCACACGTCTTGATACACAGCACATGTACTCAATGATATCAATCACACGTCTTGATACATATCACATGTACTCAATGATATCAATCACACGTCTTGATACATAGCACATGTACTCAATGATATCAATCACACGTCTTGATACACAGCACATGTACTCAATTATATCAATCACACGTCTTGATACATAGCACATGTACTCAATGATATCAATCACACGTCTTGATACACAGCACATGTACTCAATGATATCAATCACACGTCTTCATACACATATACTGAACCAGATACACCACACATATACTCAATGATGTTAATCATACGTATTCAGATTCAAAGTTGGAATGTCTTCTTTAATCATTTGTCATTTTTGTAAAAAACGACTTTTCATCATTTGAATGTAATACTTGATGGGAGACTACGGATGATACGGTGCCAGTGTCATCTTACTCATAAAGAAGGTGAGGTGAAATGGGGTTTAACGTCGTCTAAGACTATTGCACTTATATAGCGACGTGTGTGTGGTTGTGTGGCTGCTTGTACTAGTCCGGACTGATGCCGATTTATAGTGCTAGCTCACTGGGATACCATGCCGCAGTTTAACATGAATACCCCACTCAGACACAGTATACTGACTCCGAGCCGACTAGTCCTTGTTTTAGCCCCTTAATGCCGAGCGCCAGACAGGGAAACAACAAGCACCATCTTTTAACGTTTCTGACGCGACCGGGGATCGAACCCCGGACCTTCCGCTCTCCGGGCGGACGCTCTACCACTAGACCACGGAGGCGGTCACTCTTAAAGAAGAGTTTCGAAAGAACGAATTTGGAAACCTCGGCTATAAATCTTGTTTCTTGCTCCTTTATTGGGCGGAATTTCAAGAACGAACAGCTTTACAGGGAAAGTCGGATAAGGGATGCAGCATGGCTGGCTGTACCTACTTTTGCTGTATGAAAATAGTGATTGTCTACCTGTGTAATGTCTTGTGCAGTAAGTGATATAAAACGTTTTGTTTGTTTGCTTGTTTAACGCTAGGTTAACATACAATTCCCGAAATAATGTATTGCATAACGTTAACAAATATAATTCGGTAAAGGAGCAACCGAATACCACGGAATCCGCATAGAGCCAAAAATGGGACGTTGGAGCTAGAACTGAAAAGTGGAGGAGTGAGTGAGTGAGAGAGTTTTCAGCCATATTCCAGCAATATCACGACGGGGGACACCAGAAATGGGCTTCACACATTGTACCCATGTCGGGAATCGAACCCGGGTCTTCGGCGTGTCGAGCGAACGCTTTAACCACTAGGCTACCCGACCGCCCCGAAAAGTGGAGGAACCCCCGCCATGCGCTAAATGAGAGATACATGGTAGTGAATGTTTTAACAAGAATAAGCCCTTGGGTATGTAAGAGAGACGAGTTTAAAGCCGCACTTAGCAATATAAGGGTGGCCTGTAAATCATCGAGTACAATAAACCAGTGATTTGTATTGTGGGCAACGATTCAAAACGTCGGAGTACGATACAATCATCCTTGTGTCAAGCTCTGACGACCAGATCCAACAGCATCTCTTACGACAAACACAGGTTGCGCAGAGGACGATTCTAAGCAGGAATCCCACAGGCATAAAGATATAATATAGTCGGGAAATCAGTTACTAACTTATTACTGACCAATATTGTGTGAAGTATTTCACTGAACTGAACAGTGAACATCCTTTTTCTGTGATTAGTTTTTCCTTACTACATTGCGTTGCATATTCATTTACCGCAGATAACAACGTGACTGTGAGCGAGTGAGTGAGTGAGTGATTGTAAGAGGCAAGGAAACAATGCATACATCAAACACATGACATTTGATAAATATTGATATGTGATATTTGAGGCATGCTACTCACAAACTGTGGTCAAGAGAGAGAGAATGAGAGCAGTCTTCAGGGAGACCATCTTTGCCAAGTGTAAATATAAACTGTCCCTGACGCATGGTCTTGCTTTCAATAGGAGAGGTGACGTGGTTTGTCATGTGAACGCATTAAAGCACATCCACTAACCTGTAAGGACTATATTTAGTAGCCTCAGTGATGCATTAACTTTCAAATTCAATGTATGTTTTGTTATTCGGAAATATGTATGTTTATTAAGTGTTTAACGTCGCAGTATTCCAGCTATAAGACGGCGGTTTGAAAATAATCGAGTCTGGACCAGACAATCAAGTGACTGACATCATGAGCATCGTCAAGTGACTGACATCATGAGCATCGATCCACGCAATTGGGATACAATGACATACATTAACCAAGTCAGCGACCCTGACCACCTGATCCCGTCAGTCGTTCTACGGCAAGCGTATCGCCCCTTACGGCAACCGTGGGTTGCTGAAGGCCTATTCTAACCCGGATGTTTACGGGTGAGAGGTTCTTGAACACTTTGAAATTTTGAATGGTAATGTGCAACACACCATACAATCTGTACGTACTACACATTCTGTAGTACGTGAACATTAACATATTGAGCATGAATGCAGACATTTGTTAGAAGTGTCATGGCGGCGCCCACGACAGTTGTGCAGGTAAACAAGGACTCCGACCCGAGTTACAACAAATCGATTGTAATCAGATAACGCAACTCAGTACGCAACTAGGATTTGATAAGAGTGAGTGAGTTAGGTTTAGCGCCGCTTTTAACAGTATTCCAGTTATATCACAGCGTGCCAGCTTAATGTGGGAGGAAAGCAGGTCTCAGACGTTTACCACTTCGGTGAAACACACGAGCACGAGTATGGTGTTAAACCTAGAAACATAATCGGGGCGATCCGGGATTCGAACCCACAATCATTGGTTTCTGGCGTGCCCAGGGGACGCAACTCTATAGCGAATGATTACCGTGTTTAAAGACTGGCGTATAGAATGGACAGTTTGGAAGGCTCCATTGAAAAGAGAATGGCTGACCTATACAAGAAAACAGAAATCCAAAATACATGTTGTAGACATAGAACTGTAGTAAGGGTGAGGTCGGATTTCGGTTGGTTGGTTGGTTTGTCGTTTAACGCCGCACTCAGCAATTTTACATGACGGCGGTCTGTTAATAATCGAGTCTGGATCAGACAATCCAGTGATTTACATGAGCATCAATCCACGCAATTGGGACTGATGACGTGCATCACCCAAGTCAGTGAGCCTGACCACCCGATCCCGTTAGTCGCCTTTTACGACAAGCATAGTCGCCCTTTACAGCAAGCATGGGTAGCTGAAGACCTATTCTACCCCGGAATCTCCACGGATTTCGGAACCTGGACGGATGGTCTGCTCTGAACACTGATCAGTGTTATTGAAAATTGTTAATTATAATATTTTAAGTGTTTGTGAAAGCTTTTAAAATATGATGAATTGCTGAGTGTTGATGGAATCGTTTCGGCTGAAATGAACTATTTGAAATCATTTGTGATGTGATAGATGTCTCTACATTTGCAAGACTATGTAGTGAGGACGATGATATAATCCTGTCTGTACTACTTGGCGGTATGTCTGAGTGTGTTAGCTCTTTATCTCAAAGTCTATGGGGTGACCTTATGGTTATTGTGTCAAGATACTGTAGGAAATGGCTGTATCTGTTACAAAACAGTTATAAGAATGCTTGATTGTCATGCATTTTGTAGTTATCATTTCTAATAATATTGTTCAATTGTACTACTGTACAGCTCTGTAATTATACATAATATCATATATGATATGTATCTTCAATATCTGGAGGAAATAAAGAATATCTATCTATCTATCTATCCATCAGGCAGCAGCTGCACAGTAGGGCTAAAAGTGCTCTGGTCGAGTGGAGGTTTTTTTCACTAAAAGGTTTCTGTGTTGACCTGCTGCAGACGCATGGGGGAGCAGAATAAAGCGAGTTGAGTACGGCACATCACAGCGAGATGTCCGACGAGTTGCAGCCCTTCCTCTGTTCCCTACCGAAGGGAGTTCAGGATACCTAGATCAAGATCACGAACACAAGTCCAGAATTCCAGCCGATGCCCCTCTTCAAAGTTTATGTGACAACCACTTAAGGCTTGTGGGTTGAGGCTGCATTTGGATCATGGTGCCCGAGACCATGAATCTATCGATATCTCTACCAGCGCAACCTGCGACGCAAGGATAACCTCCATTGTGAAAGGAAAATCCAAATGTGTTGCAAAACAATCATATTTCTTAAACGGTATTTTTCTTCACTTATAAGACGCAGAATATCTGCACTTGTACACAGAGAACGAAATGTAGAATTAACACTAGTGTACAGTTCAATAAAACTAGTAAATGCGCTTTGGTGTGACCGTATTTCTGGCCCATCACTTGATTGTCTGGTTTGTTTACACACCGCCGTTGCATGGACGGAGCACTGCTGTGCGGCGTCAGGCACAAACGCACACTTTATTATGCAAATTGAGCGAATGGTGGGAGCTACCGGCAGGATAGGACATGCTTACCCTTGGCGCGAGCAGCTTGTGCCATCACTGATTTTCAGTGGTCTATTCAAGTAAGCTCTCCACGGTTGCCTAAATGCAATATTTGTGATCAGATTCTGAAAACGTCGTCAACAACGTGATGAACGTCTAAGGGATATTGCTTCAAACTGGTCGAACTCAGCGAGAGACAATATCCTCAATGTATCTCAGTTTCTGATTTGCATACTTTCCGACAGGTTTCTGCAGAAACAAAATGTAAATGATGGGCCCCGCACACGACACCCAGGTAAAGTAGGGAATATCGAACACAACAGATGATTATGGAAATACAACGAGGTATAGAGTGACAGTTATGGAAGGATAAGAAAGGGGAAGCCTTGTGTAATGTCCAAATGTTTCAACTCATTGTTCTGAACTTTGCCTCCCCATCTCACCCACCAAAGGCCACTTTGATATTAAACGTTGGACTTCAAAGAAGAAGCTGCTGGCTCTATTATAAGCTGAGTTTATATAACTGCATATGGGATTAAAACTGCAGGTTGGTTGATCAAGGGACTCATACAATTTTGTGAAAGTGTCATAGGTCATTCCAGCTACTTCAATGCGTTTTGCTTATATACAGGAAATGCTCGGCTTGCTTATTTGGCTGTCTATTCCTTTGCTGAAAGACCCGTGAAGATTCGGTGTCTAGCCGGTTGAGCCACATTTCTAAAAATGACTTTTGCCGAATGCGCCACATTTTCAGCTGTGTGCATTTCACCTACTCTAGCCGGTAATTAGTTAATCAGATTACCGATACCTTTAAATGAGTGTCTCACATTTAAATTGAGTAGACTCACCTCAATTAGCTTGTAGAGATTACTAAGCGTGGTGTTCTTTAGAGATCAATGGCGGTCTTAATTGACATTGAGTTAATCCTGTTATTCATAACGTATTTAATTGACGTCCTGTTCACTTCATGTCAAACTACAGGAATAGTATTTAAACACAAAAACATGAAACCCGCCTCCCTAAAACTCCAGATAAACAACAAACCAATCCAATTCCTAAAACAAACCAAATTCTTAGGACTAATTTTCGATGAACATCTTTCCTGGGACGCTCACATAAATAATCTAATAACTAAATGTAGCAAAGATCTAAATGCGCTAAGATGCCTCACTGGCTCAAACTGGGGGGCCTCGAAAGACACCCTCCTCTCACTCTATATATCACTAATTAGATCTAAAATAGACTACGGATGTGCCATGTACGACACCCTAAACCAATCCCTAAGCAAAAAACTAGACTCAATCCAATATCAGGCTCTAAAACTAATAACACGCACTCAACATGGCACCTCCTACACTTCACTCCAGGCCTTAACAGGAGAAATGCCACTAAGTCTACGTAGTGAACAATTAACCCTAAATTTCTGGGCCGCGTCTCAATCCAACCCCCTAATTCAAAGCCTAATAAACAAAAATATAAGCCCCAAAAACCAAGCCCTAGCTCGAAAACACCCTCTACTTACTCCAATATCCCAAAGAATAACCAATTACTTACATGAACACCAAATAAACAATCTTAAAACAAAACTGTAAAAAATCAAATATCTTCACCCCAAAACTTAAAACACCCAAAATAGACATAACACTAGCTAGCACAATAAATAAACAAACCGACCCAAACATAGCTCAAACCACCACACTAGCATACATACTTGAAAATTGGCCAAATTGGTGTCACATTTACACAGACGGATCCTCAGATCCGATCTCCAAACACACAGGTTTCGGAGTCCACATCACACAACCTACTAAAGCCACACAATCCTACCGACTCCCAAACAATCAATCAATATTCACTGCCGAACTAATGGGCATGGCCTCAGCCCTTTATAATCAACAATCTAAAAAACAACAAAAAATCCTAATACTTACCGACTCGCTCAGTGGACTACAAGCCCTCTAAAATAAAAACACCAAAAACCGCCCTGAACTAATAAATCAGATACTAAAGAGCTCAAACGATTTAACTAACGCAGGCAAACAAATAGTATTCATTTGGATCCCCGCCCACGTAGGAATATACGGCAATGAAAACGCCGATAAAGCAGCTAAACTATCCCTTAAAATCCCAGAAATAAGCTTAAACCTACCCATCTCCAAATCAGAAATTAAAAGTGTTACCAAACAAAAAATCACCAAAAAATGGCATAACCTATATCAAAACTCAAATAGCCAAATCAAAAAGGTTCTCAAAAAAAACCTAACCAAACCAAAAATTTTACATCCGTCCAAAAAAATCGACAGAGTAATTACTAAACTCCAAACAGGACATACCAACCTAAATAACCACCACAAAATAATAAGAAAACACGCAACATGAACCTGCCCACATTGCAAACAACAAGAAACCCCAGAACACGCACTCATACACTGCACCCACTACCTAACACACCGAACTACACTACAAACCACCCTAAATCTAAATAAGGCTCTTACTCTAGAAGCAATCCTAAACCCACAAAATAAAATAGAAAAATTCAAAGCCTTAGGCTTCAAAATTTCCAAAATTCTATATAAGCAACCACTAAAACACCCCTACTGGATTGCCAAACAACTTATTCCCCTTTTCGGAAACACATTAAATGGCTTGGCCGGGCCCGTGTGCGAAATACGCTGCAGTCGGAAAGCGCACGTAAAATCTCCAATATAAGTAAGTAAGTAAGTAAGCACTTTATGTCAGAACCATGGCAAATGCACAAGTTCAAATAAAGTTCATTGAAAGTGGCAGAGGAGGCGTCATTTTGTACTATGATGGCTTTAAGTTACGGTGTAAGAACAGTCGTGGTGAAAGAAGATACTGGTCCTGTATTGTCAAGGAGTGCACTGCAAGGATCACAACTCAGGGTGAGTTGCTCCACGCCACCTCGTGACAAGGTGGATGATGTGTGGCTTGATGCCATTGCTGACTCTCCTGCTGGCCCTAAAGTGACTGCCTCCATGGACAATGTGACAACCAGTTGGGTTCAAGGACAGGCCTTCATCCCAGAGATTTGGAATCACTTCGAAAACCAAGGCAACCGTACCAACAATCACCTAGAAGGGTGGCACAACAAGATAAAGAGACTTGTCAAGAAGTGCCACCGGAACATCTACGAGGTAGTGAAGCTCTTTCAGCGCGAGCAGTCACTCACAGAGGTTGCAGTCCTGAGACTCTCTCACCAGTGGTCAGAACCTTCACGAAGAAGGAAGTACAAAGCAACCGATGCTCGTATTGCATCCCTCAAGACCCAGCCACTGAACCAACACCTGAGTGAGATGAAATATGCTGACCACGTGGGCGACCTCCTTCATCTGCAGCAATGACATTATGGTAGTGTTCGGCATCATCAAGCCATGCAGTAGCGTAATACATCTGTGTCTTACATATAAGTGCAAACATTGTCATTGTTTTGGATGTGCTACACAACAATTCATTACACAATCATGACCCGTAATGTGACAATGTAATATGACCTGTCATGATATCCATCAATGTGATGTTTTGATGAATATATTATCCCTGTTATGATCTAAAAATGAGAAAACAAGACTTGTTTTGTTAAATACGGTAACCTGTTAGAATCACAAAGCATGTTTTGACAGCATAGCCACGAGAGCCACATTCCACAATCATGGAACCGTAACCATTGCCCCGCGAGCCACATCAATTTTGGCTATCTATTTTCGAAATGTGGCTAAGGCGGCCTGTAACCGAAGATTCCGGGGTAGAATAGGTCTTCAGCAACCCATGCTTGCCGTAAAAGGTGTCAGACTCGCTGACTTTGTTGATTCATGTCATCAATCCCAATTGCGTGGATCGATGCTCATGACATTAATCACCGGATTGTCTGGTCCAGACTCGATTATTTACAGACCGCCGTCATATAGCTGGAATATTGCTGAGTGCGGCGTTAAACAACAAACAAACCAACCAACTAACCAACCTTAGCTGAAAAATGCAGATCCAAATTGTCATTAAGCCAGATTCATCAATATATTAAGTACTGCTGACGACGATATCGTGTGGTCCAAAGGTCCAAAGCTTTCTTACATATGTGCCCCCTGATTTTGCTATAAGATTAATGATCTTTTATCTAGTCTAACCTCCTTGTTATCTTTTGCTATGGCTTCACGTTTTTAAAGTTCAAACTTGGCGTGCTACTGGTGAGGTGCTAAATGGGTCTTCTGCTGATTCGTTGGTTAGTTTGTTATAATCAATAGGCCATAATCTCGTGAAGATCACGTGTAATATTTTCATCAATGTTCACCACCTCTGTGGGAACGAAGGATTTTCTATCATTACCTATACCTATCCCATTCATTGTGGTTCTTTTTGATTCCCCTAATGGTGAAGTTGAGTGGGTGTGGATTAGGCTTGTCTCCCTGAACAAGATGAATTTCCCTGAAGAGTGTGTGTTCAGTCAATGATTATAGGTTTCTTGCAAACCTGAGGTTAGGTCTACTAATGCTGTGATGTCTACAGATGGATTCGACGCTCTGCAGCACTTCCATTCCTCCTAGTCACCCTGGTGCACGATGTATGGAAGACGCTCTTGCCGTTAGACAGACACAAGAGCTCCATGACAACATGACCAATACCTGTTCAATTCCACCATGGTATCCAGAACCACGATGACAAACTTTGGTCATCGACAGACAACCATATCGAGGGATGGCACTCTTATCTCAACAAGGTGGGTACAGGGCACATCCTTATGTATATGCTCTTGTCAAAGCGCTGCAGCGATTGAAGATGATCGAGAGAAGCAAACTGTCTAAGATGGTCCTTGGTGTCCGTCCCCCACCCGCCAGAGGACTTACAGTGAGGCTGACCATAGACTGTCAAGACGAAGACCATTTCTGAGGAGGACTGGACACTCCTCTTGAGTTCCTAACTGCTGCATGACACAAGTCCTCCTATAGAACGAGACTCTTCTATGTCTGAAACATTCACATGAACAAAACAATGAGTAATAATTGTGACGAGCAGGACTATATCCCTTTAGTTCAAGGTTAAAGGTAGTAATTGAGAATACCACTGGTACATAAATGTGTTTATTTAGCACTGTATAGGCATGTCCCACTTTTGGCATTAGTTGACTCCACCCACTTAAAACACTCTGCACAGCAGATTGCGGCGCCTTAGGCCAATGGGCCACCACACAGTTGGACCACTCTGGCAAATCAACTTCAAGGAGATAAGAAAGTAAGACACAATATATGTTTTTCATTGAATGCTATAGTTCTTTATTGCTTCAGAGCAAAGTGTTCAAGTTATGCAGACTACAAATTTGTCACTTCTAACCATTACTGGTGTTATCTTTAGACTTTGCGTTATGTCATGGGGTCTAAAGGGTATTATCCTATTGTGAATGATAAGAAAACTTGAGAAATTCTCTTTTCTTATACTGAAATTTGCTTGGTTTTGTATTTGAAATTAAATATTGAACTATGGATATACTTCTGTCAGTGACCCTGTTTTACATGTAGTTGTGCACAACATTGACTCAGTCCTCTTGTCATAGGCACGGTGGTATGTGTTAAACCAACTCTCGTTTATCAAACAGGATTGTTCCTGCTAGCTGATAACAATACATATGTCCTATCCGGGTCTCAAGGGGAACTACTTGATTTACTGATATATAGGTCATGTCGGGTCAAAATGTTGTTATGTAATGATAGTCTTAAGCGGGTCACCCGTCTCACTAGCGTGTGGACATGACTTGAAATTACCTGCAGTTTGCAATGACCGGGAGCCATTGTGAACATACCTTGTTTCGTTGGAGTATGTGTGCTGTTGTCTGGACGTCTAGTCTCAGGTAGGTGTAACATATATTCGTTGTAACATATGCATATCTGGTTTCAAATACATCTCGCGTTATTTTTATTCGAGCTCACACTTGATTAGAACGACCAATGAGATTGGGTGAAAGTTAGGGGAATACAGTGAATTATTCATCACACAATGATGTCAGGTGAGTTTGTATTAAGTCAGTGTACAACTGTAGCGAATACTGCATTGTGAGTTATTAGGTGGCCATGGACATTTGAAGAATCCAGCATCACTTTATAAACTATTTCAGTAAGGAGAAGCATGACATCAGAATAGTTAATAATTGATATGATCAGAATATCAGATATTGGTTGGATAGATCAGGACGGCCAAATTGTCAAAATTTGTCCCTTTTCCGTGCTTTGTTGACACCGATACGTGTGACATGTGCCATCCAGCTTTGACCTTATGTTTACCAAGTCTCGCTTTCAAATTTGAATGTTTGGGTGTCTATTCATCATCACAGATAGATGCAATCAACCAGACTCATTATTCGGACAATCATCCGATTCAAGGTCAATGCATTTTCACGTTCATGTACAGATCATCTAATCCCCAGATTACAATCTGATTACATTATCAAGCTTGTCTGTGCATTAATGCTTACCCCTTTAACTGAAAGGCCTTTTTCACTTGTATACTTCAGAATGTGAGGTGAGATACCATTGACAGACAATAGCCTTTGCTTCTTGCCTAGGTAGACAACAATTCTCAAGTGAAAAGTCCGTGCACTCTCCCGAAACCTGAGACAGAAAGCAGGGATATACAGGTGATCAATGGTCACAGTCTAACAATAGAAAGGTGCACATCAAAAGAACACAAACGTCAAAGCCGGAACAGATCCCACGCAAAAGTCAAAATGCCAGCGATGGAACACTGAAAATCAGCGTTGACACCAGTTGCTCACGAAAAGGACTGACATTTGTTCCTACTAGAACTGCTGCTACTACTACTACTACTACTACTACTACTACTGACACCACTTAGGTGCACGAATCATTCACAAGAACACTGACTGCTGGTAGAAAGGATATTTCAGACTCCAAAACAAAAGGTAGGAAGAAAAAATATCCGCCTCAAAGAATTCATTCCATAGGACTGTCACATATTTTCACCTGCATTTCATCGTCCATACCTCGTCAATGTAGTCATATGTCCAAAATCTTATTTATTATTCTTTTTCTACTGACCTAATATTGACATCAATACCCCTTGTCTGAGCAATGTCCCCTTTTTGGCCGATAATGTTCATTGAATTCTGAATTTCAATTCCTTTAGATGTACCTAAACCAATGTATTTATTATTACAGATAAATTCTACAAATATTCTTGGGAAACACTGAAAATGAGTTCATCAGATCAGGTACCGGATTGCAACAAGAAATTTCTCTTGCCATGGGTGAAAATATCAAAGCTGGTGACAAAGCATAAGCAGCATATGACGCCCGAAGAGATAATAAATGACATTCTAAAAAAAAGTTCTAAGTTGCATCAGAAGACCATTCTTCGTCAAATTGTTGACAGCATGGAGGAGTTTCATGTGCAGCTGTATTACTCTAAAAGACAGTCTAAAGTAAAATGTAAATTTGATTCTTTTGTTGCTGAAGAAGAAAGAAGTAGGCAAACTGTCAATATGAGAATTGACGCGTTGTTGTTTTTCTACAGAAATGTTGGACATGAGCCAGAGATTTATGCACTTACCACTGGCTGTGCTTTGAAATTACTGAAGGGTCATATCGACTGTGGTTTCCCTAAATATATTGGCCGGCGAATACTAGGTTTCCATCTAAAGGTATTGTCATCAAAACATTTATTTGGGGACAAAATTTCATCTTATGCAAACTACTGGCAGACTGAGTCCGAAACATTCCTGTCATTTTGGGACTGTCTTGGTGACATCACAAACAAGTATCAGATGCCTGTCAAGAAACAGTCGTCAGTATACACACTTCTTACTGGAAATAAGGAACGTGTTGTAAACGTGGAGATCAGTGAAGACAGTATAACATTTCACAAACGTCTTAGTTGGTTAGATATTTCTGAGCTGTTGACGAAAATGTCTGCAATACTGGATGGATTTGTGACTGATGCAGCAATGGACAAAGATGACCCTCGTTTTGATGTGTTTGACCACGTAAAACGTGTTAACACGAAAGCTGAAATGAAGAAATATGATGACAAACTGAAAACACTTCTGGCTAAATCATTAAAACTGTTATGTAATCCATTGCGTCTGAGACTAATGTACAAAGATGTTGAAAGTTGGGTATCGGCAGACGAGTTTCTCCTAGTGATGCCAAGGGCAGCTGGAACATTCATACAAAAATGGGAAGGAAGCCCTCCTACATTGGAATCAGTTCTCGGGGCTTGCAGGCGTTATGCCAAGGAAAAGAAAATCCATGATGCTGCCCTGGGAAGATTAGTGAATGACGTGTCTATTCAGTTTGCGTGTACAGATACAGGTACATACATCATCAGAGGAAAGGCAAAGCTGACAGATCTGATAGAAGGACACTTGCACACTGACACGGGCATATCAGTATTCAGATACTGTGGCAAATGGTTTCGTATACACGTTGAATATTTGACACAAGTTGAAGAGCTATTTTCTAAAGTGATGGGAATTTGTAATTTAGAACAGGACAAACTTCCATTACCATGGCTATATTCTAGCTCTGATAGCAAAGTGGCAAATGTAGACACCAATGATATCAAATACTGGATCACACAACTGAACTTTAGTGAGTGTTGCAACCCCATCGAGGACAAGGCTGATTTTAACGATTTTCTTTTGAATGAAACAAATGTCGTTAAAGTCGAGAAGCAGCTGATGGCACGATTATTTTCTAAACAAAGAGAAAGGGAATACAACAGTGGATACATACTTTACAACAAGATACCCTCAAAAAGAACTAATGGTGAATCAGGATTTTTGCTTGGAGACAACATTTTGATGAAGAATATAGAGCTGTTTGATCTACTTTACTACACACCAGAATGTACATATCTGATCCATGTCAAAAATGGTTTTGGAAATTCATTCAGGGATGTTTGCTCTCAAATAAGAATATCAGCTGACTTTTTGCACTGTTGTCTCAATGCAACTAACAGGTTCAATTTTCTTAAAGAATTCTGGAAAATTGCTGCCAACAGAGGGAAAACAACCTACAGAGAGGCTGTAAGACAAATGTATCGAGAGGTGGGATGGTACAGATTTGAACAAATGTTCCACAGGAAGATTTGCTTTGTTTTGGCATACAGAGACATTAAAAAATCGTCACAAAGACGAACATTCTCCAGCGCATCATCCAAGAAGCTGACCAAACACTGTGGAGAAGACACAGACAGACTATTGAGGAATTTGGCACTTAAGGACTTTCTGGAGGAAAGACAAGGTACATATTATCTCACAGATAAGATTTTCAAGTTGAAGGCTGATATAGTGAAGGACATCATTAATGTGACCACACGTGTTGCCAAAAAAGTGGCAAGTATTTTGAAAGAAAGAGTTTCCAAGTCATTCATTTCTAAAATGGAGTTTGTTCAGTTATACAGCTATTTCAGAAAATATTCAATAGGAAATGGTTTTTCTTTAAGGATTTGCAGAATACAAAACCATACCATTTCACATTTTTCATTACCCAAATCTTCTGCATCTCCAGTGTCTGATTGGTCAAATACTGGCTTGAGCGAGCATGATGACAGACTGCACACTTATGAGTTTCATCACCAGGGGTCTGATCACACAGGGCTTGGTCAACAACAATCTCATGATCTGCAGCCTCATAGACCAAGGTCTGATAGTCAGGGATTGACAAGCTCAGGGTCACTTACATCAGGTAGTAGTGACCACCATCATCATACAGAGACGTCTGATCAACAGAAATCTGATAGTGAGAGGCTGACTAACTCAGGGTCACTGGCCTCACATAGTGGTGACCACCGACATCATTGTGAGAAGTCTGACACACGAAAATCTGACACAAGGAAGTCTGATAAACGGAAATCTGTTCGCGAGAGGCTGTCAAGCTCAGGGTTACTTGCCTCGTGTAGTGGTGACCACCATCATCATAGTGAGAAGCCTGACACAAGGAAGTCTGATAAATGGAAATCTGATAGCGAGAGGCTGACAAGCTCAGGGTTACTTGCCTCATGTAGTGGTGACCACCATCATCATAGTGAAAAGTCTGACACAAGGAAGTCTGATAAACGGAAATCTGATAGCGAGAGGCTGACTAACTCAGGGTTACTTGCCTCGTGTAGTGGTGACCACCATCATCATAGTGAGAAGCCTGACACAAGGAAGTCTGATAAACGGAAATCTGATAGCGAGAGGCTGACAAGCTCAGGGTTACTTGCCTCATGTAGTGGTGACCACCATCATCATAGTGAAAAGTCTGACACAAGGAAGTCTGATAAACGGAAATCTGATAGCGAGAGGCTGACTAACTCAGGGTCACTTGCATCACGTAGTGATCAGCTTCATCATAATGAGAGGTTTGACACACAAAAGTCTCACACAAGGAAGTCTGATAAATGGAAATCTGATAGCGAGAGGCTGACTAACTCAGGGTTACTTGCCTCATGTAGTGGTGACCACCATCATCATAGTGAGAAGCCTGACACAAGGAAGTCTGATAAACGGAAATCTGATAGCGAGAGGCTGACAAGCTCAGGGTCACTTGCCTCACATAGTGGTGATAAGCATCATCACAGTAAGAGGTCTGACACACGAACATCCGACACAAGGAAGTCTGATAAATGGAAATCTGATAGCGAGAGGTCGATCAGCTCAGAGGTACTTGCATCACGTAGTGATCAGCTCCATCATAATGAGAGGTTTGACACACAAAAGTCTGACACAAGGAAGTCTGATCAACAGAAATCTGATAGCGAGAGGCTGACTAACTCAGGGTTACTTGCCTCATGTAGTGGTGACCACCATCATCATAGTGAGAAGCCTGACACAAGGAAGTCTGATAAACGGAAATCTGATAGCGAGAGGCTGACAAGCTCAGGGTTACTTGCCTCATGTAGTGGTGACCACCATCATCATAGAAAAAAGTCTGACACAAGGAAGTCTGATAAACGGAAATCTGATAGCGAGAGGCTGACTAACTCAGGGTTACTTGCCTCATGTAGTGGTGACCACCATCATCATAGTGAGAAGCCTGACACAAGGAAGCCTGATAAACGGAAATCTGATAGCGAGAGGCTGACAAGCTCAGGGTTACTTGCCTCATGTAGTGGTGACCACCATCATCATAGAAAAAAGTCTGACACAAGGAAGTCTGATAAACGGAAATCTGATAGCGAGAGGCTGACTAACTCAGGGTCACTTGCATCACGTAGTGATCAGCTTCATCATAATGAGAGGTTTTACACCAAAAAGTCTGACACAAGGAAGTCTGATAAACGGAAATCTGATAGCGAGAGGCTGACAAGCTCAGGATCACTTGCATCACGTAGTGATCAGCTCCATCATAATGAGAGGTCTGACACACAAAAGTCTGACACAAGGAAGTCTGATAAACGAAAATCTGATAGCGAGAGGCTGACAAGCTCAGGGTTACCTGCCTCACGTAGTGGTGATCAGAATCATCATAGAGAGGCGTCTGGCACACAGAAGTCAGAGATGAAAAGGTCGACTCAGCAGGCTCGTAAGCGGAAATCTGATAGACACTGGAAAAATGATTCGAGGCCATTTCAGCACCTCACGCATGGCTGGCAACCAGACGGACAGCTGTATGGTAGTTGGGAATCTGACGGACTTGATCAACCTTCTTGGGTTTGGACTAATGTGCACAATGGGCAACAAACTCCTGAATGGCAACAGGAAGGACAACCACATCTTAAACGCCGTAAAGTGTAGCACAACTATGGACGAAGTAGAGACAGACATCATGACCGAAGGTGGCGTGATAGGAGCGTGCATGAACTGTTCAGACATGCTTAAATGTATTATGTTGCCTTCTTCGAAGTAACAATATGAAATTTGGTTAACACAGCTTTGAACAGTTGCCATGTATTTATGATCATGTTCTCCTGCTGGGTTCCATGCAGGTAGCAAAAGTACTGTAAGTCCCTATGGTCCCCAGTGAGGTGATCTATCTTCAGTTGCTGGCGATCTATAGCCTTTTTTTATATTGTATCGTTAGGTATAGTGACATCTTTTTATGGTTGTATACTAGTTTTAAATAATATTCTGTGATCATCTAGGTATTTTACTGTCCTTTGTTGACAGGCCGTTATTGTTTAAATGTATATATTATGTATAACTTTTGGTAGTCACGATATGGCTGAAATACTGCCGATGTGACTATAAATTTTAACTCACTCACTCACTCACTATGATCATGTTCAATAAGTGTATGTATTAATTATTCAAGTGGTAGGTGTTGAAAGCAGAAGAAACGAAACTAACAGCACTCAAACGACTGTCAAATTGTTGTGAGATATATCTGATTTCTCACACAATGACAGTGTGGAGCTGGGTGTAAAGATGCTTTCTAAGTTATGTTTTTCAAATTTTGGTAACAATTGTTTTCTTCAATCAAAAAAGTCAAGTAGTAGATACAAGTTCTTCAGGCTTTGTTCTACATGAAAAGTAATTAAAGTAGGTTATTTTCATTGTCATTCAACATGTGCGTGCCAAGGTTCCTTGTCAAGAGAAGAACGATGTAAAATATAAATTGCTCGACTATCATTGTGGATGTAATCAAGTTAATAGTGTTACTATTACATTATTGATAAGTGATATTGTTTTTTGCAATTTAAATAATAGTTTATTGAACAAGAACGATGGACAAGTAAAACAATGAATTTGTTGCTTGTGTTTCAGTATTCTTTCAAAATAATCTCTATGATTACACCTGAGGCTAAGAGGATACTCTGGTTATAAAGCATATATAACTTTCAGTGTTTCTCTATATAACCCTTTTTAGTTGAACTATAAGGTGACACAAACCTTTGCTTTCAAATCTAATCTGTGAAATACTAGATGGCAAGATTCCATTTGGACCATTACTGGAAACAGTTGACATCCTTCCCAACTTTTAAATGCGTTTTAATCACATCTTATCAAAGCTAAAAATTGTTTTAAATATGCCATGAAAAATGTGTATGTGTATGAAAAACATACACAAAATTAATTATGTCTATATTCGCAGCCTTCAATTTTTTGGTGATTTTGTTTTCATCCAATATAATTTTAAGCATATTTTAAATGACTTGTTATCAAATATATAGTTTAGTCAACTTGACATCATCAATGTGAGCTTTTGTCATGCGTCATCCATCCTTTAGAACTGAAACTTTATAGTCTCCTTCTCCAAATGTACTGAACATATCAATATCGGTTTCACGTAACATGTTTTTAATGTACCTAGCTACAACGAAGTATTCTTTTCATTTTGAAAGATTTTAAATGGCCACAGCAAAAGCTCATTTTAATCCAAAAAATAAAATGTGTGGTCATGGCGCTTCTCGAAATGGTGTCTCTTTTATCAGTTGAATAACTAATTTTGTTTGCTATATGCTTACTAACACTCCTAATAATAATAAAGTGACAAAACCCTTTCCATATCCCAAAGAAATCTCTGCATAAAGCTGAGTCGATAGTACAAGAAAAACCCTATGTATTGTAATTTTTCTCTGGAATAAGAAAGGAGGTCTTTGAAGATCAAAGTCATAATGGATAAAGCACTTATAGGACCATTGGCTTAACGATACGCTTGAAATGAGTTTGTTGGGGTATGTTTCACCATTTCAGGCTGGGGCGGTGAGGTAGCCTTGTGGTAAAAGCATTCGCTAGTCATGTCGAAGGCCCATGTTCGATTCCCCACATGGGTACAATGTGTGAAGCCCTTTTCTGGTGTTCTCAACCATGATATTGCTGGAATATTTCTAAAAGCGGCATAAAACCATACTAACTCACGCATTACAGGCTGGGCTTTCTAGGGCTTGTGATATTGATAGGTATAATTTGAAAGAATCCCAGGACAAAATGAAAGTACATGATGACAAAAATTCTCAGGAGAGAAATTTCAGTCCTTGTGATAAAGTCTTGGTGTTTTAATCCAATACCTGGTCAACCATTATGTGCAAGGTACCATGATCCATGTGTTAGTGATGGGAAAGCCAGTGATACTGACTATGTTGTACAAACACTTGATAATCATAAAAAGACACAGCATTGTCATGTCAATGTGATTAGAAAATATCATGAAAGAAATGACAATGGACCTACCTGTATGTTGCCACTGTTTATCCAGGAGATATTTTATCAGATTGAGATACTGATGAGAATTGTGACTTTGTAAAGTTTGTTGCCATTAAGTTGGCGTTAAGTCAAGAAATGGCTCAAGTGTCAGGGTTTATACAAGAGCTTGCTCACTTGAATACGGATGTACATGGCCTTAGTGAGTCAAAATGTAGATGTGGGTGACGCTGTGCCTGTGAAACAACATCCCTACCAGATGAAACAAATGAAGCTTGAAGCCTTGAAGAAGGAAGTCTAATTCATGCTGGACAATGACATTATTAAACCAAGTCACGGTGACTGGAGTTTAACTTCTATTCTGATGGTCTGATGATAGTTACAGATGCTGTACAGACGTGAAAGGGTGAACGCTCTTTCTTTAACTGGCCTTTACCAATACCAAGAATCGATGACTGCATCAACAGAATTGGTCAAGCCAAGTACTTCAACAAGTTTGACCTATTGAAGGGATATTGGCAGTGAGAGTGCTAAGCAGGTCTCATCTTTTGTGACTCCAGACGGACTTTATCAATAGAAAGTTATGCCGTTTGGGCTCACGAACACTCCAGACACCTTCCAGCACCTTGTCAATGACATTACAGTCAATCTTGATGGTGTCATAGCTACATCGATGATGTCGTCACTCATGCCATGGAGTGGGACGAATGCCTGAAGAGGATCTATGCTTCCCTCAAGGCTCTCACTGAACGAAACTGACTAAATTTAGTGAAATATGAATTTGAACAGGCACATGTACAATTTCTACGTCATGACATAGGCTGAGGTCAAGTACAGCCTGTTCAAGCAACGTGGACGCTGTTTCAAAATTACCAACTTATGAGATTTCTTGGTATGGCTGGATGCGACCATAAATATGGTCACAATTTCTTACATGTGGTACCACTCTCACGAATATGATGGACAAAAGGTTGAAATTTGTTTTGGACAGCAATTGTCAGACTGCTTTGGAGTAAATACAAGCCATTCTCATGAATTCTCCGGTTCTCAGGGAGCCAAATTTTGAAATCCCTTTCAGATTGGCGGTAGATGCTAGTGACATAAGTGCCTGAGTTGTCCTGCTGCAAGAAGAAGCTTTGATCACCTTGTTTGTTGTTATTCACGAAAATTTGACAAACATTAGTGAAATTATTCAATAATTGAAAATTGCCCTGTTGTTAGCTCTGCCTCAATTTGAAGTGCATGTTACTACTTTGTTTCCTATTCAAATGTGCATTGATCACAATCCACTGACTTTTCTTCATAAAATGAGAACAAAAAGCAATGCCTGATGCGCTTGAGCTTGTCTTTGCAGGAATTGATTTAGACATCAAGTATATTTAAGGCAAAGACAAACATTATTGTTGATGCATTATCACGAGGTTGAATGTGATCAGTTTAGACTGGAAACATGATTTGCACTTTCGTAACAATTTCTCCTAATTACCATGTATAATGTTTATTATATGTTCCAATTTTCTTTCCCCGAAAGAGGAGAGTTTTATATGGCAGTGTAATTTATTATTAAACAATGTTGTAAATGTATCACATTTATTGCTTCTGCTGACATTCAGAAGAAGATCATAGTTCATTGTTTTGACAATGGTTAGTTGTAAAATGTAGTACTCAGCCCGGGGAACAAAGATCCCTTAACCCCTCGAATGGTCCTAGGTCTAGGTTGTGTTCATAAGCCAGTCACCACGAGGCCTTACCTTTCGATGTATCACCCACTTGTTCATATATCCGCCACTTTTTTTAGAATGACCACTTTTGGGTGGGGATTAGGATGGGGGAGGGTAGAGGTTGGGGGTGGGTGGGGGGTTATTAGGATGTTGGGGTAATGGAATAATGGATCGAGAAGAACTGAATTCTTAGTTCAAAGCAAAGGTGGATAAATATTTATGTGAAAACAATGTGTTGTGTCATATGATTTCATTTCTGTTATTATCTTATTTCCTAGGTGTCATAGAGAGTTTATTCTCTGGAAACTTAATAATATTTAAATAAAAATAACAGGGAAAACTGAAAAAGAGCCCTGGAATTATGGGATATTCAGAATCTTAGAAATCTAGACTTGCTTCATTTGGAGGTATAGCATTCCAGGTTGCATTTTGGTGGAGGAAATTAATGTGATTCAGGGACTGTGAGACAGTCAAATAGATCGCATGCAGATGAACATGAACATACAGCTACATGTCACAGTCCTTATATCATATAATATTTCTTCAAAACAAACTCAATTGTAATTCTATAGCCCAAATGAAGCATGTTTAGATGTCACCAGTTTTATCAAATTCCGTAATATATGGTTCCTTTGTAATATTTTTTGACGACAAACATCCTATGCAAGAATTAATGTCTTTACGACTTAACACAAAAACAGTCCTATAGTTTGCACGTTCCTCACGCAGTACAAGGGTGTCAGTCATAATTTTGACACTTCCAAGGAAGGTCGATTAATCTCTGTGGAACAGGTTTTTTTTGCCAATCATATTGATTCTGCTTATCATACAGTTGTGATTTACTTGATTTCATTCATTGTTTGAGTATGAAATAGTAATGTGGCGTCTACAACGCAGACCGTCCATAGGCTATTCGCATGCTGGAAACTGACA